TTGCCAAAAAAAAAAAAAAACGCAGAAAATATATTTCAGTTTTGCGGTTCAAACCTATTCGAACCGGTTCGAACCTTTTTTTTTTTTTTTGTTCCCCGGAACTAAACTGGAGCTGAACCGAAAGCCGTGAACCCGAACCGGAACCGAACCGATAAAAATTTCGGTTCGACACCCTGCTCGCAGGCATACCCAATGTTTCTTGCTTCAGTCGCTAGATAGCGCCATACCAAACAGCCATTGCAGGTTGCCTATAGACCTTTCCAAAAAGAGCGCTCTGGCCGCCGCCATTTTGCGAATCGAGCGACCCCTATCAGCCAGAAATTTCTGGCACCCGCCTGAGCTGTGGAAACCCGGTCAGCGTGACTCCCCACCTGCATTTTGCATTCGGAGTTCGCCGGCTTTTCTTGGAAGTTTTTATTTTGTTCGCCTGTTTAGGATGCTTACCCTTTGTATGTTATCTCCCACTGTGAGAACCAGGGAATACCAGGGCTCGTAGCCCGCTCGGCCTTCGCAGGAAACGAACGAAGAGAGCGAACGTCAAGCAGCCCGTGACGCGGGCAGTTCGACGTGCTTAGAGGATTATTTTCGTCGAGATAATCTCCAAAAAGCCTTCCAGGCTGTGTTCCGGGTCTTCGCAAAAACTAGCTGATAGGGTCGGGTCCGGGGTGTGGCGACATAATAAGCACGTTCGTTCATTTGCTATGAAGCTGTGCAAAAAAGGAGCTGTCTTCTACATGTTCCCCAAAACACGCCGGATTCCGTCCGATCGTCGTGAAGTGACTATCGTCGACACTGTATATTGGACATGCTGTGTTATTTGAGACCTTTCTCAAATCCTGTTCGGATAACGCAGCACCGAGGGGTACGTACAATATATTTTTTGTTCGATTGATGAGACTCATTGAATTTTATGTTGTGGGCGGGGAATATCCATGCAGTACGGATATATCCTGTGTGGTCAAATATTTTGACGTTTATAGATTGACACGGCTGAGTTTACGGTGCGTAAAACGATGAACATAAAATGAAACAAACATTCCAGTTGCATTTGTTCTGTCGCGCACGGACTCACTAAAACAGCTTTCATTTCTTTGTTTTTCTTCCCAAAAATAGAGCACTGCTTTCTTAAAGACATCAATAAGTTATGCTCGCCACAGAACACAAGATAAAAAAGAAAACGCGGCAATTCAGCCGCCACCAGCGTCCGGAATTGCGCCAACGCAGGCTGCCACAGCCTACTGACGAGAAACTCCACAGCTCAGCGCAGTCGGGCAACACTGACGTACACTCTCAAAACCAGGGACACGCGCTGTAAATCGCTTCGTTCGAGACTGCCGCTGGAAAGGTCTATAGACCTTTGCAAAAAGAGCGCTCTGGCCGGCGCCATTTTGCGAATCGAGCGACCCCTATCAGCCAGAAATTTCTGCCACCCACCTGAGCTGTGGAAACCCGGTCAGCGTGACTCCCCACCTGCATTTTACATTCGGAATTCGCCGGCATTTCTTGGAAGTTTTTACTTTATTCGCCTGTTTAGGATGCTTACCCTATGTATGTTATCTTCCACTGTGAGAACCAGGGAATAACAGGGCTCGTAGCCTGCTCGGCCCTCGCAGAAAACGAACGAAGAGAGCGAACGTCAAGCAGCCCGCGACGCAGGCAGTTTGACGTTCTTGGAGGATTATTTCCGTTGAGAATAATCTCCAAAAAGCCTTCCCGGCTGTGTTCCGGGTTTTCGCGAAAAATAGCCGATAGGAACCGTGCGCATCTAATTCAAGCCCCGACCAGGGCGCCCCTAGCGGCAAACGGGTCCATCGCATCGGGGAGCTTCTGCCAGTCGCTGCGTTGGTTGTGCCTTGTAGTGGGTTAGCGTTGTAATTTCTGAGATGGCTATTCCGCACCAAGAAAGCCGCAACAATTGCTGTGTGGTCGGCTGCAACAGTACGTCGAAGATCGCACACGGCACGAAGTACTACATCGTCCCTTCGAAGCCGTACGGCCGTACGAGGCAGAGTACTGCGCGACCAGGCTACAGGTGCGACTTGTGCGTCCATACAGGTTAGTGGCGTTTCTTACCTTTCTGTTCGCGCTTTGTTTAAGCTGCTGACGAATAATACGATTAACTTTTTTTCTATTCTAGCGACAATGGAACAGAATCGACACCGACGGCAAACTCTAAAGTGTGCGGCAAATACTTCACCGGAATCGAGAAGCGGAGTGCGGTCGCCCACCTAAGCCTACACTTGGATGTTTCCATCAGTCTACAGGAAGATAGTAGTCGGAATCGCGGAACGGCGCGAAAAAAATCGCCCAGTTATTGTCAAGCTGATTCAGAAATAAACGTACATAATTACCACGGTCCACTCAACGCCAACTACATTTTTTGCGGGCACGCTTAATTTTGTTAGCGGAGTACGGCGCTCCGTGACATCCACTTGTCCGTCGAAACGGACCTCCTTCACGTCGTACACGCGGCCAGATTCACGAAGGTGTATCCCTTCTTTATATTGGTACTACGGAAGAAGCTTTCTAGATTCGTAACCGCCTTAAACCCCGTCGTAATCACCCCGGGAACACTGTCCGCTGTGCTGCTCGTCGCCATTGCTTCCCCCCGATGATTCTGCACCGGCTACCGAAGAAGTTTTCCGGATTCGTAATCGCCCTCTGTCCTCTGTGGTGTTCGTTGCTTTTACTTCCCAATGATTCTGCGCCGACGGCACCGGCTACAGAAGGAACTTTCCGAATTCGTAACTGCCTTAAATTCCTTCGTAATCACGACGGGGACACTGTCTGCCGTGCTGTTCGTCGCCATTGCTCCCCGATGCTCCTGCGGCGGCTACCGCTAGGTCGCGGCGAACAATAGGCGACCGCCGCGACACGGCCGGCATGCTCGCTTCCTATAGGGTCGGGTCCGAGGGTTCATTCATTTGCTTTGAAGCTGTGCAAAAAAGCCTGCTCTCTTCTACATGTTCCCCAAAACGCGCCGGATTCCGTCCGATCGTCGTGAAGCGGCTATCGCCGACACAATATACTGGATATGCTGTGTTACTTGAGAGCTTTCTCAAATCCTGTTCGGATAACGCGGCACCGTGGTGTACGTACAATATATGTTATTCGATTGACGAGACTCGTTGAATTTCATGTTGTGGACGGGGAATATCCATGCAGTTCGGATATCCTGCGTGGTCAAATATTTTGACCTTTATAGATTGACACGGCTGAGTCTACGGTGCCGTAAAACGATGAACATAAAATGAAACAAACATTCCAGTTGCATTTGTTCTGTCGCGCACGGACTCACCAAAACAGCTTTCATTTCTTTGTTTTTGTTCGGTCCCAAAAATAGATCACTGCTTTCTAAAGACCTCTATAAATTATGTTCGCCACAGAACACAAAAGAAAAAAGAAAACGCGGCAATTCAGCCGCCACCAGCGTCCAGAATTGCGCCTACGCAGGCTGCCACAGCTTACTGACGAGAAACTCCACAGCTCAGCGCAGTCGGGCAACACTGACGTACACTCTCAAAACCAGGGACGCGCGCTGTAAATGGATTCGTTCGAGACTGCCGCTAGAAAGGTCTATAGACCAGCGTCCGAAATCTTAGCGCCCAGCGATAAAAATGTGAAATAATAATCTCAAGCGCAGGCTCTTATGAAGAGAGGGGCTGCGCATAAAATAAGGTATTTGCTTTTTACAGCACTCTTGGCATTGGTGTTGTTCTTGGAGCTTTGTGACTATGCCTTTTCGACGTTCTTGCACTACGATATGTGCGAAGGTTTCTAAAAAAAAAACAAAAAAAAAACGGAGTCTCGCAAAAAACGCAGCCCCCCCCCCCCCCCCCCCTTTTTTTTCCCGTGTCATTGCGTCAGCATAAACAAACATGGCGGCGCCCATGGAACAGAGCAGACATGTATGGCGTTCACGCGTTGGTAGTGCAGTGCATGCAGGTCTTGGCAGCAAGAACCAGCCAAGCAAAGGGCAGAAGTTTCTCTTGGCCGCTCATGGCAAGTGTTTTAAAGGGATACTACAACGAACTTTCGGCGCTTATTTTTTGGTCTATTCGGTTTCAAGGGAGCAGTATCACATCAGACACACCAATCTCGTGTTGAAAAAGCCACGAAAAGGAACTTTAAAACGAATTAAACGATTAGCAAAGAGCACCTGGTTGATGTCGCTAAGGTCTCGTTTGTAATGCCCATCTAGAAATCTTGACAGGTTCTGTCAAAATTCTTACCAAAGCAGCTTTGGGGTTAGTTGCGGTGGCTCGATCGCTGGAACTTTTAGGACATCCTCTCGACGTCAGCATCGCCGCAGCTTTGCTCGTCCCGAAACAATCTATGTCATGAATTGCGGCGGATGTCACGTGCTCTCCTCTGGCTGTTCTCCGAGCGCTTGTCAGAGTAGGCCGTTTATGACGAAATATACAGCCACCAGGATCAAAATACAAGCGTGCGATTGTCATTTACGGATATTCTGGATCATAATCTGCTTATTTCTGAACACTATGTGTATATTTCAAATTTCGTTGAAGTATCCCTTTAATATTACCAGCTGTATATTGCGCAGTGCACTGTTCCCCGGCGTTTTAAGTTTTAACTAGTTGTATCTGTATCATGGTTACTGAGAGCTAGATCTAGGTTTTGTCTTGGTAGAAAAAAAGAACAGACCTTGGCACAAGCTTTTGTTTGTGTATTCGACACTTTTCTGTAACTTTTTACAAACCCGGTTGAAGACGGGGAAGACCCTGCGGGTGAAACTAGAGACGGCATTCAAATAACGCGCGTGAAAGGAAATTCAACTCCACTGAGTCTTCAGGGCGCTGCCATCGGCAGCGCGCTTATGCAGGTCGCTAATTCTACATTATTTAAAAAGCTGCGTCGTTATTTGAAAGTAACGCAGAAAAAGAAACAAAGACAAAAATAATTTACACGTAAAGCTCCCGTTTTGTTATTGGAACGCACATTATCACGAAACCAAAAACAAAACCATAGTTTCTGGTCTCACACAGAAACAGAAACAAACCAACAAGAGCGAATTCCATAATGGCGCTTCCCTGAGCTGGTAGGAGGAACCCCCGAAAGCGGACGGCCGTTGCTAGAACCGCTAGAACTTTAACCGTTCTAAAGCTCTTTCTACTTTTCTGAACGGCACAAACGCAGCGGCGTTTTCCGATGTAGCTGTGATTTCGACGCCTTTAGCGTCCCCTCGGGCTACTAGAGCTCTCCGAGCGACGTATTGGTGCTGTTTCTTGCCTCTTCGGGACTTCGGCACCTTCGGTCCTTGGAAGAACGGTAGCTTGTTGTGCTAGTGTCACAAGCATTCGCTGCGCGGGAGCGTTGTGGAATCAAGCGGAGAATCTGTTCGAAGCTACAGAAGTGGTTCTAGATGAGCAGAAGTGCGTCTTATGGTTAGCAGATTCGTAGAATCTCCATGGATGAAGATCGGGTGATGGACCTGACGGGCCTGTCCGGGGACGCGCCGGCATTCTACGACGAAGACTGCACGCAGCCACTGGAACGCTGGCTGAATGATGACGACGGGCCGCTGGTCTTCTACCACGTCAACTCTAAGGAGATCATCTACAAGGCCAAGAAAAAGAAAGCCAAGATGATCGGCAAGTACGTGATGGGCGACGTGCTCGGGGAAGGCTCCTACGGAAAGGTGAAGGAAATACTCGACTCGGAGACGCTGTGTCGTCGCGCCGTAAAGATCCTGAAGAAACGGAAGCTGCGGAAGATTCCTAACGGCGAACAAAACGTACAGAGGTGAGGAAAGTCGTATGATACTTAAGTAAGATTACAAAAAGGGGCAAACAGCGCACAAAAAGCAGAGAAGCACTGACTCTCAGCTGAGCTTTCTAGTTCAGTTACGTATTTCAATGATGCAACATCAACGTACCAAGCAAGTAAGAAATCAAAGTAACTTGGTTAACATCGAGCTGTGGTTGTTTTGCCAGAGTGGATCTCGCCAATTCCAATATTTGAGATCCGCAAAGAACTGACAAAGCATGGCTAATGCAATGAAGCTGTTCCGTTTTTACACGATGCAGAGAGATCAAGCTTCTGCGAATGCTGAGTCACAAGAACGTCATCAAGCTGGTGGATGTGCTCTACGACGACCAGAAGCAGAAAATGTACATGGTCATGGAGTACTGTGTCTCTGTGATCCAGGAGCTCTTGGATAGCGTGGCCGACAAGAAACTGCCCATTTGGCAGGCCCATGGGTGAGACTCCACTGGCCACTGTTCCGCCTATACCTCTGACAGGAGGCGGTAGCACCCAATCAAATAGAAAAAAAAACTGAAGACGAAAGATGCAAGCACAACACTATCATTATGGGTACCGACAGGTTGAGAATAACAGGCATCTCTTTTGGATGCCTTTCCAGCATGCACTCATTGCCTTTCCGTTGTGCTTTGGCTGCACATGCACGTTCAAGGTTCATGATGCACCAATCGAAGGTAGGAAGCTGGTGCTGGAGGCAGGTGAACTGAAGGACCTCTTTACCATTCTCATCCTGGTAGTGATCATAGGCAGTCTGTTAACTTGTATTGCAGCAGTCCCTGTAGATAAATATAAGTATGTGGTACGGTTCCAGCAGCTGCCTTTTCCTCCTCCTACGGAAAATTGCCCCCTCCCCCCCCCCCCTGAAGTATGCCATGTTCCCGGCTCATCAATCTGTACCACATCTCTTATGTTGTAAAGCAATTTTGAGAAATAAGTACCTCTTTTGTGTCTTTGTTCTCGGTACTGTAGTCGGTGAAAGGTTAAAATTGCAGAAGTTGCACCGCCTCCAACGCGAGATTTCTGCCTTCAACAACACTTTGTCGCACGTGCAGCCAAGGCCCGGCGGGAAGTAACGGGCGTGTGCTGGAGGCAAAGCTTCTGCTGCATCCTTAGCCTGTCACCAGTTATAGCACCACTTTTTCCAGCTTCAAGCAGCGATTTACAGGTTGGCCTCGGTAACTCTCTGCTTAGGTTTGTTATTCAACTATTGCCGCGGAGCGGCCATTGGCTCGCTCTGCGGGGAAGTTGATTTGCAGGCGTGTTTAGGAGTGTAGGACCTTGTATCTACACCTAAAGGGGTAACATGCATAGCCAATCAAATTGCACGGTGGGCAACATATTTGAGTAACCCTCACGACCGCTCCGCCTCTCACGGCCAATGTGCTGCGTGGAATGGTTTCCAACGGGCAGCGTCCCAACTTGTAGGTACTTCTGCCAGCTGCTCAGTGGCCTAGAGTACCTGCACAGCAAGGGCATCGTCCACAAGGACATCAAGCCCGGCAACCTGCTCCTGACCAACTGTGGGACTCTCAAGATCTCCGACCTGGGAGTCGCGGAGGTGGGTTAAAACAAAAGCAAAGAGAGATCTGTACACTTCTTTGCCATGTCACTATATTTTTCTGCTTGACATATTGTTACCCTCTAGTCACTGCTGCTAGTTCATATTTTCTCCCGTGTTAGAATGGTAGGAAAGCGGGTGTTGTTTTGTGGCCCAACTCTGTCCTCGTGATCCAGGTTGCAAACGGAAAAAATGATAGGACTGTGTTTGCTTTAGGTTTAAAACAAAACATGCCTTGCTATCGGTACCTCTCAGTGATAAGTCTTTCTTTTTCTGCACAAGTTTTACAGAAGCGTAATCGACCATGGCTGGCAGAGTCGCTTAGCATCAGTTAGAGTGCAATATAAGGAAATAAAAGAGTTGCTCACTTAGGACAGACGAAACCAGACTTGCGCTGAACGCTTTCAATCTTTCTTTTGACCAGTTTCATTTTTTTTTGGGGGGGGGGGGGGGGGGGGGGGGGGCAGGGGTGGGGGGTGGGGGTGGAAATGGAGGGTGGAGGGGAGAGAGGGAGGAATGGAGACAAAGACATGACAGTGCTTCTATTCTTTTAGTATTTTATGTAAAGCTTAACAAATCGTCTCTACCGTCATATGCAATCCAGAGCTCCAAACAATGCAGAAAGAGGAACTGAACAAAAAGGAGATCTTAGAAATAGCAAATTTTAGCAGCTTCAACCAACTTGCTCAACAATCACATTTAAATTGGGAGAAAGCATTGCCAACGCTGTGCGCATTTGCATTGTGCAGTGCAAACATGTTTGTGCAAGTTGCAGTTTATTGTGCATCACGCTGAATTGCAGAAGCTAGATATACAACTCCGACAATGTTTCGAAAGCTATGTCAGCCACTCGCATGGCACTGGCTGACGTGGCGTCTTGCCGTCTTTTTTTTATTGCCTTGCAGGCATTGGACCACTTTGCAATAGATGACACATGCCACACAAGCCAAGGGTCACCGGCCTTCCAGCCGCCAGAGATTGCCAATGGTCTGGACAGTTTCTCGGGATTCAAGGTGGATGTCTGGTCGTCGGGGGTAACCCTGTGAGTGAGTCTTTTGATGCCTGAATCTGGCCAACCCTCAAACAGAATTTTGTCAGTCTTTGTCCCCTAACTAGCAAACACCGTCTAACGTGTTCATGGTGCAACTTTTTATAATATGGCATTTTGAGGCGGAAGCCTTACTTGTCCCGTTATGCGAAAAAACGTTGGTGTTGTGCCCAAAAGATGGTTGTAAAAATATCATCAAGCACGCGCCGTTCAAGTTTAAAACGGACATGCCTCAGAAATAAAACACAAAGAAAAGCATAGCAACGCAGATGCTTCGTTCCGGAAGCTGTCGTGGAGCCGGCGGGGTTTGCCGCGTCTGTGCAGTGGGGGAGCGATGTCACCGCCGGAGTGCCTTGTGAAAAAGGAAGACGTGGCACGCTGCTTGTGGGAATGCGCTGCATGTAGGAATGCTTTCACATTCCTACACGTAAGCAGTCTTAAGTGTCTGCCATATTTTTCCCCAATGCTGCACTATATTCCAAACCCACAATAAATGTAGCTAACATGCTCAATGCATTAAAATGCAGCTTCCTTATAACAAAACTAAACACAGCACAAACTACTATAATAAAGATGTCTACTTGCTGCCAGCTTGCTGCAACCTTTTCTGGCTTGGCATTCAGCACACTGGTACGTGCTTGTATTCATTCTGTATACAGTGAAAGCTATTCATAATAGGGTTTCATGGTTTCGGGATTTATTTTTGTTTCCCATAGATTCGGTGTTCTTTGGTGCCAATATTCGGTGTTGGACAAAAGACTTCTGTTTATTGGGGCTGTTGAAAGAAACAGGACATGGGCACGGGATTCCCCAGCCTTTGGGGGGAAGATGTGTGTAACCCGGAGGCTTCAAAAATGTCCAGGTATTGATAAGAGGAAAAGAGACAACGGGTCTGGTTTCCAAAGAAAGCGGCAGCCTCGTTGAAACTTCGCTGGGGTTTTATCCCGGGGTGAACAGAAAAAAAGATGGAGGTACGCCTAAGCACTTCTTACGAGTTGTGAATGCATGCCTGTACATCATTCTTGCTCTACGTGTGTTGGCACACTGACTGGCGCCGACGGGCCCGCAGCGCTACGAGGTGGCCAGTCGTTGAAAATGACGCGGTCCGGCGAATTGGAGCCCGACGCGCACTAGCCAATGGGATCAAAGCGGTAAGGTGCCGTGGCTAGCTTTGCGCATGGTTACAGTTTCATAGCTGGGAGTTGGCTTGACTTGGAGAGAAGGATTTAGGAGCCGTATGGCGTGGTTTCAAAGCTGATGACGTCGGCTCGCTCCATGAGACAGTTGATGCTTTCGCATTAATAAAGTTGTAGGCAAAGGTTGCTTCCCCATGAAGCTATGGGCTTTCCCCGATTTTTATGAAACTGGTTCAGGGGTTATTTTTCAGTGTTTATCGGTGTATACCAAAAGCACAGAATCCTACTCGTAATCTAGTCTCGTGACAAAACAGATCTTTCATAACCGAGAGAACCAGTGGACGCCAGCTTGTGAAATCAAAAGCCTGGCCTATGCTCTGTTGCAGGTTAAGAAAAGCACGACCAGTACCTCCCGCAAAGCACCCACTCATTCTACTTTAGTAAAGTGAACACTGGAAGAGGCAGCCTGCTCTCCAGCATTTGCTCTGCTGAAGTGGAAGCAGTAAAGGGTTTTGTGGGGGAGGGGGAAAGCTTGTGCTGCCTTTTTTAAACCTGCAACAGAGTATGGTGCGATCTTACAGGACTGGTCACAAAACAAACTTGCGAAATCGGCAGCCTGTGGAATGAAGCTAAGAAGCTGCAGGTGGGATCGCTTGAAGGCAAGGTTTCGGCCGGCGCATTGCAGGTTCAACATCACGACGGGCAAGTACCCATTTGAGGGCGACAACATCTACAAGCTGTTTGAGAACATTGGCAGCGGGGTGTTTGAGGTGCCCGCCGAAGTGGACCCCCTCCTTGCCAGCCTCCTCAAGGGGATGCTCGACAAGAACCCCCGACAGCGGCTGGCGCTGGAGCAAGTTCAACACCACGAGTGAGTGCTGATACCCTCGCAAGCTAGACTCGTCTTGTCTTGAGGGATGCCGCACTGTCAGAAAATTTTTTCTTTTAACTGCCTGGATGGGAAACATGTCACAAGCCACACTGTTGAGTGCTAGATGGCACACAAAGCAATTGGGATTAACTTGGCAAGTAAAATATACCGCTTTATTGAACTTCCAAGTTCAGTAGAGCCGGCCGCTGCTTGTGCGGACTTGCGCGTAGTAACCTAGCTCAAGGTGCCTCATGCAACACACACTTTCCCTCCAAAAGGAATTGATTCATGCACTATTTATGCCATGATACATAGTCAAAATGCAGAGCAATTTCATCTGTTTGCACGTATTGGCTGAAAAATTATGTTTATTTGGAGGTGAATGTCAGATGATGTCGCAATAGAAGTCATTTTGTGAATCTCCCATTGGCTGGAAGGAGAGCAGAGGTATGCTACGACCTCTCCTCTGCCCTTTGTGTGCTGAGAAGAGGCCTGGCAGAAAGATGTGGAGAGGATGACGGCCCATTGACTGCATATGCGGCTGTTTAAATTGTGTCTCGAGAAGTAAATGATATTACTTATTTATTTTGCAGAGAAAAAGCATTGCATAATATAAGCAGCTTACCAAAATTAATTTGTTTTTGGGGGTGTGCATTTTTCTTTGAAATCAGTCTCACAATCTTGGACCCTTTTCATAAAAGTGCTGTTGCATTTTGCGTTCCCACGAACTCCTGTCCAAACGAGAGGATAAACAATCCCCACCATAGCACCGCTTCTTGCAACGATCGTGAAATATTTCGTGACCAGTCCTCCGGGAGGTTAGCTACAAGGCCAATTAGCGAGAAATTTGTTGGGAGATTTCTTAAGACTCCCGTAACATGATTGATCCCCTCTTATTAAATGTTGAACAGCACAGCAATAAGGACCTCGCTAAATCCCCAACTTCGCGGCTTCCATAGAACTTCGTAGTCCCGAGAACTCCGACATTGACAGACTCGAAAAGCCCACCGAAAGAGAGCGACCAGAAGTCTCTTGGAAGCCGAGAGACGGCTTGTGTCTATGAACGTGAAAAGGGTCCACGATAAAATGTGTTTTGACCCCAGCCGGCGGTCAGTGGCGAACCGAAATGCTCTTCCCGAGACCGCCTCTTTATCCGACCTCGACGCGCAGCTGGGTGCGCAAGAAGCACCCGCGTCTCCTCGAGTATGTGCCCATTCCCGAGCGGAGCAAGGGGGACGCCCTGCGCTCCATGACGGTGATCCCGTACCTGCGCCACGTCACGTCGGAAAACGGCCGCCGCTGCAGGGTCAACTCTTGCACCGACGAGGAGGAGGAGGACGACGAGGACTCGCAGGAGTACTACACCGAACACGACTTGCAGGGTGCGCTTCCCCTTTTACTCTACTGTAATCGAGGGCTCTGGACTTGCCACACACAAAGTCGGAGCCAGAGTTCACGGAGCACATCGGTGGGACTCTCGTGGAAAATGGCGAGACTTCGGTGTTGCGAGTCTAGTCGACACATACTTTGTGAACTTCAGGCTCAACTTTGTGTTTGGTGAGTCTAGAACCGCCGCAATGTCTAGAGCACATCTGCTGACTGGCGTGTTAACTGTGTCTTTATCAGTGTTGCATAAAGTCATCTAAAACATACTTCTAATAAAGTATTAAAGGGCAACTCCGCTCAATTACGAATATTTCGGGATAATGATTGATTTCGAATTAAAAAGCCCTAGTAAAACACACTACGTTGTTTGCTTCGCGAAAAATGGGATAAATATTTTTAAATCTGATTTTAAACAAGAGCGGAAATCGAAACCGAAACTTCAGCTCCGCCCGGCAACATTGGCCTTGGGTCGCCAAATACATGGCCATCACGTGGTACAAGATGTCACGTGATCCTCGGCCCAACGACGGGCGGGATTGGGGCGGGCGTGTGGCAGGCGCAAGTGTCGTCTGCACCGCACTCTTCGCCACGTTTTGGTGTCTACGGCATTCAACGACGTCTGCACAACTGCGGCATAAGTGTGTGCGCACGTGGTGTCCGTAGTGTGGACGAAACTTCGAGAGACAATAATCACAATCGGTGAGACGACGACGGCGGTTGTGACGCGGAAGACGGCGGGACCACGGCGGGCGGCCGGACGGCTCCCAAGAAACGCGCTGCGCAGGCGCGTTACACCAATCACGTGGACAACGCTGAGCGCCGAGAGGCAACGTTGCTGACGTCATGCGCTATGCTCGCCCGGAGAAGTGAAAACAAGCAAAAGGGGGCCATGTAGATGGCGTTTAGCTCAATGTTGGCTCCGCCCATGCCGTAGCCTTGACTGTGCTGTTGGTTGCGCCTGAATTCGCCCGCTCAAGTCAGCCGATTTCGGCAACTTGGCAAGTTGCAAAGTTCGCCGGACCGTTTAAGAAACATTTAGACAGAACTGCGTCGCAAGATTTCACGTGTGGTCTTCCTAGGTGATACTGAAGAGGACTGCATTGTTTTTTCAAAACCAAAAATGAAGCGGAGTTGCCCTTTAAGTACTAAATTAAAGGCTATGCACTTCAAGTAAAGTAGTAAGTACACCGGGCTCAATGTACTTTACTTTAAGTACCATAAATACAATGTACTTTCAAAGTAAAGTATACTCTTTAGCACAGTCTGAAGCAGTTCTGTATTTGAGGAAAAACACTTAAATTGTCTTCATTTGGCCTCCAGGATCACGAATATTGAGATTATTTTTTTCAATTTGGAGCACGGAGGCTGCATAAAATCATTTTCAAAGTACTGCTGAAGATTTTGCCTTTCCGGAGGGTAACGACATATCCAGAGTTTATGGAATCTCCACTCTCGCTCATCTTCAGCGCCTATCGAAGCTATGCACGAGCACTGTTGCTATTTTTAAAAAGGTCAGAGAAAGACGTCTCGACTGGTGTCAGTTTAGGGGAACACTTGGCAAGCTTGCAATTGGACGCGCTGCCCACACGAGTGACACGCGCTTGGCGGCCGAAAGATCTCGGTATGACGTAACGACTGGTTGGAGGTTTTTTGTTTTCTCTCACGTTTAGTTACATCTTCAAGGAAAACGAACGTGATATTCAGATCCAGAGGATAAAAATACTCTAGAATTCACTTCTAACGAGTTTTTTTCAAGGACCTCTTCAGCTTCTCTTTAAACTGGTACGCATTGCTCCAGGGCTAATCGGGGGTGCGTCAGTTATTTTCGGAAGTGGCGGCAAATATTAGGTGAAGTCAACTGGTTTTGGAATTGACAAAGCATCGTTTTGGTATAAAAATTTAACAAGACCAAATTTGAAGAATGTACTTGGAAGTCGGGAGTTGTACTTTCCTCAGAAAGTACCAGAAAAAGATACTTTATAAGTAGGGTGTGTACTTTCCGGTGTTTATTTGTGAGAAAAATCGGCGGATGTTTTTCGGTGTTTATTTATTTTCAAAGCACCGGTGTATTTCGGTGGAACGTCTCACGACGAGGCTAAAATCGGTGAATATCGGGGAAAAAAAACAATTATCACAGGCAGAGAGTTCCAATTTTATTCACATAGTTCATACACTTCTTCTCTAGGAAGCAACTATTTCTCACACTTGGTTATTATAGTAGATGAAAGCATACTTTCATGCTTCCATCTTCACGCAAGGAACGTGCTGCCGTCATGGTGCACGTTCCTTGCGGCTCGCAACCCGCAATTATGAAAACGCACGCTCCTGTACGACACGGACGTTGGCAGTGTCTTCCAGGAACCACAGCAACCTCTGAATACATGGCTTGCACCGACATCACTTGGCCAGACACAATGAGGAAAAGGCACGTGAGAGCCAACCCTCCACTGTGTTAATTTTTCCACAAAAGGGGGCCATGGGAGACACAATAGGGGAAAGGCGTATGAGAGCTTAGCTTCCACTGCGTTCACTAGACGCTTTTGACCCCCAGAAAGGAGGGTGGACTGACGCCACCTGCAAGCCATGTAAACACTGGAAGAATGCAGGATCCACGAGATAACACGTTTGACGAACCCCTACGGGGTAAGGGTTTCGCTAGGTCGGAAACGTGCAACGACCGGTGTTTTTCGGTTTTAACCAGGGTGAAAATATCCAACCACCGGTGTTTTTCGGTTTTAACCGATTTTATATTTTCGTCACCGACGGATGTTTATCGGTGTTTTTCGGTTAAAACTGGAAAATGCACACCCTATTTATAAGTATAAGTTTGTATTCAGAGAATGTGCTTCAAGTAAAGTAAAGGTTTTCTAAACCTACATGGTACTCAAAGTACTATTTTAAGTACAACATACTTAAAGCGCTTCCCAACACTGGTCTTTGTCATATTTGTTTGTCACATTAAGGACACTTCAATGTATGGGTGGTATAGGATGCCGAACAAAGCGATCGGACACATGTTCTAGGCACCATGTCTTTGATGCAACTTCCTCACGGTGGCTGCACTGGCAACAGTCATCTAGCACAAACGTAAAAAGACATCAAGCTATGACCTCAGGGCTACGACATCCTCCCTTATGCAGTGCAACCCACTCAAAATTTTCACACTTGGAGGAAACCACTGTTAAGTAGCATAAATGTATGTGGAACTATCAAAATATGAGTAATTTTTAGTGGGTGTAAAAAAAGGTGAAAGTCCCTACTATTAAAGCAGCAAGTGCATTTTAAATTTTGTTGAACGCAGTTGACTGCAGTTGGAGTCGAATGTCTTCGCAGTCTTGTACTGAACCTGTTTAAATTTTATGGAAGTGTGAGAACTGATTAATTCCCGGTGAAGCTGCATATAAGAAGTCATCCATACTAATTAAATAATCACAAAAGTACCAATCTTGGTTAATTTACACTCACCAGAGGCTCATCTTTGGTGCTATGCAATTGTGGTCATTATTGATGGCTTTAGGTCCTTTTACTTCTCTCCAAGTTAGGAAATTTTGGCAAAGTAGTAGAGTAATTTCTGAAAGGTCAGTGGATTAAGCAGCAGGATAAGATGCACTCCCAAAGTGTGTCAACTAAACTGCATAGAAAGAGAGCCACAGAACCCGCCAGTTTTCTGTCCAAGTTCTTGCTACGCACATCTGCAAGCAGCCACGCCTCGAAAGCTAGTCTGGCCCCCCGGGGGGAAAATGCTTTGTTGGAGCACCAGTCTGGTAACTGTGAGCACACTTTAGGGAGGCTCTGTTGTCAGAAGACCTACACACACCATCTGCGAGGTGGCAATGCCCAGAGGCCTTACTTGAAAATGTGCGTAATCTGTGGTTGCCGTCATGCGCTGGGCCCGAGGGACGAGCCAATTGCTTTTTTTTCTACGCAGAATTGCGGCAGCGTGCTGACGATTGCAACCGGGCCACCCGACGCGGCCTGCCGGGGTTGCTGAGCCGATCTCGCGTGCTCGGCGGCTGCCAGCAGTCTTGAAGCAGACGGTTTCTGTCAAGTAACCGAATTTCTTCTGGATCCGGCTAGCCAAGCCCTAGTCAAGCCAAGACGGCTCCACCTGCTTAAGCGGAAGACTGCGACAAGCGACGTCCTCTGCCACCTTTTATTTCCGTGTTGGGCGATCGGAAAAGAACACTCTCGGAGCGACGCCCGACGTACTGCCGCACCAATTACCCAAGGTCTAATGCGAGTCTGCCTGGTCCCGGCTTGTCACGAGACGGCTTTGCTGCCGCCTTCACCAGTGTGTGGAATGTCCTTGCCGTGTCTGGTAGAACGAAAACAATGATAATAAAACAAAAATATGTCTGAAGTTGTTTTCTGGCCACTTGAGGCTCTGTGGTACACGGCAAGACCAAGTGCACCCTTGGTGTAATTATTAAAGGGAGTGTAATGAGGCAGGCGAGATTGATGAAGAGATGCACTAAAATCCAAGGCAAGAACAAATAAGGGGACACGCATGACACGTTACCAGTGCGCTGCTGCCGTAAACGACTTTCAAATGCCCACTGTCGTTTTGCGTTCATGTGGCCGTGATTTGTTTATTCAGTTCTTATTCTGTTTTTACTGACTTTGTCAAGCTGAAATTTAAATGCGTTGAATAGATATTTGTACACGGGAGCTTATTTCGTATCGAATTTGTGGTGGCCCATGTTTTCGTTGAAGAAAAATATTTGGTTAGCACGGCGCATTACAAACTGCTAATTAACGATGCATGTAACATGCACCGTTAATTAAACGTGCGAGATCTTTCTTCCCAAGTTCGGCAGAAGAAGGGGCTGCGAAACACACTGAGACAATGCAACCTTTGCACTTTGTTCCCACAAAAAGAAGTGCCAAGACCGGTGGCTTGGATCAAAAATACATACCATGCGTTCGGAAAACGAACGACGCAAGCTGACGTCTTCTACGCAGACACCACCCCGAATTTCTTGCCGACGGTGATGAAGGCATCAACGGTGCGGTCAATGTCTTCCTTGGTGTGTGCTGCCGAGATCTGCACCCTAATTCTGGCCTTGCCTAAAGTCAGAAATAACACGATTAATTGGTTAAAAAAAGTAAAAAGCGCCACTCGTTTATGTCCTTACGAAAGAGACAAAACCTACCTTTAGGCACGACGGGATAGCTGAACCCGACGACGTAAATCCCTTGTTCTGGGAAAAGAGGACACAAGTGAGCAACCCATCTTTTTCGTGCGTAGTACACTGACAGAATCGGGTTAACTAACAACTCCGGAGAATATGAGATTTCTTCGACTATGATGTCAACATTACTGCAACAAAAACGCACGAGCAAGACGGTGCATGCACATTCCCTGCGTTTCTTTTCCTTTTGATTTTTCTCTTACCATTCAGGTAACCGCAACGAGGATACCAAAGCAGTTACTACTTTTGAATTTTGCTGTTTTTAGGGCAGCAGCAGTTCGAATTGGAAAGGTGACTGCCCCAAAGTGCCAAACGAATAGAAACTTTCGTAAATGTCGGTCTAACGGATATCCAGCAAAGCTTGGCAAACTGGAAATTAATCTTTCTGCGTAAAGAGGAAAACCATCCTAGGAATGCCGCAACACTAGTTCACTTTGGAGGGGGGTCTATGGCGTTAACCGGCCTGCTGCAATCGACACAACGAAAATTCTGTGAGCTCGGTTTTCGGTTCACTCACCCAGCATGCCGTCTGCAAAGTCTGCGGCCAACCGGGCGTCTCCCAGCATCACAGGACAGATGGGGTGGTCGTCACCCTGTGTGAAAATTGGGGACATGGTAAACGAGCGCTTCAATTGTCGTTAAAATAGTAGAACTTGGGTCTTCGTTACAGAGGTTGCTGAAAAACGGGTTGGTTTCTGGGGGTTATACACCAACTCATGTTTACAAACAAACCGGAGCGCCCCTAGCGGACGCCACTGGCGCCGCGCATGCGCGGTGAACGGTGGGCAAGAAGCCCGCCGTCGCCCATAAACAAACCATTGAATTGCGTTGTTTTCGGCGACGGTGGGAGTCCCCGTGCTCTTTTTCGCGTTGGAATTGTTGATTCTACGTCCTCCTAACAATGTCTGACTACTTGAGCGGCTTCAGCAAAATTAACGAGGCAAAACTTTGCGTGAATAATGTGACTTGCGGCGATTCATTTCAGGTGGACGCCGCAGAATGGGCGCTAAAGCCTGACTCGCACGATGAGATTCTGCTCGCTATTTTCAGTCGCGACGTCGCTCGGGCTGCAAAAGTGTGGACCGCAGCTGAGATGATGGACGTCGATACCGAAAACCGCAAGTAGAATCGGGCACTACAAATCGGTGATGGCGACTGGTAACAATAATGAACATCTTATGGTATCTACTGTTTACATTTAGCCTACTTGCCCCAACCAACCTTCAAGAGTGTTTTGAGGTCTGCACTTAGTTCTTATCGCAATTACCGGGTCAACGTTTGGTTTACGGGCCGCTGTCGTTTGAACGAGCTGACGACAAAAAGCAGACAAGTTTGAAAGAGCAGACGACAGTTCGAACGATCATGCGAACGACCGCGTCCCTTGGAATGTCACGTTCTCGGCGCCTGCGTGAGTCTGCATACTGTTTTTCGCGTTGGAATTGTCTATTCTACGTCCTCATAGCAATGTCTTACCACTTTAATCACCTGAGAGAAATTATCAAGGCTCGTTACACCGCTAAATTTTGCGTAATTAATTTGACATGCGGCGATTCATTCGCGTGAACGCCGCAGAATGGACGCTAAAACCATGATGAGATTCTTCTAGATATTTTCGGTCGCCACGTCGCTCGCGCTACAAAAGTGTATAAGGCAGCGGCGATGATAGACGTCGATACTGAAATTCAGAAGCGGGAACAGACCAAGCGTAACAAGTCGGTGATGGCCGCTGGTACCAATGATCAACATCTTGTATCTACTCTTTACACCGAGCCTACATAAGTCTTTTGAGGCCTGAAATTACTTCTTATTGCAATCACCGGGTCAAAGTTTGGTCTACGGGCCGCTTTTTTTGAACGAGCAGACGACAAAAAGCAGGCTCGAAAGAGCAGACGAAAGTTTGAACGATCATGCAGCCGTGTGAATTTGAAGACGCACTGAACCCGCGGGTGGCCCGGACAACTTGGCGGTCGTTCATGTTGGAACAAAACAAATGCATCTGCCGACCACAAAGTGTATCCCGCACAAGCAACCGTAGTTCGACAGCGTCTGGTTTACCCTTTTCACGGCTACTATCCACGTACTCGGACGAACGGAGCGGGCAGAAACACATGAAAACTGATCTTCAAACCTTTCCAGACTCTTTCGGTACAAGTTACAACCCCCGTTGAAGCATTTTGACGAGAAGGCAGGTTTTTTGTCTGGTTTATCCGAAAAGAAAACAAGAATGCATGTCTCGCACGGCGACTTCTGCCCACCGCCCCAGACCGGAAGTGCGACCGACGCGCCACCACCGCGGCGTGACGTAGGAGAGTTGAGCTCGTGTATATTCTATGTTCAACTTATGCGCATTTGAGTGCGGAGGAGTGTGCGGACCCACCGCAATGTTGAAGCCGGCTGCCTTCATGCGCGACCGGAAGTGCGTGGTGTTGACCGCCACCCTCTGTGCGAGCTCGGGTCCAGACAGCAGCAGATCCAGCACCTTGGCGGCGCACTGCACCACAGGCGGCGGAAGCGAGTTGGAGAAGAGGTAGGGGCGAGACCGCTGGCGCAGGAGGTCCACCAGCTCCCGCTTGCACGTCGTGTAGCCTCCTGCGACCGATACAATGAAGCTCATTTGTGCGTTTCTTAAGCGTGAATTCCGGATAACCAAGGTGCGGGAAAAAAGTCACACTTAAAGCACGTAATAAACAATTCGTTCGGAGGTTGTCGTAGTTGCGTGACTGTAGTAGCGTGATTTCATTTATTGGTTTCCCTTAATTAAAGGGACACTGAACTCTAGAAAACTTTCAGAGTCAACGGCTTGAAGGAGTTGTCAACCCCCAAATGTTTTGGAATTGCTCCTAACTCTCAATGGTACGTAGTGCACTTTTTTTTTTTCTTTTTTTTTTTGGGGGGGGGGGGGGGGGTTAATGTTGTTTTTGAGGAGTTTAGTATTTTATTAAGAAAATTAATGGCAAAATTTAGGCAAACGTTTTATGAGTGTTATTGCGGCAATGGTTTCAGGTAGCTTTTTCTAGTCAATAATGGTGAGCTGCAAAGACAAACATCTGGTAAAGGCTAGTCCTGGAGATGCCCAGGACTAACCTTGAAATTTTTGATGGCAGACTTTATCGAACTATAAAACAAGAAACAAAAACAACAAAAAATTACATGTCAGATTGCTAGGCCAATCTGTTTAATACCTGAAACATTCTAGCATCACGTGACATCAGGTCGCATGACATCAGTTTCTCTGCTAAATCGGGGAAACTGAATTGGTGTATAGGTAACGTGACATTAATTTCCCCGCTAGCAAGTAAATTGACGTCACATTACCCGATAATAATGACCTATGCACCAGTTTAACTTCCCCGCTAAATTTAGTGCAGAAACTGAATTGGTGCGTAGGTCTGTCACATCACAAAATGCGGCTTCACGAAATCCAGAGCAACTATCCAAAGAATGTTTCACGTTAAAAGGCAGATTGCAATGTTTGGTTTTCTTTCCCTACAGCTTGCCATTCTCTAGCATTGCACTGCCGTGCTCCCCTACAAAACGCTTGTATGACGTGAATTCAGGCTGCCATAGATCTTGAGCTCACAAAAACCAAATTTCACTGTCGCGCTACACAAAGCAACTAATTGGCTGCATAAAAATCCAGAATGCTTTACGTGAACAGTTGGTACAAATGAAATAACGGCACAAGAAAGGTTTAAACTCACCAGCAGCACCTCCCAAAGCCTTGCCAAGTGTGGAGTTGATGATATCGATGCGCCCCGATAAGCCAAAGTACTCCTCAGTGCCCCTGCAAAAATTTGAGGCTCAACATTGTGCAGCCTCCAAGGTAGATCCACTATCAGAGCCTCGCAGAAACAGTTCTCATCACTGCAACTTTTTTTCTTTTTTTTTTCCGACGAAGCTAGAGGTGTTATTACTCTGACTGAGCCATCCCAAACAAGTTGTAACCAAGAGGATCAAGCCGTGTACCTGCCCGTCTTTCCAAAGAACCCCGTGGCGTGGCACTCGTCGACAAAAACCATGGCATTGTAGCGCTCTGCCAGGTCGCAGATGTCCCTAGAAGAAAAGCGGGACATCAAGCTACACCCCCAAATTAGGTATGGCCCCAAAATAAAGTAATATAAGAACACGTGAATGTGTTTTGCTAAGGTGAGCACGTTGGTGGAATGATTTATTACCGAAATAATAAAACGCAGATGGACACGACTACACATCTTTCAGCTATACATACCTTGAAAGAGTTGCTAAAGGGTACCTGAACCAGTGCCCTATACAAATTAAGGTCTACAACATGGACAAGCTATGGATGACTTTGACTGCTTGAATACTGCAACATAAATATTAGGTGAACCTATGTGCCTTGTTTGAGAAGGAACCTTTGTAAATCACAAAGAAAAAAAATGGGGTGTTCAAGCAACCGTGGAGGCATTTTATACAACTGGCACTTCAAAATGTTGGCTTTGTAGCCTCCAGACACCACACCAGACAAATAAAATAGAATAAACATCAAATAGCTGGGCAACAAAACCTAGTGTCCACTCAAATGAGTTTCAATAGCCAAGTTTCTTGACCTATATTGCACCTTCTGGCATTGTTTTGCACAATTATGTTCATCTAAAAGAAAATGGCACAGCAACTGCCCTAGTATATGAACTCACCGAAGGGGCGCCACATTTCCGTCCATGCTGAAAACGCCGTCCGTGACGATGAGCCGCTGCCTCGACGTCGTCTGCGCTTCCTTGAGCTTGCTTTCCAAATCTGCAACAGGGGACACGAACAGCCCTCTTTTTTTGTTGTTGTTTTGTTTCCCGATTCAGAACAAACAACCCCTTTTTGTTTGTTTTGTTTCCTGATTCAGAACCCTACCATCTTGTCCTCTGTACCTCCGATTTTAGTAAGCATGATTTTATGCTTCCCAGATCCAAGGCTGCAGACTTTCCTTCCTCAGTGGTCACCGACAGAGTGAGATTGGCAGAGCGCGTCTTTCGAACACCCGGCCTCCGGCACGCACTGCACGCCTTCTACCATGCTTTGGCTGCGTGTGCGCGCTTGAGGTGCAGGAGACACCAAAGCATTGTGGAAGGCAGGAAGCTTACGCTGGAAATGGGACGGACAACTGAAGCTCCTCCCTGCCGTTCTCACCTTGTCAACGCCGAGCGCAAGTTCGTCTGCTTCTTTTGCAGGGGTTGTGGTGACGTCAGAATGCCGAGCTCTGACTAAAGGATAGTGGGTAGACCTCAAAGCAAGCTGCCTTGAGGTCTGCCCACTATCCTTCATTCAGAGCCAATCAGAGCTCGGTGCTCTGACGTCACCACAGCCCCTGCAAAAGAAGCAGACGAACTTGCACTCCGCATAACCATGGTTCACCGACAGGCGTGACGGCGTCTGTTCTCTTCCTCCATGTTGGTGCAAGCAGCGAAGAACTCACCGTTCATGTCCCTGTGCTTGTAGCGGTACTTCTGCGCCTTGCAGAGCCGGATGCCGTCGATGATGGAAGCGTGGTTCAGCTCGTCCGAGAGAACTGCGTCCTCTGGGGTCAGCAGGACCTCGAAGATTCCGGCGTTGGCGTCGAAGCAGCTGGCGTACAAGATGGCATCTTCCCGTCCGTGGAACTTTGCAATCTTTTGTTCCAGCTGTTTGTGAATGTCCTGCAGGGCATTTTGGGAATGTGTAAAAAAGTGCCCACAGTCATGGCTGCTGTGGATAGCTGACTATAGCTTTTAAAAGTTAACTCTGCTTTGTTAACAAGCGGTGTGCCCTTAAGAAAGCTGTAGGCGGCAGCATTGTGGGTGTAGACCTCTTCCATTTACCCTCATCTCCAGCCACATAGTTCGCACATCTGGTATGAAAAACGAAAAAATTCAAGACGTTACAACCCGGAACAGGCAAAAAAAAAAAAAATATAGAAGAGCCAAATTAAGAAGGACTCACAACCGCTATAAAAACATAAACACCTCCCAGCTGTGTGGCAAGGGCAATATGATGTTTTCCTCCATACCGGAAGTTACACGGTTCAAGATGGCGATGACTACACAGAAAAGGTCCGTATAAGGAAACAATTCACACGGTCTTTTATGTTATCCTAAAACGACTTGAAGGCGAATGCCCAAGCGCCGATGCATTAAAGACAGACACATGATTTACGGGTGTGGCAATACCCCTCTGCCGTGGCAAAGCGGTACTGCCACACCCGTAAATTATGTGTCTGTCTTTAACGCATCGGCGCTTGGGGTTTTATGCACCTCGCCGGACTACCGATCGAAAGGTTGGTGGTTCGACGCCAGCCGAGGAACAAGAGCGAAAAGTCTTTTCAGAGGAATATTAAAATTCGCAGATGTCACGTAAACGTTTTAAAACCTTTTGTGTCGCCGAAGTGTTTTCGCTCAAGGACTTTGAAGGTCGACTGAACGACGAGACATGTGAGGCTTTCCCCTTAATAAACGAGTCAACAAAGTTTGAAAAGTTCCTCCTTCCTTGACTTTTTTCTTTGCCTTGAAAGTTTCTTCTTTTCTCTTTCAGTCTCAGGTTTTACGCAAATACAAATAACTTTGTGCAAGAGTGGAGAACCTGCCTGTGTTCCACAGATGAAGCGCACGGAGCTGAGGCCAGCACCATACTTGTCCAAAGCCTGTTTCCCGGCTTCAATGACCTCGGGATGGCTCTGAAACAGAAGAATGGACAATGTTCCAATAAGGTCCGACTGCTTAACTCAACCAGACCATGTTGGTCTATGGGCGGGTGCACAGAATACTACCACGAGCGTGAGAAAAACGTTGCGAAAGCGTCAGTCAGACATGTCAAGCTAAAGTTCACTCGGCTACCAGAATGTTGGCATGCTTTTGGCGAGCTCCTGCTCAATCTGTTTACTTTGCCACTGAAGTCACATGAAGGAAAAAAGTATGCTGCCCTCCTCTGCCCTACGTACGGCAGGTGGAACGTTTTCTTCAACAAGCACGAGAGGCCCAGAAAAGAAGTGTTCAGTTTTACGAAGAAATTTGCCTTTGCGACGAGACAGAAGGAAACATCTCAACGATTTCCTGACACAGATAACTATTCATAAGACAAAGGAATGTTGCAAATGTATGGTACAACAGTCTGAATGTAATACAATGACGCCAAGGGAAACTTCTTATAAAATAAGAGTGTCCTCATATCCAAACAATCCATAAAAACAAAAGGGAGAAGCCACACACTTTTTTTTTGTTTAACTGTGGAGGTTTGTCCATAAAACAGAGGTTACACAGACAAGCTCCATTCCTCTAAGAAAATATTGTCTTCCCATCCCTTCCTAAGACGGCAATAAGGTTCAGGCTTCACCTTCATTCTAATCGGAAACACTTTTTCCTGACTATTAAACAGGCTCCAACAACTGGTCAAATCGTGAAAGAAATGTCACTTGCGTGAAAGGGCTAGAAGGGGGAAGAGAAAATGCAGGTGTACCGAAAGGCCCAGGTAGTTGTTGGCGCAGAAGTTGAGGACGGACTTGTCCCAACCGTCCACCCACACGGAAGAGCCCTGTGAACTGGTGAGCACACGCTCCGTCTTGTAGGTGCCGGCCTCACGGATCCCTGCCAGCTGCTCTTCAAGGATCGCTTTGGTTGCGGCCCAACTGCTTGACGACGCGCGGCTACAGCCTTCGGCCGTCGCCACACCTGCAAGTTAGGAGAAGCAGTCAAAATCAGGATGAGTAAGTTCATTAGTATATCATACACATATTTGTGCATCGTGTGACCAACTTGTTCATCTTGACTTCGATGTAAACCTTTAAAGGGAGTCATGTCTGTCCATTTGTTTCTGTTCACTCCCTAAATGTGCATAGCGAGAAGCAATCGTTCAAAGGGATGCTACGAAGCTATATTTTGGGGTGATTACCTTCACTGTACTGTGGACTTGGCGGGTCAGGCAAGTTGGTCGCTTAACCTTGGAAGGAGGGTGCTCAAGTACCTGATGTACAAGAACATAAACACACGCCTGACCAAACAAGTGGCCAGACTCGTGGGGAAGTATGAGGTGCCGCTGAACCTGCTGGATGGCCAACTGCTCCGAGAGGATGTGGCAAACCACAAGAAGCGTGTGCAGGAGGTGGAGACAAGGAGGTGGACGGAGTCGGCCCCTCGCAAGCCGACAATGACGACGTATGCCGGATCCAAGGTTGTCATCATGCGAGAGCAGATATACGACTACCGAGGCAGCCGCCTGCTCTTCGAGGCGCGCACGAGGGCACTGAAGATGAGGGTGTGTAAGTCGCATTTCGACACCAAGTCTCCGACCAACTGTGTTGTCTGCGGAGAAGCAGAAGAGACCATCGAACACCAAATACTCCAATGCCCTCAGCCCTTGTCCCCGGGTGGACAGGCTGCCGGTGGCACTGGGTTTTTGGACGGCAGACAGGGAGGAGGACAACGGGGAACAAGTTGAGACGAACAAGTGAAGGCTGGAGCAGTGGTGCGAGCATTCCCAGCGGAACTAGGTGAATCAGAGGTGGACAGGCGTGGACACACAGTACCGAGGCAAACCTGCAGACCCCATCTGCTCCGGCAGATGCCCACCTACAGACGAAGGAGACAAAGAGAAACCCGGCTACTCTTGGCTGGGCACTTGATGAGCCCAGCGAAGCTGGCCTTTAACAGGCCCTCACCGGAACTTCCGGCAAGCAGCCACCTGATACAAAGGGGATGCCAGCGAATCCAAATCCAAAATTTTCAAATTAGGCGGCGGACAAACAGGGAGTTTAGACTCTAGGGACTAAGCAGGCAAATAATACAAATAAACCTTTTCTGGGCATAGGGCTCACTGGATACCCACTAAAACTTCTTCGCACAAAACTGAGAATCGAAGTTTTCCAACAGGAGCATCGTGCATATGTAAGCTCTCCTCCCGTCTAGTGGCAAAAGGTCAAATGTGCCTTGAACGAAATGAGTATAGGCAGAATAGCAGACGACACTCGCATCAGCTATTCACATGGCTGTGCCAGCTTGTAAAGCTCCAAGGCCCTACCAACGAAGTAACTTCGTATGCCAGCCACTACACTTTGCTCATCCCTAAACTGATGGTGCAGTGGAAGCTGCATGCCCGCTGTACTAGTCATACCTTGCGCCACCATGATCGTGCTTCCTCCCATATCCATGGGCAGAGAGCGGGACCAGGCGATGAAAGGGAGGTGGTTTATTTGTCCGGCAAGCACATAGCTCCCACCGCACAGTCAGCTTAGGTGCGAACACAGTATATAGGTGCCATCTTTACGCGGAAAACGTTCACTGACATGTTGTGCCAATGTTCCCAAAACCATGACACTGTTGAAACACCATTTCCCTGGCTTTCCTCCAGTACCACTGGATTATCAAAATAATCCCCATACAACTGATTTCAAAAGCAATGAACTCTGTTCACAGACAAATAGCGATTTTCATTTCCAACCTCTTACCCAGTTAACCAGGCATGCCAAATTTATAAACATACATACGGCTAGCTATATCTTTGTGGCAAGTAGCAGGCCACTCAGTGAGGTGATTTGTGTGTCCCAATAGGCTTCTTGCACCAGACGTCACTTCCGGTTAGCCTCGAAATCAAAACCAACATTGCTGTCTGCTATCAGTGCCTTGGCGCCATTTTGGAGGCATTCGGTGTCTTATTGCGGCAGCAGTAGTGCCGTGGAGCCATAGAGCCGTCTTTGTATAACCACATTTCAGAATATTTTCTTGCCCTATAGTCAATCGCAAAGAGGTTCCTCACCTGACGCGAAGTGCAGTCCACAAACCCTTAGTTGGGGCATAGCTTTTCTGTCCAGATCATAGAGTTAATATAATAATCTAGAGCGAAAGGTCCCATGCATTTGGCCATTTCAGAATTAGCGGCGGGGCATAGAAGTGGACATCGGCGGTCCCAGTCGGCATCCCGCTGAGCCCATATCGTTGAAGACGCCTTAATATGCACAAAAAAGCAGTACATGACCTGTAAGGTCTGTACCTTGTTATTTTCTTGTTTACTATGCAGAAAAACACCGGAATCGCGCACTGACAAAATGAAATAAAGCTGACAAGCACTCGAGCAACTCCAACATGTTGTGGAAAAACGAACATGCCTAACCCTTCAACTGCTTTCTTTCTCTCCTATTTTGTTGCTTTCTCTTGGAACCGGAGATGTTAGCGCCCAGGATTTGCCACGTTATGCTCCCGTCTTTACCTGCCTGGTCGCGGTTATGCCGGTGTATCTGTCGGAGCCATTCACAACGCTGGCAAACCGAATGCTCAAGCGCCGCCTTGCCCTGATTCGTAATGATTTCTGGGATTCTAGAAAAACCGTATTGCTGACCGTAGCTCCATTGTCACCGACTTTTACAGCTGGAACAATAAACCAATACTGCTGACCGTAGCTCCGTTGCCGTCAACTTTTACGGCTAGAACAACATTGCAACTGACCATTTTAACCCTCCAGTGAGCAGACAAACTACAGAGTGAACACGGCCCCAAAGCACATAAAACATAGCATAACTACAGCGACAAATGCCTCCAACATGGAGTCTGGCAGGTTTCAATGAGATTTACGAATGGCTAGTAGCATTCCATTATGGTCTCGTGCAAGTACCCTATAGAGCAGAGGCAAAATATAAATCATTTTGTACACCATGTTCTAGATTAGGATTGCAAGACGCATGCACTATTCACGTATACATCAGGTAAGAGAAGACATGACAATGACATGCTGCAACACCATGCAGACAAGTATAATTCTTGTGTGGCAGATATTTGCTTTCGTTAAAAGTTACATTTTACCAGACACCTGCAAAAGCGCTGACATCTGTAGCCTTGAAGGTGCACTGTGAGGACTAGGTATGATGAAGCACTATCACGGATATTGATAACCTACAGAACTGTAGTATGCTCCCCACACAGTGAACATCTGAGTATGCAAGCCTGTAAACATATGATCAGAAATACTACCTCGACCGCCTGCTAACCCACCACTACACTATATCTGCCGTTAAACAACCGCAGAAGTGTGCTTGTAGTTAGTGTGAAGGTTAGGAGTGCACTTGGTAGCGGTAGATAGTGTAGTGGTAGCTAGCAGGTGGTGCATATCCTAATAAAAGTGCTGACTACGCTGCAGAATCCAACTCGCCATACATTTCTTTGCAGTCCCACTATCGCTGAACCACAGGCATTTAAACCCTGAACCACCGCCGTCCCGTCAAAATCGGTAGTGGGACGTCCGACGACGTGTAAACGCAATAAACGTGCCTATTCGTCATTAAAAAAAAAAAAAAAAAAAGAACAATTTTTTTTTTTTTTTACAGACTTTGATTTTGAGTTTGCCTTCCTTTGTCTGCGTCACAAAAACAAACCAACAAAAAACTTCACAAGAAAACACGAAGAAACGCGAATGAACCTTAAATCAAGATTGATTCATTCCGTCGTACGATTGTTCCGAAAGCACAAGTGGGCGATAACCTTATCGGAGATAACGGTCGCGGTGCGCTGTCGCGGTGCGCTGGCAGCTGTCCAGCGAAAGCACATGTGATAAACTCGTATCAAACAAACACAGCGTCTTCAGTCTCGTCACGCATTTAGCTGACTTTGCATCGATCGGAGTATAATCTGGAACTCCGTCTTTAACAGCTGCTCTGCGTCATGATCGATCGTGCAACACGAGTCAGCATAAAAGTTTGCGTACACGTACCCAGTCGCAGGATCCTCAGCATGTTTTGTGTTGATAAAGGCCGGGAGCCTGGAAGACAACACCACCTTCGGAGTTCCTGGTAAAAGCAGCACGAAACACCGGTACAGGTAGGGTGACTGCACACAAAGCTTTCACCAGACGACCAGACAGAGAGAGGGAGAGAGGGCGAGAAGTACATCTACTGATGACGTCACCAAGTACTTGGCTACTTCGCTGACTCGGCTTCTTGCTTGACTTGACCGCTTACCGGTTTTGTTTCTACCTGTACCCTGTACATTTGCTGTTTAGTACATCAACGTTACTTCGCCACTTCGCTGTGTATGTATGACCGTATGACCCAACTCTAGCTTCCTTTACAGACGTCAACGTTAGCAGACGTGTACCCTTGTGACGGGCAGGAGTTTAAATAGTTTTCAGCGTTCCACTCAACGAAGTTTGCTCTTCTTTTTCTATGTCTGAAGGGAGGAGCAAGCAAACAGCTGCAGAGTGGGACCTCATGTTTGGAGTTGTTATACTCTTTTAAAATGTCGTTCGGTCTCATCGTGGTCACATCTTCGTGCCCATGAACGTAGACCTATCGTAGCGAGTCTTCTCGGTCAAACAGTGGTGGTTCATTGAGCAGACTTCAGCAGTATTAATATGTGGGACCTTTTGATCTCGGTTCACTGTATCGGCCATCGGCCTAGCACGACCAGGCAGCGCGGGGGAGTTTGCTTCACGTGCGAATAACGTGCACCGCGGAGAAGCACAACTACTCATTCAGCACCCCGACTTCGCAAATATAGTCAGCCAACGTTCTCCAACTGCAATGTTTATTAAGAAGTCATGAAACTCAAATCTCCAAAAAATGCATCTCACAAACTCACCCAGAAAAAAAATAAAAATACAACATATCTTTGGTGATAACTAGGCCTAAAGTGGAGAACCCCGAAATACGGCAAAGAGGAGAGTATTCATACAGTGGGTTAAGTAAAACGTCAGCAACAAACAAACACAAAAAAGGAATCCATCAACTCCTTGTGTGTAGTGTAGAGGTTATTATGTACATGTCTCTCCTTAAAAACAACCAGCCTAAATGCAGGACTGCAAGGGAGAGAGAGCACTATAGAAGAGTGTCTCCTGAAAACTCGGATCCCTTCCATAGTATATATGTGTGTGTATAGCAAACATGAACACAACTTGTGAGTCTGAGTCTCCATACGGCTCCCAGTATGTTAAAACGCTAGCTCGAGGTGCCGGCAACAAGACAGGAACATCCCAAGAAAAAAAACACATGTACACCAACATTTTTCCTTCCAAAAACCTGTCTGAACCTTAACAGCAGCTCCAACAATCTATAATAATAAAAGGGCGTCTCAAAAGCGCTACGCTCCAAAAATTGCACCGAGAAAGCAACAAAATGATGCAGCACTTTGTAATTTTTGTCAAAGGTGTAATTTTCCTGACTACCATATTGTAATAAAACTGCAATTCAGGATTCAGCATATATGGGCAATCGGTGATTGTAGTTTTTATGTTCTGTGATAGGTCAGTACCCAACTATAACATTCTCACGCATTTAATTTATGGCCTCTTCAAACACCAACTGACAAAGGTGATGCCATCTGCTAGAAGCATAAAACGTGGCTACCATTAAATCTGTCTTTGCTGGGTATGGTTCAGTCACAGAAAAAGCAAAGCTCAAGCTTGTCTGCTTTTTGCAGACATTGCGGTGACGTCAGAACGCCAAGCTCTGATTGGCTCCGACTGGAAGGATAGTGGGCAGCTAGCATTGAAGTCTAACCGCTATCCTTCCCATCGGAGCCAATTACAGCTTGGCATTCTGACATCACTGCAAACCCTGCGGAAGCAGCAGACGAACTTGCGCTCCGCGTAGACTTCTTAGACACACCAGGTTGAGGCATTAAGGCCTATAATTTCATTATAGTACGACGACCAGTAAAACGGGTCTTAAAAAAATACAATGCGCTACATCCCCATGTAGCTTTTTACAGACTGGTTTACAGCGTCGGGTTTCTTCCGAGACACCCTTTAGTTCCATATGTCAACTCAAATGACGGCTATCGTCTAGCAGTAGTAGGCCCGAAATATAAGCCTCAGCCTCTCAAACATGGTACAGACAAGAATAGATATCCTAGAAATCTGTGGGTTCTTCGTAGACATGCATTATCCATTTGAAACCAGCAACCCAATTCATACCGGCTTCATTAACATTAGTAGTCTTCATTATTAAAAACAGTGATGCAAGCATAAAAATTGACTGCAGAAAAGAGCAACTAAATGCATTGAGGTCTAATCAAACACAAAGGTGTCATTCTGTAGTGCATTTGGCTATCAAAAAACATTAGCAAATTATGTTTTATAAATTTAAAAAATTTATGCAAAAAGTCACTTTCTTTTCAGAAACGAGACAGATCCAAATGTAGGCATAGCATTGTTGTTGGCACAATCAAAAGATGTTGCCACAATACTGTTCTTGCACAAAGAAGGCTGCATTATTATTTAACCAAATTAGAAATTCAAGGTGCTACATCCTGTAAGTGGCGTTGTCAGATTAGCTGTTTTGACATAAACTGCTGTCCCTAGCACACGGGTCAAAAGACAGGAAATGTAGTGTGCAGCTGAATTATAGTAACAGGCCCACTTGTAACACACTTTGGTTATAACATACTCATACGGAGTAAACAACAAATTTAAAGCAAGCCTCATCGTGCGTAAATGCTAGTCCACTTATAACGAACCCTAATATAACAAACCCAATTTTCAAAACTCTAGGGTTTATAAGCCAGTCAGTCATACTGTAAAGTTGGGATCTGTTCTGTCAAAATACTGATCTTTATAAGCCTACGAGTTTGGGCTACCATCACTTTCACAGTCAGCCTCCAAGACATGGCTACGACGGGAGTTTTAACTTGGTAGTTGCTCGCAAGACATCTCCCGTAGCTGCCAAACCCCGGCACGACGTTTTGGGCTTACACACCAGAGACCGGAGCACAAGAGACCTGGGGAACGCACCGATAGACACCTCAACACCAACCGGAAACACGAACACGAGAGCAAAAAGGTCGGTGCATAACCCGAGAACCCCCAGCGGCGCATAGTTCGCCTGTCGTTAAGGCAACAGTCCTCGCCGTGCGAGACTCGAAACATCCTGCCCCACCCGCGGTCGACGCGCATTATTGATATGCTATCACCTGCAGTTTGCGATTCTCGTTGTGCAGTTTTGCGATATGTGTGATGACCTCACCGGTTTTGCAAACGCTGAGCTGCCAAAGTGTATTCGCTTAGTATTTGCCGGTTGAGCTTCGAGTTCTAGTCAAACTCTGCGTCGGCGAGTTAGTGGTAGTGTAACCGCAGTAGAGTACAAAATATAGGCCTTTTTGTCCTACCGGCCTGACCGTCTTCCGTTGCTTGAGAACAAGTTTCTAATAGGAGGAAACCCAGAACTGGTCACTTGTGAAACAAGCTTCGGCCATTGCAAAGCCGCGATAAGATTCATGACGCCCATCTGCAATCGGGCACGTGAAGACACGACCAACGAAACTGTGAGCAAATAGTGGGCCGCTCGTTTGAACAAAAAACAAAACAAAAGGAAAGACGGAAAATATGACCGGAAACAGAAAAATATTTCGGAGGTTGTGTGTGAATGCGTCGCAGCTTGAATCGAAAACAGCAAAACAGAAACTTCCGTTTTCGGTGTAAGAATGAAAATCTTAAGCATTTGAGGCACAAATAACAAAACCCAATAGTAACCATTTCCTCTGGATGCTTAGAACGTCGCTGAGATTTCGGCATATATACTCAAGAATAAATAAGCAAATAAATAGTATAAATACTCAAATAAATAACAGGAAAGGAAACGTCACATCCCTTCCCCTCTCTTTAGCGACGCTTGGAAAGATGCACAAAATCCAGCGAGTTGACGGCATTGATGACCGAACTGCCGCCAGACAGAAAGTCGGTAAGCCTAAACAAGTGTTCGTGCCACCCGCAGAAAGAATTTCTCTGCACCCCAACAAAATGTGAAGTGGCTAATGATACAACTTGTGCATCTTCAACTAAATGAGAAACCATAAAGTGCAATGTATACATATGTACAAAACCAAAAAAACATAACAGTCAGTTGACACAGCCCTGGCCTTTAAAACAAAAAGACAGAAAAGTAGGTGACGTCAAAAAGCTCAAAAACAACAAACAGCCACAAACCAAAGTCGTCAGTGAGACGGCCAAAAATGAGAATGTAGACTAAAATGATAGAGATGTTTCTCAAATGATTACAGAGTGGGTGGGCTCGTTAAAAGCAAAGCATACAACTCACTAGTGACATCAACAATGAACATATTATTATAGCTAGTAATCGACCATATTGCATTCTCTCTTCGTGATAAAGGCCTGTTCACGCATACAGCGCAGTGCCAAGTGAATGCTGAAAATATCACTGACCTCTTAGTGCTGATGGAGCACTCACATTGCACTATACTATCAATGCACAGTGCTGAAACAGCATTGCATCGCTGTTATTTATGTTCAAGACAGCGCTGCTTCTACAGCATGTAAACTAATGCTTCTAAGGCACCTTAGACGGCCTGTAAAAATTCGTTTCTCAACGTGTCGCACTGCAATTTACTAGAGGTGAAAGCGGGTGGTGGAAGTTTACAGCAAAAAAGTCAAGAAACAAACTTACCTCATTCCAAAGAAAAAAAAAAAAAAACATTTGTTTTGGTGGTTTGTTATCAACCCGAAACGGCTGGCACTCCCTTGACACGGCGTACGCGATCGGTCGGCAGCACTTCTCTCCATGTGTGCATCGTCTGCAAAGTGGCAGCAAAAATTGCCCAGAAAAAGATTTTTTTTTTCTTGTTCTGAACGAGGTAAGTACATCCCTTGATTTTTTCACTGTACTTGCACCACCTGCTTGCACCTCTGAAGTAAATTGCAGCGCCATACGTTGAGAAACCGATTTTTGTGGGCCGTCTAAAGTACCTTATAAGCGTTAGTTTTAGGCACGTAGCCAGGGGGGGGCCCATAGGGCCCGGCCCTCCCCTCCCCCCAAATCTTCCATTTTGCTGGGACCTCCTCTTCCCCCTATCTCTCACACAGCATTTTGTCATAAGCGCGCCTCTCCCCCCCCCCCCCCCCCCCCCCCCCCAAAACAAAAACCTGGCTACGTGCCTGGTTAGTTTACATGCAGTATAGCGTTGATGCCGAGAAAGCGCAGCGCTGTATGGGTGAGCCAGCCTTAACGGACATGCTTAGTGTGGCACTAATTCGTCGCTGGCACCGAACTGACAAACTTAACGAAGCAGCCCCGCTCGGCCAATATGCAACGATCCGCGACGCTGAGTCGGTCGGCTGTAGGTGCGCCCGCCTCGGTTGACGTCGTTGATTTTAGTCCTTTCTGTTGCTATCAAAGAACCACAACAGCTCTGCTGCAAAATCGAGGTCTGCGCGATGCCGCAAACGATGCAAGACGACCGTTGTACTTTGTGTTTTGAGCCGACGCCGTCTTGAGAAACTTCCTCCCCGCCTTCCGGCTACCAGTCACTGGTTCCCGACATGGGTGTCGTTATGCCCTTCTTCTCCGACGGCTGACAGTAGTCGTGACGATGCTGAAACTGTCCCTGAAACGACAGCACACGTACGGATTGAACATCAGAGGTCAATGCAGAACCACGTGATCACCTCAACACCATGCAGTAATCAGATGGACGTCGCTAAAAATTGGGTTAATCGGATGAAACAAAGTAGATCACAAATTATGAAGTGCTTACAGAAGTTTTGCTAATAGAAAGCCACTATGTTTTGTCTCTTCGTGGAAAAACACACTTCTCACTCATTTCAGCAATCACCACCTTCCTCGTAATTTGTGGCATCAGTCAGGATACCACTTCCGGAGACCGATTTCAGTCGGGGTGAGAGCCGGAACATTATTGGCTGTTAAATGAACGTGGTGCCACAAGTTTGCGGGTAATCGACCAATGAGACGTTTTTGACCAGTTCACGGGTTCATATTTCGGTGGAAACGTCTAGCATACAATCAGGAAGAGAGCTCTCGTTGCCTCTAGTGTGCTCATACTTAGTTCTTCGTCTGCCGGTCAATGCCAGCTTGTGTATGGCAACAGAACAACATGAGATTTGCGAAAGAAGCTCGGCTTGTCAATGGCTTCCAATGGGGAAATAGCAGAAGATCGCAAGTTTGGCCTAATCTCATTTCGCTGTGGCGCTTGGATTGTAGAAGATTATCAACTTTTTTTTTTCCAGTCTTTTAGCTGAATACATACAGTGTGTTTTTGTTTCATTTCCGTCTGCAAATGACATTTTGTAGCAGACGAACCACGTTCTTCGCTCGCATTAGCAGACAAACCATGTATCGAAGTAATCTTCACTCGTGCTGTGAGAAGAAAATTATATCCTACTCTCACACTTGCAGCGACCAAAATCCGACACGAGCGCAGACATGTACTCTCTGCCACATATACATCAGTGCAGTAAATATGATGGATGAGGGTGATCTGCTCCATTACCCTCAGCAGGTTGTCTGTCATTGGTGCCTGGCAAAGATTAGCCTGACCTTGGGACCAGAACTGACCAATGCACCCAGGGCATAGTTGACTTCGGCGCTGGAGACATCTAAGCCGTCAACCTGTCGAGGGAACAAAGGTTTTGAAGAAGCCGGCCACATATGCTTCAGCACTCTGCCATGGCTCGTAGACCCGCATTGCTCTCTGCTGTTCTTGGTCGATAGTAAGGCAATTGGGAATTACAGGATGAAAGGAAGCGGACTGTCCAACAATAACCACAGCAGAAAAAAAAAAAAATCTTAAGATTAGGGAAAAAAATTGGGACAACACATTGAGACAGTGTCGTGTTGTCCCAAGTTCTGTCCCTAGTCTCAACGTTTTTTTTTCTCTTATTTTTTCATTATGATTGTTTAACTTTACTAGCTTGCCTGTGCAGAAACCCTTATTTAAACAGTTACCACATCTTCCAGTGAACTGAAATTTTTTGGCAAATTTGTAATTAGAGAGGCAACTTGAAAAGAAATGTTGTCCGGAGATTTGGCAGAGTAATGAGGGATAACAACTTACCCGAAGAATCTTGTCCCCGACCTCGAGTTTTCCCGCCGCCACCCCGCGTGGATTGACTTCCTTCACAAAGACCCCCTGAAGCAGAACACATAAGCAAATGAAAACCCTGCCCTCATAAATATGAATACCTGAAATAATGAACAAACGAGAAATTTTTTCTTACCGGAACCGACACCCTGTTTTCGAGGACAAAATCCACCTCTGACCCTTTCTCGAGAACCACCTCATTCTAGAAAAAAAGAAAATCAGATAAGCCTTGGTAGGTTTCCTGTTTTCAGAATACAGTAAACTTTCGTTAATTCGACCTCGACAGGGCCTTGAAATTTGGCCGAACTATCCTAATGATTGAATTAAAAAAAGGACTGAGATAAACTTCCTTATATTGTCCAAAGTACTCACGGATGGTCTGCTGTCGTCTGCGTTTAAAACGCTTGTCCAAAAGCATGCTCCGGAGTGCAGCGTAACTAAACGTCGCCTCCAAAAAATCACCTACTAAAAAAAAAAAAAAAAAATTAAAAAGCAAGTTTTTTGCGCCGACTTTGGCGCCAGGCAGCCAGACCGTCGCCCCCCCCCCCCAAAAAAAAAAGAAAAAAAAAACGGGAAAAGATATTTGCGCTTTTCGAGGCGCAAGATGGACCGCACACGATGGTACAGAAAAGCACTTTGGGAGCGCGTGCTGAGAAAGCTTTACAAGCCGACTTTGACGCCAAACTACCAAACCGTCCAGGACAAAAAAAAAGATACAAAAAAAAGAATAACGACAAGAGGAAAGAGAACTTGAGTTTTCTGGCGTGCAAGATGGACCGCACACGATGCTACATAAAGCGCTTTGCTTTGAGAGCGCCGCATTGTCTCCGGGCCTGACCACCATGCTATGTTCTCCGCGCAACTCGGTGAATTCCGCTCGCAGATCTCGTGTCATTCGCTACGGTCCATCTCAATGGCGTAGAGGAGCAGGCGCATATTTGCGCACGTTCGGCTTTGTGGCACAGGGCCTGTGTTTTGCCGTACGTTGGCGGTTTTTCTGCCCTGGTCCCGTGCAATGTGAGCCTGCGTGCATTCGCTCGGGACGAATTATCCGATGCGGAGTCTTCCCGAGTTTGAACTATCAAACGTTTCCTCCCATAGAAATAGAAATGTATGGGCGCTCGCCAGGACTTTTGAACACGACTGAATTAAACGAGAAGTCTAATTAACTGAGGTCGAACTAACGAAAGTTTACTGTATACAGTACACCAATAGACACAAGTTAACCTTTGAGTCGGTCTAGTTGAAATCAGAGGAAAAAGCTAAAAACCCTAAAGTGAAAAATCCTGCCCTCGAATAAGAAAAACCCAAGCTTCACAGGCGGAAATCTTTACCTACCGCTTTATTATATGTTCACCCGGAACAAAGCTCACGCTCAACTGTCGGTGAGGCTGCTTTTCTCTTTGGGACCCCTTGTATCGGACATATCTTTATCGGTACCGGGATGTTTTCGAAATGTCACAAACATGTCCGCTGGGGATAGGGGACGCCATTTCTCCCGCAGCGGCCACTCGAGGAACTGCACGTAACGTCTATTTTGGCTTTAATCGGCCATTTTGGCGCCGAAACAAATAAAGCGGAAGAGGCTACAGGGGCGCCACCCCCGTCTCCCCAGCGGATGCGCCGTGACTTACTACTGAAGTTAAAATGCACCTAGGTCGGGACGCGCTACCCGAAAGCACCACTGAGGCATGGTTGTATAAAAATAATATTAATAGGCTTCTTCCAAAACCGACGCGCCCCATCGCGGCGAAATACCATGCAATGCACCCTGGGAACTAGTTGGCCACTCAGTTTCGGTTTCGACTGAGCAGCTTCATCTCATGCTATCACGCCGCGACCGAACGCGCTGCTTGCGTTTTCGACTATCTGACTTTTCACGAATGTACAATACACTCATTCTCGACCGATACAAAAACGAAGACCGGGGCACTCTCCTTGGTTCCTGAAACACCGGATATTGTGCGTGCGTCTTAAGCAAAGGTAGTAAGACGTGGCTTAGTCACCTTACCCCACGAGTGCATCTTTGAGCTCGTGTCAGTAATCCCGTCTAGTGTGTGTGAACTACAACTGAAATTTGGTCACCTTGAACCCTACACATAATTTTTGTGCCAAACGGCCGCTTCTTGTTACTTCGTTGGGCGAAAAGCAGGCCACATCCTCACAGGAGTATCCAAGTTGAGCCAGCGTTGGCGCATTAACTTTTAAGGAAACGCAATAAATTCGACCTCACTACTGCACAAAAGTTACTATGATATGTCTTCCTCGTGTTATCACATATCTCACACTCAAATTTTACGCTGATATAAGATTAAGTTTTCGCAAACGCCGAGATCGGCTAGCTACGACGGAGGCCCTAACAAGCGTCCCCTACTCCTCGCTAAGCCTTTTTGGACGACCTTTTACTGACGCTCAAGATCTGTGCCTGAACGGTGTGTCTGATATTATCTTGGCATACTCAGCGAGGAAGAAAGCAAACACATAACAAATATTATGGCCATTAGCAACCGTCAAATGCGCTTTGAATAATTTCGTTCGTTTGGCGCACCGGGGTTCATGCCCGTCCGGTGCACTTCCACTGAATGGTGCGACATTCTTCACACAAGTGCTCGACTTTTTTTTTTTTTTTAAAACGGTTTGTATGTGCGAATGTGCATATATGATTGCAGGATAACTTTATGCGTATACGCGATGTTGAATATTAGTGAAATGCAAGCGGGTGGGGATTTCACCAATTCGTGCAGTGCTGCGGGGCAGTACAGATAAGCGATGAGAAGTGTGTTCAAATGGAGCTTTTCAATGGCGCCTCCGAGTTTTACCTCGCTTACTCAGGCGTATTAAGAAAAACATTAATTGCAAAAGGTTATATTTCGTCTATGGAAGCACGAAAAAACAAACCTCCTGATCAACAACACTAATGTAAAGGCGCGAGCTCGATGTATGCATACTTACTGGTGTCTACAGCTTGCTGATTCATTAACAAGCAAGATCCCCGAGCTTCGCAGCGTCGAGATTCCCAGCACTGGCTCATCCACCATACCTCGAAACGCTAACAGAAAGGCTCAAGTACAAAAATACAACAAGCGTGCGTTAAGACAAGCTATACGTCTCGGGCTTGTGCTAAAGCTTCGAAGAGACCACAGATGACGCTCTAGGGATCAGAAAACATAAACCAACGGTTGTCTATACTTCACGCTCTGTGTATAATCTCTTCTCGAAGTGTCGATCGAAATCGAAACCATGGCACTCTCATACCCTGGCCAACTAGTTCCCAGAGTGCAGCGCGCGCCGTGTCGCATGCAGGACTTTATGGAAGTAGTCTATTGTGCTGCAAAACCTTGCAAACTAAAGATTTTAGAAAACATCACGCGCCCCTCATTTTGTACTAAACGCCAATAAAAGTTGCTTTCTAAAAGCTCAAGGTGACCACAGTATAGAAAAATGATAAAGAGTGACGCTGTTGTCGTATTTAGCTCGGTCTCGGTGGACGCCAGCGGCCCAAGTTTCGAAGGCGAGTTTCTCAACTGAGTGTTTTAGTAACGTTGCCCGTGGTCGACACAACACTCTGGCTGCTGCCGTCGCTCATAGATGGCGGTAGCTGTCCACAGAGTGTTGTGTTTGCCGGTTGTCTGTCTGCCGCCGTCGCTCATAGATCGCGGCAACCTTTCCAGCCTCGGCAACTAGACAACTAGTTGCTGCCATCGATCATAGATGGCGGCAACATTTTTTTGGAGGAAGAAGAGCAGGAATGGAATGAGTGGCAATGAGCACAGCAGCGCGAATGGTTCAGCAACCGCCGCTAGGTTGCTATCACCTAAAGTTCCACTGCGTTGAGCGCTTCAGATTCTCTTGCGAAAGAAGAGCAGATTGCTCGCCTGGAAAGCCACCACCGAGAACAGAAGCTACAGCTCTGCTGCTCTTCCTTCTTCACCAGAGTGAAAAGGCTGAAAGCTTTTCTTATTCAAGGAGAGCCCCGATTTGGTGTCTTTCGGTTTTCCCCGATTTCGATAAAACCAACCCGAGGAAGTTTGTTTTCCGGGTTCATTGGTACTTACTGAAAACACGGAACCCTGGGTGTAACCGATATTACCGAGGTTTAGACGCAGTAACCGACACGTACGTGAACGAGCGGCAGGTCGGCGGACTTGCACGACACGCTACGCTGGAGCAGGAAGTCCGGCTTGGGCGGCGGCACGGGGGCGCTCGAAGAGTCTCCGCGCGGCCTCGGGGGCAGCGGCGGTGCCTCTTCCTCTTCTTCCTCTTCCTCTTCGGGCACCTGGAAGCAGGGGGTGGTCGGGGATGGCCCGCTGTCCGGGGTCACCGAGTTGAGGCTGGACAGGGACAGGTCTTCGCCTGGGAGGCAGCCGGACGATGCCAGAGACGAGCTGGATTGGGACGGAGCCAGGTCTTCGTCCTCCGCGCGGGGTGCAAGGCGCTCTGGCGCTGCGGATCAGAAAAAGGCAACGACTTTTGCGGCCTGGCACGCAAAACTCCCGAACTCGAGTGAGCTCAAGATTTACAATGATTCGTACAAACTGCATTGGGATGTATGGGTTAAACAGAGAGGAACAGGCAAGGCATGCTTTTCTGTAGTTCTTGTAGCAGTTGGCCAGTTTGTGATAGGAATCATTTAAATCGCCGGTCAATAAGTGAGTCCGCCCTAGAAACTTCCTACCAGGTGATGCGAACAATTTAGGTACATTCGTCAGTGACTTTCGGCCTAATATATGGCTGCTTTCTTTGTGGCAGTACATTCCTCCAAGAGTGGAATGTTTCTGTATAAACTGTTGACACTAAAAGCTGGACCATATGTGATTCAGCGAGCGATGAGATGAGCAGCGGCGACAGTGACGAGAGTCAGCGATGAGCGACGAAGATCTCTCACTGTCGCTCGTTGCGTCGCTCGGTTTTTGGATTTCTAGAAAACGTGGCTCATCACCTTGGTCGCTTCCACCCGTCGCTTTCATGCTGTTTGCCTCGTCGCACGACTGACCAGGCGGCGTGAAGTGGGTCGCCGTCGCTCGTCTTGTCGCTCACCAAATCATTTACATGTGGTTTATACTTACCGTAATATCCCGAGACATCGCCCAGCCCACTTTTTGGGCGAATATCGATTTCCAAAATAACCCAGAGTGATCGCCCACCCCTACAAATACCCCAACGTGGACTCTGCAAACATTCATCCTACCCGAATGATGCAGCCACGGGCCTTACAGTTGGAGGACGTTCGTGACAAAGTAAAACGAAGGAGGGAAAGACACTTTACTTTGTTCACGCATTTCCTCCCCGATTTCCGTGACCCTGAAGTCGGCGTACATGCGTGCAAAAGAAAAACAATAAAGATAACAAAATGAAACTGTTTTGCTCACAACATAAGCTGGTAACATAACCCAAGGTAACACAAGCATTAACCCATCCAGGGATCGCGAGGTCAGCGAACGCCCCATTTCCTGGAATGTAATCGTGATGTGTAAGGTCAAAGTCCGTCTCCATTGAAATCGCCGCGAACCCGCTCCTTCTTCTTAAACATTGCAACCGTGGTTGGTGAGGTTGTGCAATGTTTGAGACAAAGCCAACAGGTAAATAATGATTTGCTGGAATGCCACACGCAGACATTCGTAAAGCGTTCCTTTTCGAGCTCTGCGTTCGTAGTGCCATCCACGCCACGCAGCAATACCGCCTCAACCTGCATTGATGGCATGTCGTGCACAGACACACACATGTATGCATGAAACAAAAAGTTGCACAAGAGCCTGCCTGCTCCTTGTGATTAACAAGGTGCCCAACTTGGCCCGACACCAAAGTATTTGCCAACGTGACCGCCGACTTTCCCGCTTCCCCCAGCATTGCTCTTCGTCGCTTCTTTCGCCTGCTTGCTTGCTCGTTCGCTCGTTCCGCCTGGTTGGTTTTTCTTTTTTCTTGTTTACTTTTTTTTCTAGTGAAGAGAACATAGCGTAGTAAGAAACATGCTTTCACGGAACAAGCATTCGCGCTGCATGCTGATCGGTGCTGTTCATTGCATGTGTGGAAGCAAACGGCCCTTGCTATAGTCAAACATTCTTTTGTGAGCCCTTCTTGCATAAAACAATGAAACTAATTCGAGTTTTGAGTTTAATGTACCTCTCATGTAACCGCGCTAGATATGTGCAAAAACAATTAGTGTTTTGTTTAACTTTTTTTAAACTTTTTTTTGTACTTACACACCGATACATGGCCCACCCCACTTTTTTTTTATGAATCTCAGGTGCCAGGGGGTGGGCAATGACTCGTGATATTACGGTAATTCTGTCGACATCTGAGCATCTCTTTACTAGGATTGGTCCGTTTCGCTTTACTAAAGATGGAGAAATAGTATGTACGAAGAACAGAGTGTTGCGAGGCATGCACAAAAATGTAGGTTTGTTCACAAACAAAAGTGGATGGTACCTGTCGTTCATGTCCAACTAGCCAGTCTGTACTGAGACAACAACAGGACCAGACACGACTCAATAGCACATTCGACAGGACACGTCCCAAACGCAACAAGCGCCTGTAAGGACGCGCGACGACCATACTCACGGGCCCAGTCGGCCGGCGGCGGGCCCCTTCTCACGGGCAGGCTGTAGCCTTCCTTGGACGTCCGCAGGTCCCCACAGTACTGTGGCAGCAGGAACGGCGCCGCCCCCTCCGCCGCACCCTCCAGCGCGGCGGGTGCAGGCCTCAGCGGGTGTGGCGCCTGCACCGCAAACGCCGCCATCTTTCGCGGTGACCTCGTGCACATCCGCGGCGACACCGGACTCGAGCCCCTCCGCGGAAGCGTCCTCCCGGGGGACGCCGGGCACTGGCGGAAGTAGCCCGGCACGACGTCGGGCGGCCGCGACAGCGAGAATCCGCGCGGAAGGGTGGCCGACGCATCCCAGTCGCTCGAGTAGCCGTCGTGGTAGCCTCTTGCAGGCGTGCCGCTCTTCCCGGGTTGCTGAACGTACGTCTCCTGGTCGCTCTTGTAGCCCTGCTGGTCGACCGAGTCTTCCGCCGACACCACGAGGCGGTGCTGGAACTTTTCGACGAGGCTTCCGCGAGATCCCGCGACGGCGAACTTCTCGAACGGGTGAGAGTGCGGGTGGGGCTTGGCCGCATGCTGCGGTTCGTGGTGCTGGTAGGCTGAGTCGACTCCACGCTCATACTGCCGCTGAGTGTCTTCCCAGGACGCCTGGTGGTGCTGCTGTTGCGGCGACGCGCGGTGCGGTGCCACCTGCTGCCGCGGCAACGTCTGGTGTTGATGCGGCGTGGGATGGTGTGCCGTGGCGTGCGGTTGTGCGGGGTGATGATGTGCCTGCTGCTGTTGCTCATGCTGTAGTAGAAGTAGTTGCTGTTGATGTTGTTGTTGTTCTTGCTGGTGAGCTGCTGCATGTGGTGCCCCCGGGTGTTGCTGAAGATGCTGATGATGAAGCTGATGAAGGTCCGGGGAAGGTGCTGGATTTCGCGTGACGATGCTGCTGAGGGGAGGACTCTGGCAGGGCTGGCTGGCTAGGGACTTGACGGTTTCTGCGAGACCACGGGGGAAAGGCGGGGACAGACAGACCTAAGATACAACGCAAAAGCTATTACCTCATACATTCCATATAATATCGAGCAGGTGCCCACCCAAAATTGGAAGACAATCTCGAAAAATTGGGTGATGGATGCTTTTTAGGTCCAAGTGCAAAAATACGGAAGGGGCACTGATAGAAATGGATTCACTACTCTGCACTGGGGTGCTTAGATAAGCAACTGATGAGCAGGAGCACCTGGGTTACCTAGTTAGATGGGCTCAGAAGCCTGGGGTGGGCACCTCATAGTCCTTAGTTCTGAAACGTTTCTAGAGTAGTGGGTGGGCATTTATAGTGACTTATGCACATGCTTGGTATTTCAAGGTAGTAATCTGGACACATTTCTCTTTGCTCTTCAAGTCTAAGAGAAGCTACTGTTGCACTTTTCTATTCCTGCGTAGTCACTGATTTATGAAAGAATGATGTTGCCCAAGTTTCCTGCAAAAGCACAACTGACACATGGAGCGGGTAATTGCTCAATACCAAGCCTGCACCTATGCTTATGCCAACACTTACGTTTTCTTTTTTCTAAATTTTTAAAAATAACCTAACTACAGAAAGTGTGCATAAATCTGGCCAGAGCAGGTACCCACTCCCCACATGTTACAATTTCCAGATAGTAGTATATAGCCACAAGCCAAGTGAAGTAAGACTGAACATGAACAAGCTCTCGATATATGCCTTAGAATTAGGGTTGTGCGAATAGTGGTTTGAGTCAAATAGCGCTGCATCATTCATAGCCTTGACAATGCAAGGGAAATGAAAGATAGTCGGTTCTTTCAGCAGTGCAGAAGTTAAGGATGACATTGCGCTATTCGATTCAAACCATTATTCGCACACCCCTACTTAGAATCACTATTTTCGTTACGAGGCAAAAGAGGGTCCCCGGACATTGGCACCACACATAATGACTTATGGTAGTAGTTATAAATTAGAGTTACAAGAACACTTAGAGGGTAGTATAGTTGCGAGAAAAAGCGGTCAGCGAGGGGGTTACCAAACACACTATACTCCATTTCACCTCACAATGAACCATGCCCCGAACCAATGAAGCCAGTCCAATGCAGCACTTAAGACGTTTTCCCAGCCACAACTGTCCCTACTGGGGGGAGTGTAAAAGACGTCTGGGTAAAAGATTTGAGACTATATTACTAATGATTTATAAAGTTCATTATAATACATTGTGACTAAGTGATGCGATAAATATATAAATAATATTTAGCGCAAAATTTTTATCTGTTACCTACGAATGTACTAAGCTATAAAATCGAAAGTCCTGTTTTATTAGAGATGTTTCTTATGTTCTATGACAGTTGTTCTCAAATGGGGTCCACGGACCCTTTGGGGTCCGCGAAGCTGTGCCTCATCAGTCAAACCCAACAACAAAAGTGGGCATTTTTTTTTTTTTTTTTAGATTGAGAAGAAACATTTAAATTTTTGAGTGAGTTTTCTTGTTTGTACGCCAATGAGAGAAGTCTACTTCTCACTAGCCTATAGTTATATTAATTCATTAAACCATTATTGTAAATAACCGATAGCTTTCCCTTCCCCTTACCACGAGCGGGGTCCTCCATCATCCCCGCCGATCCACGAGGGGTCCGCAAAACATCAATGGTTGAGAGTCACTGTTCTATGATATAGTAAGTGCATTTATCATTGACCTAGATAGGTAATGCATACTTTTAGGGCCCATGTGCTTGACTTGACTCGCAATAAATTATTTTCGACAGGTCGGCAGCCCTCCCAGTCAGCAGGGAGCAAGTTTTTTGTGTTTTCTATTTAGCGCTGCTTCATACTTATTTAACATAGCTAGAACATCTTGCCCCCATTGGAAGTGCCATTTACTCTAGATTTAGCCCGTAGAAGCTTTCCAGGTTTACAAGTATCAATGGCCAGGAATACCCAATACATCCAAACAGAAAAAATTCTGAAAACTTGGTATGGGAAATCTTATTGGTTGAGAACTGAAACAGGGTTTACGATTCGTCATTCCCAGTTACGTGATAGTGTGTCATCTTCAGTAACACTCTTTTAGAGTATCTTCCACTTCAGATCCTATTCCTACTTTGCTGCTCTTCTTTAGTGCGATTTGCCTCTTAGTTCTTGCCAGTTTATCTGGGAAGGTATGCCTGCTACAAAAGCTAGCGTGCCTACAAAGAACACAAACTGGTAGCTATTGCCAGGGGAACAAGGGAGCCTCAATGAGGAAGGTGCTGACAACGCACCAGGTGAATTTCACCTACCTCGGTCTCAAAGAAAAGTAAGAAACCTAAAGTTGAAACTTCAACTGCATTTTTCTCAGTTTCACTTTTTGGCAGGAAATGTGGTATGAGGAAATGTATCATTGGACATTTTGAAAGTGTGAAGATTTCATTCAGTGGTGTCCTGGAGTGAAATTTTCTGAGGAACAAGTTAAGGTACTCATAATCTGAGAAAGCTAAATTCTTCACGACAAAAACTGAATATTTTAAAATGCAGTTCTCTGTGAAAATCATTTGCTCTTTTTGGGTGTTGTTGTTTTTCTCTAGAATTGCATTTTCTATATTTAATTTTCACCTTAACTTGCACTATGGGTATTCTACTTCACATTAAACCAAACATTTTATGGGTTGCAATTATTATATTTTTTAAATACATTTCCTAATAAAGTAACTTTTTTCTGGAGCTTGTTAAGCATATTATGTCGTAGAATTGGCCTATAAGACTGAAACTTTAGATGTCATCAATCCTAATGGCATTCAATTCAACCTGAAAGTTTGAATCAATTTGAGACAATGGTTCAAAAGTTGACCCTCGCAGGCCATGTCCCCCCTTAGTTCGCTCAACGCTTCGATTTGTCGCTTCATTTCTGTGTGCTTAAAATGATCTGTCACTAGCTACTGGCTACTTATCCTGTTCAGCCAATGTATATAAATTTGTATGTTTGTTTTTTTTCTAAAATTAAAAAGCAACCGAATTAATAAAAAAATGTTGCATGAGCGTCACGTGACATTTTGGATGTGTGCCGAGAAAGACGTGGGGCACAGAGTCGCATGACACGCCCGAAGCGCTAGATTAGCTAGGGCATTTTTTCCAAAAAATACCAGCAAAAACAAAAAAAAAAAAAGCAAAAAAACAAGCTGTATTCACATTTATGCATGATGAGAGGGAATAAACTGAAAATTATTTATTGCACACCGAATTTTTCCAGTGTGAGGTGAAACAGAATATAGAAGCGGGTTTAAGAGAAAGGGCACAACTAAGAATTACGAACTGAAATCACACTATCTCTTCCTCGATGTTAGGACACAGACAATGCGACGTGGTACAAGACGCACTTTCCAACATGGTGCAAGAGAACCGTCCTGCATCGGAAGTCGCTTTACCTAGGTCGGTGCACATGGCAATGTTGTTGTTGGTGGTTGTGAACATGTTGTGCGGGGTCTGGCGGCAAGGGTATTCCTCCGCCGTTGCGAGACTCGCGTCCCGATGCCTTATGGTGAGGTCATGCTACAAGAGAGGGGGTGGCAGGACGGTGGAGGGGGAGGGGAGAATGCGCACAACGTCAACGCGGCGCTGCGCGTGCAAAAGCGTGCACACACAGACACGTGGGGTGCGGCCGTGAAAATGCGTGCACTGGATGTGGCTTGCACAAATTAAGTTCTTGATTTAATCCAAGATTGCTCGAATATAAGTGGTCTCTTCACAACATTAAATATCATAACAAAAAAACAAAAAAAAAATTATGGCGAATTCCTAGGCAATTGTGTTGCGTACATGAAACATTTTGGCTTCACAAACGTTTTTCCATACTCCGAGTTTCCAGACGTATGACGCCTACATTCACGGCGCTCTTCATCGGGTAGTTTAACACGTGCCATGTGTGCACTTGATAGCTGTTCCTAGAATGAAGCTACTATATACTACTGCTAATGGGGCTAATAAACCTGGCGATCTTCCAGAGTCTTCCACACTCTTGAGATCCTCTCCCTCAGTGCGCACAGGTGGTCGAGTTCCTCCTCGCCTACCTCACCCCTCCTCTTTCTAGTCATATGAAGTCCCCGTTAACCAATCAGCATTGAGCAGCTCACTCCTTCTCTTCTAACCGTCAACCAATCAGAGTCGAGCCTCGCGGCCACGCTTTTATCTGGGCTTTACGAAATGCCGAACATCTAGCCAAAGAATGTTTCACATTAAAAGAATAAATGTAACAGGCCCCTGTAAAATGATGTCAGATAAACCAACATGTTCGCAATGGCACCCGTTGTGTACAAAAACAATGCCGATCACATTGTCACGAAAAAAAGGGACGATGTAAGAATATAAAACTTAGATTCCTTCGTTTCCTTCACAATCTGTTTGTGCCCCATCCCAGTTTTGCCCCAAACTTGAGATGAAAACTTTGCCTGCATGCTTGGAGCACAATTTTTGCGAGCAACGCCCGGTGCATACATTTTCTACGGACACACCCCACACACACACACACACACACACAAGTGCACTTGATTACAAGCTCCACAGGATTAAATAGAAGTAGTAGATACTTGTTAAATTTTCAAGAGTATAACATGTGCATCATTAGTTGGAAGCACTAATGAGAAACTGAGAAGGGTGGTACTAGCCATTTCATTTCAAAGATACCTTTTCTGTTGTTTTTTTTTCCACTGCCTCTTAATATTACCTCTTCACTCCACTAAGAATGGTTAGGACCCACGGGGTTTCACAGATTAGTAAAGTCATCTTGCTCCACTTCCTTGCGATACAACGTTAAGTCACTGCACAACTGAACTCTCCTAGGCACAAACACCAAGCTTGAAAGCGAGTCACCTCAAGTCCAGGAGAGAATATTGACGTTGAAAGCCCAAAGAGCGAGCACAAAGAAAAGTACAGCACCACCAAAGCTAGCACAAAAAGCAGTAAGCCTTTCACAAGCGGCAGCATACCTGAAGAGAACTGACAGACATGGTAGTGCTAATCGGTGATCAGTGGCAAGACATGGACACCAAGTGTTAGGGATAAAGATTGCAACATTCAATATTAGTGCACTATAAATTTCACCAGCAAGCCAGTGAAGAATCAGTACTGGCAGGTATCAGGTGTGCGCTGGTGCATACAGCAGTGCAAAATGTCACGACTGTGCTCCATTTCTGTGTGGCCTTCCCAAGTTGAAACAAACATACTGTAACCGTCGCATTAAGAACAGTACCAACTGCATGTCGCAGCCACCGACTCACGTCTTTTGTGTCTTCTTGCTACTACAGCAGAACCTTTTCAGAGCATAGCCACTGCCTTAAAAATCAGCGCTTCTCAAACTTTGCGTCACTGCAGACCCCACCACAACTATCATAGAGAGCTCCAATTACTTAAAACCTCTATGGTCCAGGTCCTCATGACTAAATCATTGCCGAGCAATAACGCGATACAGGTATAAAAGATGACTGCTTTAATTTTCTTTCTTCCCTCGGGCAATTCAAGAGTAGAATAACTTAAATAATACCACTCTGACTTTGACAACTTTCAATCGCTTTGCGGATGCTATTGAGTTGCACTTTAGCTAATTGTTTTGTTGGTGCACCAATGCTTTTTGCTGTTTTGTATCCTGCAACCACTCCTACGAAACTGCTAAAATTCATAAATAAAATCAATAAAAAATGAATAAAATGCAGACACAAGTATAAACCAGCAAGAGTAAATACTGTGACTCATAAGAACTCCGTTATAGCTGCACAGATGTTCGGTCTGACAATTCTGACCTCCCTCAGCGCCCACGTTAAGATGCCGAAAGAAGAAAACCCATGTGACGCACTCTTCGAAAGAAACGTCGTAGCTATGGCCACCGACAAGGTGGCAAAGACGGGGAGGAGATTCAGTCGACCCGCCTCGAGTTTTGTGCCTTTGATGGTGCTTCAGCGTCTTGTGCACCGCAAGGTGGAAGGCATAATGCGGAAGACACACCCTGCCGTTCTCATTCTGCCAGCGACCACAAGAACCTTTCCTTTTGCTTCCGACGATTGTGCCGCACGAAACGAACCAGTCGCCGAGGATCTGCCGTCGCCGCTTCGATCGTGACTGCCTGCCACCTAAGGTGTTCCGCGGGGCGCCGTAGGGTGGCCCCCGGAGCTTACCGTGTCGACGTGGACCTGCGCGAGGTCCTGGGTGGTGGGGGGGGACGGGTGGACCACCTTGGCCTCCCTCACTTGGGGGTCGGGGGGGGTCCGCTCGAGGGGGGCAGCTTCGGGTCGCCCGAACCCTTCCATCCGCGACGTTGGCTGCGGGAAAGAACCGGGCGTGTCGGGACGTGCTGACGATTGTCCCTGAGGACAGATGACTACAGACACTGGCAGGATTACGACGGCGGGGAGGTTCTTGACGAGGGAAGCGAGAAGAAGGGGGAAAATGGTGTTCTACCTTCTGCCTTACGAGTCGGCCTCTAAAGTAGACAGTGCAAAAAGTGATCATTCTATTCCTAAAAGATTAGGGAAGCGCACCGAACCTTTCTAACGTCGTAGCCGAACCCGGTTCGATACGCCAGCATGATACGGAGGCGTCGAAGGACGCGGCGTGAGAGCAACTGCCCGCGCGAGACAAACTGACGACACTGGAAGCACAAACCCTAAAGGAGATTCTGGATCCCCTGGTGGAGTTCATCAAGAAGTCTGGCATTCATTCATCTAATAGCAATAAAATAGTCATCTATCCCACCTTACAACCAAACACACACCCCTCCCCTCGTCTCGGGGCATACAACCTCATTTTCATGCAAAATAAGTCTCTTCAATCAATAAATCAATCAAATTAAAAAAAAAAAAGTCTTTTACCGAAATTCATGAGCGGGTGTTTAGGCTTCTCAAACAAATATCTCGCAGCATGGGCTCATGCACAGCGAAACTTTCTTTTTTTAAGCTGTCCGGATATGCTTGTCGTGTTCACATGCTACCGAACAGAGTTACAAGGTAAAGTTTTCACGAGAATGAGAGGATCATCACCTGCGAAACCACGACGGCCCCAGGGCCAACCACGTCACCGTTCATCTGCCTACGGAGATTCCTGACGTGCCGAGCACGCGCCTTGAGCTCTTTCGGGTACGGCGTGGGCGAGCGGACCAGTCGGCCCTGCGAGAGGGGGGGGAAGCGGAACAAACAAACAAACTTTGAAGCCAACATGAGTCCATTCATTCTTACTTCTTAAGGCCGATTCTCACATGCATCGCAGCGCTTAGCACAAAGTCAGCCTGCCATGTCTATAGCGCCGAGTTCGCACCATGGTGCATGTGTGAACAGGCGTTCAGACTGGGCAACTTTTTATTTAAAGTTTGTGGCGGTGCAACACAGAAGTTTGTGGTGGTGCAACACAAATCAATCTAAACAAATAAGCCACAAATTAGAAAGGAAGGGAATTGTGAAGGACTGTGCTGTGCCCAGTGTATTAGTGGGCCAGAAGCCGGAATGTGCTAATTACGAGAGTGCTTTCCTAACAACTTGGAAACTAAGAAATACTAAAACATTTACTAAAAATTTGACAGATCCTGATTATGGTAAAGAAAGAAAAATAGAACCTTACTTCAAGAACCAACAAAGATGCACTGCAGAAACAACCAACATAATTTGTGCAACAACTCTGTGAGGGCATTCCCTTTAAATTTCGAGTCAAACTAGAACTGAGAATTGGATTGGGGCAGTACAAACTCGCAGACTTTATTGTGCGATTCGTGCGGGAAGAATGTGCGGTGAGACACTGCATGAACGGGCACCTAAGACTTACGACAGTCTGACACGGCACCCTACGTTACAAAATTTTCTTTCTCTCCGTGAGCGTAAAGGTAGAGAAGGTCCCCGTGCATTCCCCCGAGGAAAGGTAGTATGCAAGATGAGAGACCTCTTTCGAACGTACGGGGCGATCAACGTCAACGTCGAACGCAAACGTGATGGTTCCTCTCCGCTCGCCCGGCACCACGCTGCTGTCGTCCTCAACGACATCTGGAGGAAACAAGGTGAACGTTAGCGCCTCAAGAACATGCTTGTCCCTTTAGTAATTAGAGTATTGTTATTACAGTACATACTGCGGTTAAGAACCCACAAAGAACAAGTCGCAGACCTGAAACTTTAAAACAAAATTCGATTGAAAACTAAATTCGATTGAAAACCATATCCTCGCAAAGACAATGATTGGAAGGTTTTTTCACTTTGGAGACAAAGAACACGGAGTTCTGTTAACAAAAAACAGCTCTTCCGAGCCTGTCCCGTGCAACAATTACCGCCACATTGCCTTCACATACTACACAAGTTACATTCTGAACCAACAAATATAAATACAATCTCCATATTTCTTAAAATAATTACAGTTCATAATAATCTACAGGGTGAGATCGAGAAAATTAAACCAGGTGTTTCAGCCCACATAAACAAACCACGAATCGCATAAAGCTGAAACTCACTGAGAAAGTGATGCTAGTGGTGGTGATAAAATGCGAAAACTTGAGCACATGACGCCAGATAGATAAAAATATACAAAAAGAAAAACAAGAATTCTCCAAGAGCCGACGCCCACCTAAGCCTAATTTGCACCGTATCAATATTTGAGATTGTAGGTGCCTGTAGCATTTATTTCCGTGAAAACAACTTGTCAGCTCGAAAAGACAATATTCTCTTTCCTGCAGACAAGATTTTTCACTGCCATAACTGCTACATGTCCTCACAATCTCAAATTTCAAACTGATGAATATTAGGCCACAGTGGACATTGGCTCATCGAGAGTTTTTGTTTTAGAGTCCAGCTCTTATGCACCCGTTTCCAGCTTGAGCGGCGTCGCTGTCGGCGTAACCGTGCAGTGCATTATGGGAAGCTCACGGGTGACTCGCATGTTACATTATGGGACGTTTCCCATAATGACCTCACACGTGATGTCACGAAGGTCACGAATGACGTCACGAGAGCCCCGCGCATTGCATTATGGGAAACGTCCCATGATGCAACGAGCCCTCTTCATCTCCTCCCTCCTCCTCCTTTTCCTCAAGAGCTGCGCTCTAATTCGACATTACAGGAAATTGTAAACGTCTTTTATTTTTTTTTTTAATCTTTTGATTGAGGTAATGTCACATGCTTAAACTTTCGCATTTTATCACCACCGCTAGCATCACATCCTCACGGAGTTCCAGCTTTCTGCAATGCATAGTTTATTTATGCGGAACCAAAAACATGGCTTCCTTTCCTTGATCCCTCCCTTTAAATTAGTCTGGACAGAGTAGATGAGGAAACATTCAAAATAACAATCAATCTGGCAACCATGGACATGCTTTAGCAAATCTAGAAGATAAGGCTATGTCTAATATATGTGCCAGCAGCAAAATGGTGGCATCCGGAGGCTGCACTTACAAAAATATATTCAACCCGTAGACTCTGGATTGGATTATGGTGGCTTAATCCTCTGCATTTGGCAGTCACAGTTTAAAACAAACTGTGAGAAGTCTTTTTTTTCACTGTTGTCCACTTGAATTTTCGTTCTAAGACCGGACGGAACGCCCCAAAAATATTCATAGAGAGGCGCACTGCCCAAGCTCACCGGGCTTTTCTCCGTGAGCAGATGGCGACTCCTGGGGAAGCAGGAAGCAGGTGAGCACCCTCTGGCCGGTCTCTCGGTCCAGATCAGACTGGAGCAGCACCAGTGGTTTCGTCTGCCAAAATGACACACTTAAAACAAACTTCTGCTCACAGCACACTCCTGTTTATAACTCCTGCTTATAACAAATTTCTGCTTATAACAAATGCCTGCTTATAACAAGCTCTGGCTTATAACAAACTTCTGCTTATAATAAACTTGTGCTTATAACAAACTGTTGCCTAAAGGGGTACTAGCGCCTCTTTTTTTGTCTAAATGTCAACCATGTTCTGGCCACACCACAGAAGCAGCAATTTTTTGTTCAAAAAGACACCAAACATTATTTAAGACTAATAAACCGATTACCAGACTGCACCTGGTGAATGCTCCCAGAGCTACTTGGAATGTTGTTACGTCCCTTTTTCCATAAAAGCAGCACCGCTCCGCTGAAGTACGCCGACAAGCTGCGGACGTGCGAGCCTTGCGAACTTGGCCAAACCGGATTATCCTTTTCTGCCGCACATATTCAACTCCTGCCGGAAGCGGGGAGAGGCGAGGCGAAAGCTGAGGTGAGTCGCTTTTTCGACTCTGCTGGCATTACAGAACCAGTCATTGGCCATCCCAAACGGTCAGGTTGTAATGCGTTGATGCCACCACGTGGCTAAGTTCACAACCACGTCAGCCTCCCTATAGCCGTGTCCGTTAAGCTAAGCACAACGTCATGAGTGTGCTCGGGATGCATCACACTCTTCGATGGCTGCTCTTCCAGCATGCGCTGGAATCGGTCGTTTGGAACAAAAAAAATATAGCCATCTGTTCAAAATTTAAATGTGCGCTTGTCATTAGCAGAAGTTCATTATAGCAGAAAACTTCTACTTAAAACAAACTTCCACCTACAGTGAAATATCGCCTGAACTAACTCGAGCTGAACAAACTTCTGTAGAAATCCCCAGTAAAACTTTTATTGTGTCCAATGCACTCAGTTGAGTGAACTTTCACTTATTCAAACTTTTTTTTTTGGGTCCTTCAAAGTTTGTTCAAGTGATATTTCACTGTACAACAAACAGGCAAGGGGAAAGCACATCACCAACAAGCAAGTATACTGGATACTCTAAATAACCCAGTTTAAAAACCTCTAAGACACCCCAATCTAGACCATGGGTTCTCAAACTGGGTTCTAAGGAACATCGGAGTTCCCCAGAGGGGTGCAGCACAATGCGGAGAACAAGTTCGTCTGCTTCTTGCGCAGGGGTTAGCGGTGACGTCAGAACGCCGAGCCCTGATTGGCTGATCGCGACCCCCTATCTGAGCGTCGTCTGCTCCCTTGCAACGTCGTCTGCTCGCAACGTCGTCTGCGTCTGTCTTACCTTTCCTGCGACTATCAGAAGTGCAGAGACCAGATTCACGAAACGATCTTACGCCAAAAATGTGCGTAAGACAAAACTTAAGAACAAATTCGTATTCACGAAACGAAATTTTCGTACGTTTTGCGCAGGTCACGACGAAATCCTACGACAGCTCCGAAGCTGTCTTTTCTTACGATCAAATCAGCATGGCCGACAGCGTCGCGGTCGCGACGACCCGCGGACGTTTATTTTTTACGTGCGCTTCTCACGCGTCCCGACTTCAACCAGCAAGAAAAAAGTAAAAAGCACTTGAAACAGACCACGACGAGCAAGAACGCTGGATCCACAAACACCCGGGAAAAGCTCCAACGGCCACGATTCCACTGAACGCGACCAAGCGAGCACGGCAGTTAGGCCTAGCAGGCACTCCGCGACTGTCTGCCCATGACCGGCTGGCGTGCTGAATGGAATATGCCCGCGCGACCCTTGTGAACCCTTCCCGTAATATACTTTGATCGCTGACCTCCATTTTAGATTAAGAGGTCAATTTCTTCCTCTTGTTATCTCCTTGTTTCCCGAGGCAACGGTGGCTCTCGCCGGTGAAAAAGCGGTGAATCTCCGACAGACGCAGGAAAGGTAAAGCAGCCATCGCTTTGACTAGCAGACGTAAAGCAGACGACGTTAACTGCGCCAACCCGCCGACGCCGTTAAAGAATGAGGGGTCTCGCCGCACACGAAAGGAGGGAAAAAGTATTTGGGAGGAAACTTGCGGGCACTAACAAGCTTACCTCTCGGTTCTTAGCAAACAAACCTCGTCGCCTCGGGACACCTCGCCAGTGATTCCTTTGACTTCCCTCCTTGATGCGCGTCTGCTAGTTGTTAGACAAAAACAATGTACCGCTCGGGTTATTTCGTCTGCCCTCTCTGAAAGGCGAAGTCGAGCTCGCTCGTAAAGAGTTCCGAAAGTCGCAGGAAAGGTAAGACAGACGCAGACGACGTTGCGAGCAGACGACGTTGCAAAGGAGCAGACGATGCTCAGATAGGGGGTCGCGATCAGCCAATCAGGGCCTGGCGTTCTGACGTCACCGCTACTTCCTTTCTCATGCGCAGAAGACGAAAATGAGCCCACTTGCGAGGCGTATTGCCCCGCGTGCAGAATCCCTGTCTCAAAAGCCCCACATCATTAGCCACCATGTTTCGAAAACTCCACGTTCAATTACCCCACCCTGTGTTCCACCCATGCCAAAAGCCCCATCCTCACTCTCCCCGTCCCACCCTCTTCGCGTTTCAACAAGCATTGTTTTATGTATCAACCCAATCCATTGAGGGTCTACTAAGGGGCTTTTAAGTTAAAGAAACAACAAAATAAGGTTAACTTGAACTGCAGAAGAACTTGGAATGATATATATACAAGTGGCCAATTGCATAAATCTGCATAACCAACGATGCACTCCACCGTCATAGAGGCATACTCAGACGTAGAATTATAGGCTTTATCTACCTAGAATGATACAAATATTCTTACAACGGCGAAAGAGGAATGGAACTGGTGATTGATGCTCTATTTGTAATGAGTATGGTGCCATGAGCTGCGAGTTAACAGTTTTGACAGAACCCACTTCGTCGGAACTGTAATCCGCGCGTGCTTCAGAGTCGACGAAAGCTTCGGTTACATGCTTATTCATAGAAACTGTAGCTTTAAATGTTTTGCCAGTGACACGCATTTTCAGTTTGCTCTTACTTCTAATGTCACAAGATGTAAATGTGTATAGCGCATGCCTGAAAAACGGGAAGCTGTATTCAGTTATTGCTTACTTGAGTGTTGGGTATGGCATGATTATGTTACACAAGCTTGCACGCACACTTACTGTCTCTTACTTAGAAGCAGAATGCTCTGCCTTCGCGTTGAGGACCTGGCCACCTGACACAAGGAATTCGCGTCATGGGCTTCTGAAACTGGGGCAAAAAGGCTGGGGCGTGTGCCGCGGGGCATTTGACACGGGGCTTTTGACATCGGGTGCTTTTGTGCTGGCCCCCCCCCAGAGTACCTTCGCGTTTTCCGAGCTTCCAATTTTCTTCACGGCTTCTAAGTAATTTGTGTTCCAAAATTAAGCACTACAGTCTAAGCTCATTACAACAGGCCTCGTTACAACACAACACCACATTTGGATATAACATACCGATTTGTAAAGTTCGGTTGGTTTTCCTCTACATACCATTGACTCAATTCATATCTGCATACAACATACTCCTTTTACAACAGACCGAAATCTTGGTCAAAACCATAGTCTGTTATAACGAGTTTAGACTGTATTTCAGCAGATCTAAGCCACTCATTGATGCACAACTATGTGTCAAACACTCCTTCCTATGCTCGTCACAGTTTGCAAGCTGCGTAGGCTCCCGAACTGCTTTACTGTATCGGTGTTGAGACCGGTAAGGGCTCTTTTTCGGGGAAGTGGGGGGGAGGGGGTTGGTGGCCAAGTGCGTTAACACACCGCAGAACCCCAGGGTCCTGGGTTCGATCCCCACACTACCCGTTTTGATTTGGATGAGCATAGACCGGCGTGCAGTCACTTATCACTACTGCATAATGCACGTGAAAGGCTCCAGGCTGGCAGGTATACTGCACTGGCCGACTTTATCACCTACCGTAAAATACAGCAGAAGCATCTACTTCGTTCAAGCACCAACTACTATTAACATTTCCCAAACCTGGGAATTCGGCAAATTATACTTTAAGTGTCCGATTTGACCGGACAAGTGCCCATGTCTAGATTAACCCAGTTTTCAGTGGAAGTGGGGTTGGCGCTCCCCCCAATGTATTACTGTACAGCTTAAAAAAGCGTCGCTGCACCTCAAAGGCAGACCGACCCTACGCTGTGTAAACACAAATGTTGATATATTTTTTTAGGGTTTTTTTTGGTTATTAGCCAAGACAGGCAAGATCTTCTAGAGACCGAAAAGTTCGGGAACCCCCGGTTTTTCTACGCTCACCTGGTTCTGCGAGAGCCAGAGGGCGTGGAGGCCCCCGAGCTTGGCGAGGCTGACCGGCAGGTGGCGCAGCTGGTTCCCGCTCAGGTTCACGACCCGCAGCGCCCCTAGGTGGCCCAGCTCATCCGGCACGTTGCAGAGGCGGTTGTCGCGCAGAGACAACACCCGCAGCTTCCCGCAGCTCCCGATCTGAAACCGACGCACAAGGGGCCTTGGAGTTAGGACCTGCCGGTCCCCTCCAGACTCTCGTAACTACGGCGCCTGCAACGCGTCCTTGACCAGTCTGTTTGGAGTTCTATTCCGTTTGTGCTCCAAAAGTGGCCCCGAAGTGGACTCAAATGGTGTAGCAAAAGCCGGAGCGTCATGCTGTCAAACGTCGTGATCCCGATGGCTGGACGTATACATTCCCGACAGAAAAAGTTTTCGTGACTGTAGAGCTGGAGAGCAACCTGCAGTAGAACGGGTGTCTGCTACCTCTGCCACTGCTGCTGTGACACCGCCGGGGTCGCAGCCGGTGACCATGTGACACTTCTGTGACACCATCAAGCAGAAATCAAGAGACCATTTTTTTGGACATGAAACACGCCAATCCGAGAAGCGATCCAGGCATTATACTTGTGACCAAACAATTCTTGAGCAGTCCCCATTTTAAAGGGACAGTTTTAATTAAGAGCCTTCTTACAGGTTTTTTTTTGCTTGCGTCAATTTGATTGCATAATGTCGTAATATCACGGGGTGTATGAGTGTCGTGCGACCACAGGTTAAGCGGGAAAGTCAACGTCATGTGACCTCGGGTCACGTGACGCGGTTACCCGACGTGACCCAACACCAGGCGACATTCATTTCCCCACTATATTTATCGAGGAAATCGCCACGGCATCACGTGACAAGATGTCACAATATCCTCCCTAAATTAGGATAGGAAGTGCTGCTCATTGAAAATCTAATCAAGAGCCACTGCACCTTCACTCCAGTTGACAGAAAGCCCAAGACAGGTGATTTTTCTTGCTTTAATTTTGATTTTTTTCAGAGAATACTACAGGCCATTTGTGGCCCAAGTAGGAGCACTGTTAGACAAAGAAGAAAAAATAAGGACTGTAGCACGTGGAAAATATGACTACTATACGTCAACCAGAACTGCCACAAGGTTAGATCATGAGCCTGAAAATTGATTATTGTTTATCTATCTTGCTTCTTTTATGTTTTTCTTTCTGTTCCTTGCAGGAATAAACTTCAGTTGCCAGTCAGCATTGTGTTTGTTCACTTCGTGTTCTTATACTTCGTGTATTTTGCACTCTTTCCAAGTTTTCATTATGCACCAACTAGCCCAACTTCCATGCCTTGTTGCATAAAAACAATGTCATCTATACAAATAACTACCTATGTAGACTTATGCTTATCACTATCCTTAACTCAGGGCAGTCTAGACATTGAATGAGGTTAGTGTCAAAAATTAATTCAAGTGGTAAGGAGAGTCATTAACGGTGCAAGGAACAAACTGTATTTAAACACACTGGTGCAAATGAAAATGGGTATTAAGGTAAACTGATGTCTATGTTGTGATCTCAGTGGTGCTCGAGCCAGCTTTGAGTTTGGAGAAATTTTTGGAACAGAAAAAATCACTTTATAGAGCGCCTTCATATCAGAAAAAATCTCTTTTCGGAGCAGCACTGGAGCAGCACATACAAAAGTTTGGAGTATTTCGGTGCAGTTTCCTATTAGTGATGTCAGCATGCATTCATGCGATCAGTTACGTAATGCCCAATAAAAACGCAAAGTTAGCAGTTATACTGTACTATGGTTGGTGACAGTTTAAAAGTGAAGTGGAAGCTCCTTCCTACCCTTTCCACTTTTGAAGAACAAACGATGGAGAGGAGGTCCCCTCCAGCGTTCGCTCTGCAAAAGTGGAAAGAGGTGGGAGGAGCATTTACTTTGCTCTTAACCTATCACCAACTGTAGTCAAATTTCCCTTCAACTGCTATGAGGCTGCACCATAAAGAGTCAGATTCATGTTTTCTTTTAATTTCTTTTAATTACATATCGTAGCAGGATTGATGCAAGCGTGCAAACTAGATATAACCATTGAGAAGTCGATGTAGAGTACCAATTTAACTTTAGATTAGGCTTCTACGTTTTGGATTAGGGGCCGGATTGGGGACCTGTTGCAGTCTCCAGGGTCAGAAAATAGATAAGATGACATAAATGAGGAAATAATAAATAAATAAATAAGTCAAGCATTTCAATACAAAAATTAAAAACAAAGAGAAATGCAAGGTGATTGATACATATATACTTTATTTTTACATGCAATGTGTAGCTAATTATGACATTACAAAGTAATTGTGACCCAGAAAACTCACCAGGCATAAATCAAAGTGCATATATTAACACAGGACAAAAGAGTGAGAATGCTAGATTTGATGATGAGAATATACAGGAGTTATGACACAGATCATAGTTACACAGACATCAGACAGGGAACTATGAATATAAAGATGCCACTGATGACAATGTACAACAAAGACTATGGCGAGAGAACCCGTGTTTTGATGCAGATTTTCTCATTCTTTTTTTATATCTTCGCTCGAACTTAGCACGTCGCAACGCCGCCTTTTTTTTTCCCTTTCTTTTTTTTACGCGTTTTTATTTTTGCATTTGTAGCATTGGGCCGCGGGCCGGGCACCACTGGAAAGACAGCGGCCATCTGCAGGCCGGACGGAGCAGCTCTGCCGGCCGGGGTTTCAAAACCCCTGCTCTAGATCGAGAGGTGAATTGGCAATACACAAAGTCTTATCACCTGAAACGAGCAAATAATCAATAAAATATTCTGGGTTTTCTCTAATGTATAGACATTTTAACGAGTAGTGCGATCAAGGATTTACATTATTTGATCTGAAAAAAGGCAACAATTGGTAACCCAGCAGTCCCGACCAAGCATGCTAACGAAATGGGAACCATGTGTAAGCACATTCCTATAAAGCTATGTCACGCTATGTGAGCAAGCAGAAAAAAAAAATTACTTGTGCTTGCTAATCTTCAGTAGTGGGCTTCGAAATGCAACTGAAACTGTTAAAACTATGCTGTGTTAGGGATGTCAGTAGAATTGGTGCGAAACCTGTGAAACAATGCCACAGTGCCGCGGAGCCGGAAACCTGGATTGGATTGTGAGGGCCAAACCCCAATGGATTCGCCACAATTGACAGACAAGAAAAGCCAATTCATTCGCAGCTTTGTTCGCTTCGGCACAGTTTTTCTCTTTGGGCGCGCAAGGCACAGGAAAGGGGGAAATCATCAAAATGACGCAAATGGCGCAACTGGACCACGCCTGTGATCTGCTTGATGTTAAGGGCCAAAAAGACAGGTAATGTACAGGCCTAGGTTGTTCAACAGAAAATAAGAAGTTGCACATTTCCTTTATAACCTTGATACTATAATAGGAACAACTACAGTAGTTTAGCTAATGGTAGCTTCACCGTAAGGTCCCCAGATGCAGAACAAAAAAAAGGAGGAAAAACTTTACCTCAGGTGGCAGGTCCTCCAAGAGGTTGTCGTCGGCGATGAGTATTGAAAGACTCCGTAGTAGTCCCACCGTAGAAGGTAGAGAGTCAATCTCATTACCATTGATTATCAGCTCTTCCAGCTTGCACAACCTGACAAAACACAACCCAGGCTCAAGAGTGCATCACTCCAGCGAGCATGCTCGCGTGAAACAGCAACGGGAAGAGAGCGTTCTCCTCCTGTTGCTTGCTCAACCAACTAACCAAATACCTTATGTCCCGTCACAATCTTTCCCATACAGCGTCATGTGCCACATGACGCTGTATGTACGTCTCTGGGATGGCTTGTCCATCCCAGAGACGTATATTGGGAGAGTTTGGCCAGTGGGTGTGGCGATGAAGGCGTCGGAGAGGAGAAAATTAAATGAAAGGGAGGAGAGCGCCGAAGGAGCAAGAGAGAAGAAAGAACGGAGCAGAGAAGAGAAGACCACCATTTTTTCGCAACGCTGTCCGAGACTGGTCGGAGAAGAGCACTGCTGAGGCTACGCGTCGTCTGCTACGGGCCGACTTCTTTTTCGCCTGAACAAAAGTTTGTGGCCATACGCCGAAAAATCTTCATTTATTAGCTTTTTAACCCACCCAGGAATAACAGTATGTCATTTTCTTGCCAGAGCCAGCGATATAAAAGGAAACAATCTAGATTTAGATGTCGATCCCACGCATTCCGCCGGGAGAATGAACGAAAATGGTGGCCCTCCCCACTCAGCTGGGAGCAGCCGGGAGTTCACGCGCATGCGCTCATACCTCTCGCTCTGCGCCGCGTGCTGATTGGCTCACTCGGGAGGAGAGCGTTACGGCGGCGAGATCATAGACTGACCAAACTCTCCCCATATACGGCTCTGGTCCATCCAACCTCCAACCAGCCTTTACAACAGTGGGGGCTTAGATACACACAGTTTACAGCGATCACAATACTTCGTTCAGCCGTAAGCTGACAGTGCGGTGGGAGCAACGCACTAGCCGAACCAACGAATCACCTCCTTTTCACTTTATCACCTAACCCCACTCTATGCGCATGGATATAGGTAGCTACAAATTTATTCCTGTCAATGGCAATGGGAACATCCAATGACAATTTGCACAGAGAAGCAAGTGAAATGCCCGGTGGTCGGCAATCGGTTCCACCCGAAGGCACACACTCCCAACACGGGCAAAAAGGGTGGCGCTTACTGTCCAATGCTGTCCGGCAGGGTAGCTAAGTGATTGTCGTCCAGTCGCAACGTTGTCAAGCTTTGAAGACAGCCTGAAATGGACGACGGGAAAGAATTAATTAAAAACAAAACTTTCGGGCTTGCGCACACGTGAGCACGTTCGTCAGTGCAGAGAGGGGAAGGGTGGGATACGCTACCCAGGGTCTCCGGAACCTTTTGCAACTTGTTGGCGGTGAGCGTGAGATCGGAGAGCACCGCCAGGTGCTCGATTTCTTCCGCAACGTATGAGATCCGGTTCCGGCTGGCGTCCAAGTAAGTGAGCTTCACGAGATTCCCAAGGTACTGAAATGCAAATGCGCCGCAAAACCCGAGACGTGAGCGAGGTGCGCTCAGCAAAAAAGCTGGGATCAAAATCGGTCGCCGAGACCGTGCGCAGAGTCAGGACCCCACGTAAAGGAGCACCAAACGTGCCGCAGGCAAACGAGGGTGCAGTACTAATGGTGTCGCCTAAAGCCGCCAAACAAGCTATGCTTGGGAGTCGCAACACTTTAGCCATCCTGTAAGTCTAAAATCACGGTTGCCGGTTATCCGAACTGTAAAAAAGAAATGACGAAGAATGCGCGGGCGAGAGCTAAACATTCGACATCTCTCACAACCGAGACTTGGGAGCAAAAAAGTGAAACTGCAGAAAGTGCTTTTCCGTTCTCCAGAAATGTAAAAAAAAAATATTTTAGTTTTTTAACATTGTATCTAAAGGTCAGGAAGTCTCATCCTTTCATTGTAGCCATCATCATTTGCAACCACTCTGCGCTAAGCGCCAAAATGCCCACAAAGAATAGAGTGTCGCAGGAAATGAGCTATGCTTGGAGCATTGGCACACTATTCCCCAATCTCCTTTGGGCAACGCCACCTTGCTGTATGTGCAGATCGGGCGCAACTGGGCAATCGGGAATCTCGGGCAACAGAGTTTTTCACCGTTGACGACTGCTTTAACGTTTCTGGAAGATGGAAAATTATTTCCTGCAATTTCGGATGATGCTTCTGATAACTATAGACACTCACTTTAAGCGCACGATAGTTGAAATGTTGTTACAATGAAGTGCAACTTATTCAGCAGCTCTAGCTATAACTAGTTTTTGTTGTGTGACTCTGATGCAGATATCGTTGATTAATGAAAGATGTGGGTCAGGGGCACTTTTTTTAAATATTTGCTCAAGAACTATGAAACTTTAGCTACTTATATAAAGTACTGTCTTTTCTTTTTAAAACAACTGCTAATTTTAATATGGCTTCTTGTTCAGATGCAGAAACAGCTACATTAAAAAGTTTTTTTTGTGTGCAGATTTAGGCAAACTAATTTTTTATAAGTGTACCGTAATATTCCGAGTCATTGTCCACCCCACTTTTTGAGCCAATATCGATTTCCAAAAAAACACTGAGTCATCACCCACAACTTCAAATACCCCAACGCTGACTCTGTGAAGATTTATCCTACAAGCTGAGTCTGCAAAGATAAATCCTACCCGAATGATGAGGCACGGCGGCAGACCTTACTGTTGGAGGGTGCTACGTGACAAAGTAAAACGAAACAGAGAAAAACACTTTGTTTACGCATTCCTCTGCGAGCGACCTCGAAGTCGTAGTGTATGCGAAAAGAAAACAATAGAGATAACAAAATAAAAGTTTGTTTTGCTTACAAAAAAATCGTCCCCACAGAGGGAAAGAAAAAATGAAAGCCGTTTACAATTCCCTGTAACGCCAGATTAGAGCGCAGCTCTTGAGGAGGAGGATGGAAGGGTACTGAGGGATAGGTGACTCCTTGAGGTCACGTGACCTCAGGGGGGGTCGTCTGAGGTCAGAAGGTCACGTGACCTCAAGGGGGGTCACGTGACCTCAGGGGGTCGTGTGACGTCAGGGGGGTCACGTGACCTGAGGAAGGGTCACGTGACCTCAGGGCGGGGTCATGTGACCTTGGGGGGTCGTGTGACGTCAGGGGGGTCACGTGACCTGAGGAGGGTCATGTGACATCATGGGGTCATGTGACTTCGGGGTGGGGTCACGTGACCTCGGGGGTCACATGACCTCACGGTTACGCCGCTCAAGCCGGAAACGGGCCCCTAAGAGCTGCGCTCGAAAAGAAAATGTTGGAAAGATAACACAAGCAGTAACCTACTCAGGGATCGCGAGGTAAGCGAACGTCCCATATCCTGGAATGTAACCGCGGAGTATAAGGTCAAGGTCTGTCTCTGCCGGAGTAACGTCGTTGTGGACCCACTTCTCCCGGCACGTCGCGACAGCGGTTTTGCAATGTTTAAGACAAAGCCAACAGGTAATTATAAAGCTTTGCTGGAACGCCGCACACAGACGTTTGTAGATCATCCCACTTTTGAGCTCCTAGTTCGTGTTGCCATCCATGCCACACAGCAACGCCGCCTTAACCCCTGTTGATAGCACGCCGTGCACGAACGCACGCATGTGTGCACCCAACAAGAAAGTTGCGTAAGAGCTTGCGATTGACAAGGCACCTGACTTCGCCCGACGCCTAAGTATTTGCCAACGCAATCGCCGGCTTTCCACTTTCCCAGCATCACTCTTCATTGCTTCTTTGGTTCACTCATTCACTAGCTTGTTGCACCTAGTTGATTTTTCCATTTTTTTGTGGACTTCTTTTTTTTTTTTTAACTAACGAGGAGAACTGGGAGCGACGTAATACTCTTTCATGAAACAAACGTTTGCGGTGTATGCCGATCGGCGGTGTTCATGGCACGTATGAAAGCAATGAACTTTGCGATAGTAAAACATTCTTTTATGAGCATTTTCTGTATGAAACAATAAAACTAATTCGAATTTAAACCTTTAAGTGCCTTAGACGAGCTGAGCTCGTCGGCCGCTTTTTGGCTAAAAATGCCATGGACGAGCTCAGTTCATTCAGTGTTTTTTTTGGTAGCGCTCAATTCCACGGACGAGATAGGCTCGTCCGAGTAGTTTGCGGCGCTGATCATAGATGGCAGCACTCGTTTTAGCTGACGCTTTTTTTTTTTGTCGCCGCAGATTTTTGCGTAATAAACTTTTGAAATTTTATCTGTATTACTGTACCTGTTTTCACCTCAAGAAGCATAGGAAAAAAAGTCCGGCTTCTCCCAGATGATTACTAATTTTCACCTTTAGGTGGAGATTTAAGATATATTTATTAGCACTTTAGAGTGGATACACGTTATCTTATCAAGGAGTACATGTTTCAAACGCCAAAAGCATCGCCTGCGCCTCCGACAACCAAATCTGGCGAGAACTATTTCGCGCGGCGTATGAACAATGCGCAAAACTTACTGTTTTCTTGAGGTGAAAACGGGTATAGAGGAATAAAACTTCTAAATAAAAAAATATATAACACTTTTAGGTTACTTTCTGAAAAAAAAAAGGTGCACTTAAGGGGTTAATGTATCTCTTCTGCAGCTGCGCTAGATATGCACAAAAAATGGGCGTTTTTTTTTTTCAGATTTTTTTTACTTTTTATGTTCACCCACCGAGACATGGCCCACCCCACTTTTTTTATGAATTTCAGGTGGCGGGGTGTGGGCAATGACTCAGGATATTACGGTAGTACAATAGCTCATTTTGCTTCTTATGAAGTGTAAAGTACTAGTAACTGGCTAAAAGCTACACATAAAATGTTCTAGTCTAGAGCAGGAAAATAAAGACTTTATAAAGTCTTCTTTCAGAAAACCCTTTAAAAGTTGTTTTAAATATGCAAAAACATAATTAAGGCATTGCAGTTCCAAATAGATACCTGCACTCTATATACCCTCAGGATAATACATAAAAAAATGTCATTATGAAGGAAAGAACCTATGTACAAATAACTGAGTGCACAAGCTGAGAAGACAGCCCAAAGTTGCTAAACGAGATAAATGCTTTGGAAAGTTTGAAGATGTATAATCTTCTGAAATCGGCTGGGACTACACGAAAATGGGACATAACATAGATAGAGTGTCCAAATATCATCCAGAGTCACTAAAACCGTCCTTCCCTGTATGTTGCGACTTTCCTGGCCCCTCTTGTACCACACGCCATCAACCACCGTTACATTAGCTGCTTCTCCCACGTCACCATTTCGATCTTCACGAGGTTTTGGTTGGCAGTTTTCGTGGCAGCGGCATAATCTTTTATGCTAGTGAAAGTCTTGCAGTGAGTTTGTGTTAGCAGGCTGAGAATCGCGCTAAAGCGCGGAAGTTTTGGTTCTCGAGCTGACGGACGGCGAAACTCGTGCAAGCTCCCACTGTCGTAGCTTTGCTTTATGCTGACGCCACCCGACACAGAAGGTTTCGATGTAAACGTCGAAAGAAAGAATCCACTTGAGGCACTCGCCCTTCTCCAAGCGTAGTTTAAGGGACGATGAATATCCCTCGCGTTTCCCAGCCACGCTCGTGACAAGCGGGGCAGATCGCATCGCTCAGAAGTATCGTCAATGCGCCAATGTTGCACATCACTGAACTTGCAGAGCCATGGCTACTTGTTCCGTAGACATTTTCGAAGAACCCGATCTTCTTTTGCAAAGCGCTGACACACATGAAGGGAGTGCCGAAACAGTGGCTGTTGCCATGGTTAGGTTCGCACGCCGCAGTAAATGTCCGACCACTGGCATTCTTTGCTTGCTTTGGCCACTATCTGTCGTAAAACTTGTACTCGCTTTGGAAGTTCTGAATGCGAAAATTTCGCTTCTTAGTGTTGTCTGTCGCAAGTGAAATCAGAGAAATCTAGAAAGCGCCGCTGCCCCCAGCAACAGCCTCTCGAAGATGCAATGTTTCGAGCAACTGCAAGACGCATTTCTTTTTTTTGTCATTTCTCATCTATATCTTGTTTGAATTTTTCTACTCGTGAAAGTAGGATGTATAAGGATAATAAAACAAGCAAAATCAAGAATATAAAAAATTTCTAAAATAAACTTGATTTTTCGACCCATTTGTCCCCTTAACGGCATGTTCCAACAATGTGGAGGTGCATTCTAACGGCGGTTTGATTGGAGAACCTTACCGATGGCAGAGCTGTCAGCCGGTTGTTGTCGCACCAGAGTTCTGTGAGACTGGGCAGACTTCCAATCACCTCCGGCTGTGAGAAGAATGACAAGATTAGCGCCAGAGTAGTCACAGCACAATGACGCCTTTTACGCCGCAGGTTACGTTTAGTATAACTGAAAGCCGAGCTTTGCGGGCTATGCGTATAAATAATGAGGGCGGCTCCTGAAACATTGTGTTGACGTATGCCTAACAAAAAGGAGATTCGCTGGGCTGACAACCATAGGGCTAGGGGTTTCTATATTTTTATGAGAAAGACGCCTTCACACGAAAACCTTTCCAGGACGGCTTTACAGTTATCTCAATGCATACCGGCCAAACATTAAAAAGAAAAGCAAACGTCCACAGAGAATGTGAAAATGTAAAAGCAACCTATACACGACAGTGTACGAAACTGCATATCCCACAGTACATCAACCTAAGCATGCGATGAAGGGCAATCTGTAATGCGGTGCATTTACTGGGCCCAAATTTCATACCTGACGAATTCGAACGTTAAGTGTTTGGACAGCGACAGAAAAATACAAATAACAAAGTTAAGGTTCATTTGTGCAGGTGTCAGCCGATATACTGTCGAGACCGGTTATAACGAAGTCGACGGGAATCTGAAATCACTTTACTATATCCGCTTCTTCTTTATACCTAAACTCCACAAAAGTAATGCGAAAAAAAAAAAAGATAACACGAGTTGTTACGGGGACATGTTTATCGTGCTTGCAGAAAGCGGTCGAGGCTTCCCTGCAAGCACCCTTTGTAAGATCAGAGCCGTTTCTCCCCAACTGCGAGAAGCTCCGATCGGAAGAAGATTTTGTGAGCAACGTACGGACCGCGTCGACAGCTGCGACGGCCGCCGCGCAGGACTCTGGCAATGGAAGGCAACCTTTACGTTTATGTGCACTTTGTCGAGGATGGCGGCACGCCTTTGTTTTGAAGAGATTGCCTTCGTCTTCCCTGTCAAGGTGCCAGCAAAGCTGGGACTCGCCGTAGTTGAGTAGCTAGAAGTTGCTGAATCGGCGCTTGAGCGAAGCTAGACCTTCGCGCAGAGAGCGACCACATTGATTAGCGATGCCGACATGGAACATGAAACAAACAAAGAAGCCCGCAAAGCAGCGAGTTCGTGCTCAAGTTCCTGTTTCGTCGCTATAGAGAGCCTAGCTTTGATCAATCGGGGTCACGTGGCTTGTGGGCCGCGTTTGCAAAACGAGCTGTAGACTACAAGGAGTCAAAAGCATTCACCGTCTGCAAGTGAGTGCACCTCTCTGTCCGGTTTCCTTGCCACGCTGGCCACAAGACGACCAAATGCAGGCACACTCGCGCCAATCTGCCCAGGAGGCGTCCGCCGTTAAATGGCAAATGCTCTCCATGGTTGGAGTTGCTTCCTCTCGTCCCTAGAGCTCCCAACGCCCCTGTCGGCATGCCACATGGCTTCTCCGCGTACAATGCGGAAAAGCCGCTTCTCTATTAAGGAGCGGGGGAGCAGACAACGATGCAGAGGCTGCTGCCAGCAGCCTTTGCGGGGCACGTCTGTGGCCTGTTCTGAGTGACTGCTCGGCCGCGGCAGCAAAATGGGCCGGTCTGCGACTCGCTAAACTTCAAAATTTGATTATATTTTAAATTATCCGAAAATTTATTTTCGTTACATCCGCGGGAGCCGTTCATCTTCCTTCGCTAAAAACAGACACAAATACATCGAAAAAGTGCAAACGGGAATGGGAAATCGTGATTGCTTCGCTATAGTCGCTATTTTGTTATAACCGACTTAGTTATAAACGGTCGCGACAGTACCCTCATTTAATTATATAAAAAAGAAAAAGAACAGCGCTGGAAAGCATATGAAAAACCAAATTGCAAGCTTTCCAAAAAAGAAAAAATGATGAACTTGCCAGTTCAGCAAAGTCGTTCTGGCCGATGTCCAGTCGAACTAGCTCAGTAAGCCTTGCCATCGACTTTGGGAGCACTTTGAGGTGGTTCTCGCGAAGTTCCAATATTTTTAACTTTGAGAGCCTGAAATCAAAACATTGTAAATGACGCTCTGGAAACCATGGTGAACCCAATGGTCCTATAATGTGGGCTAAAACACACTTGAGCAGGAGGTCGTATTTGCGGGAGCATGTATAGCAAGCTTTCAACATGAACCAAAACTGAAAATATGAAAGGTAAATTACGCAGAGACATTGTCATCATCGCTCAATCGGGTGCAAATATAGAATGCTGGGGGCACCTCCAAATTCGGACAAGTGCAGCTTTTTGGCGTTTGCTGAGATGTACGCTTTTGAAATTGGTTTTAAAAAATAGACATAGTAGTGAATTCATAAACTTCATTCCGTCCTCATATCAATGTAAAATAATGTGTGGTTTTAAGGTAATTTGATGTTAGCTATGTGATTTTTAAGGAAGATGTATTCATGATGTCACACGAACATTATCAATGTTAACGGCATTTGGAGACGGTAATAGATAAAGCTATTAACGTATATCGTGCGCATTTTTCTGGCGGGAGACTGCACCATTTGAAATGCCCTTCCCCATTCTGTTAGAACTGCTCGCATCGGGACGGCGCAGCGAAACGTCAGTCAACGTTTCACACGAAGAATGATGTATCAGTTATGAACAAGTAAACGGCATTCGGTTTATGTTAGGAATGTCAGAAAAAGTAGGGGCAAGTTACATACCTTCCAAAGTTTGCGGGCAAGTATTCTAGAAAAGTGTCGTTCAAGTACAGCTGCTCAATGTTGATGAGTTGCGTGAAGCCTTCGGGAAGCCTGCGTTAAAACAAACAAATATCTCAAATGCAACCAACCCAAAAACGAATGAAAAAAAAAAGTGGCTTTCACAACCAAATTTGAAACACAAACTAATTAGTATGTCATTACAACTACTCATGCACTGGCTGATGAACAGTGTACAAAGGGCCTACATTTGGAACATTCTCAGAGTGACACAAGTAAGTGGAGTTATACTTGAGCTTTGCGCAAAGGATGTTTTTTTTTTTTTTGCTCTGCAGTTGGAAGCACAGATTCCAGTGAAAGGACATGACTCACTTTCCAACGGGGTTGACACTAGCCTCGACGATGGATAGGCACTTGCAACCCTTGATGTTGTCCGGAATTTCGATCACGTCTGAAAGTGAGTGCCAGGCGGTGATTCGACGGTCCTTGTGATTCGAGTTGAGGTCGACTGTGAAAGTTTCCGTCTCGGACCAAGCCCAACATTCCGTTACGTCACTTCATGTTGGTTTCGACCTTTGATCGTTCACTGCAAAACCGTGCTTGATGTGCCTTTAAAAATTGATTGACGTAGAAGTTTGGGCTAGTTGGTATGCAGACATAATTAAAAACAATGTTACGAAGCTCGTAACATTGTGAAACTGGGGCCGGTGACGGTGTTGTACCGAACACGTGATATGCATTTCTTGTGTTTTCCCTTGATTTCTTTGGAGTGGCATGTTTGCTATTTATACTGGATGCTAACATAAATAAATCTTTAGTTCAGAATCAGCACTGCGTCCTGTCGGGTACCTTTTACTTTGTCCTCGGCTTTGCGCTGTTTCGTTTTTAATTGTGCCTTTAATAGATTCGCCGATGATCTGGAACTTCTGGTCCTTACGACACGCGCCGTTCACTGCAGTTCAGCGACCGTCGGGTTAGGCGAAAAGTCTTAAGGGGGTACTCCAGCCGTTTTTGGAGCTACCCAAACTAAGTTGCATTTTCTGATCACCCGGACTTTATGGTCTTCAGGGCACGCTATTTATTGTCTCGAAATTCAAAATAGTGATTGAGAAAACCGTAAATGTAGGTGATGCCGAAACAGAAGTTCAAATCTCTGTGCGCTCTCCGGTGATGTGACGTCACGAATGGTACAGACTTTCAGGTCGCGCCGGTAGTTTTAAACAGAGTATGTAGAGCGTTTTTTCGTGCTTCTCGGTGAAGGAGCTTCCGAGCATTCTTTTTCCACCATCAAACGTCTTGCAATAAGTCGGGGACGTGGCTCACTGCCCACTTTGTTTCATCTCTGTCGTCACATGTCAGTGCTGCCATTAAAGGCTCTCGGTTTAGAAAACACAATGAGAACAGAATTTGAAAATTCAGTACCTTGGCGAAAATTTTTTCTTTTCGTAATACTTGGCAGTCTTGGGTAAGTTACTTTTAAAAAGTAATTCGTTACAGTTACAGTTACTTTCAGAAAAAAGTAGCGAAGTTACCGTTACAGTTACCGCAACAAAAGAGTAACTCGTTACAGTTACAGTTACTTTTGAAAAGTAACGACGTTACTTTTCAGTTACTTTTCTATAACACAAAAAATGAGAAAAAAAAACTAGAAAACGCCCCTCGCACCGTTTTATTGCATAAAATTAAAAAGTACGCTTTTTACTTCATATTGTAACTTAGCAGCAGTTGCTTCTCGAAGTTAGTGTTTGAACGTTTCATTGCCAGAGTAATGGCGCAAATCAAAATACGAAACATGCGCAGTACGGAGTAGTGGCGCTAATCAAAATACGAGACATGCGCAGTGCCCTCCACGTGTGTTATTGTTTCACGGTTGATTCACCCGATTAAAGAGCGTTTGCACAGAAAAAAGAAAAACCACAACATAGATAGTGCTTCAAGACACTAAGATGTAAGTGTTCAGTCACTAAGCACAAGCGCATGCGTAAAGATAACTAGATAATTTTTTTCTATAAAATCTACCCGTGGCTATATTCGGGTCGTGACTCGCGAGAAAGAACGTAGTCACAACTTTGTGCAAGGCCAACTTGACACTCGAAATGTCGGAATAGACGATTTGGAAAGTGCAAGGTATGGCTAAATTGCACCTCCGTTCAGTGATATATTATAATAAAATACTAGAAAGTAACAACGAAAGTAACGTCGTTACTTTCATCGTTACCTCAGAAAAAAGTAATAGAACTACAGTTACAAGTTACATTTTTAAAAAGTAACTCGTTACAGTTACAAGTTACCAAAAAAGTAACGAAGTTACAGTAACGCGTTACTAGTAACGCGTTACTACCCAAGACTGATACTTGGGGGACTGGTAGAGTCGCATCCATCGGTGCATTGGGTGAACTTTGAAGCAAATCAGCGACCATAAAATTTTTTTTGGAGTATCCCTTTGTGTGCTATGACAACAACCCATATTCAGTTCCCGGAAGCGAACCTTTTTAATCTCAAGACATCTTGGTACACACAATATTAGAAAAAACGTGGCAAAAACCAAGCGGACACACATCCCTTCTGACCTTAAGAAAAGCTTGAGCAAGAAAGTTGCTTCAAAACTCATTAAAATAAATAGTTGCAGCATGCCAACCCACGTTGTCCACAATGATCCCTTGTTGAACGTCAATCAAATCTGAGTGGAAGGACTCACTGTTCTTGCTGATGTCCAGCTCTTCGAGACCAACCAAGGAGGACAATGCAGGCGGCAATGTCTGGATATCATTGTCACTAAGGTTCAGCTTGCGCAGTCCATGGCAGTGAAACAGTGGCTGGAACCGCGAGCAAAGAAGTGCTGTTGAGGCGACGACACTATACATTGTTTTATCGATTGTAACGCTTTTGCATTTCGCTTTTACATCTTGCATTTTCCCCGAGCTACCCTCGCCATAGACGTATCCTAGGTTGCAACAAAATTTGGGCATGTCTTGATAACATATGATAAACTTGGAGATGTGCGGAATATTTTGCAAATGGGCTGGGCACATGCTGTGTCTGTGTGTAATGGCATGGGACGTCACACGACAACATGATGTCATGGGACATCATGATGTCCGTGACATCCAGTTGGGGGCCCTTCGCTGTGGTGTGCTCACCCGTGGCAGGTCCTTGATCTGATTTGCATTGAGGTAGAGCTCCTCCAGGGTGCGCTCATAGTTGAAGACCTCCGACGGAACCTCCTCCAGTCCGCAGTGGGCATAGTCCAGGACTCGGACTTCCTCTCGTGCTGGGCGCAGACACGGGCAGTGGCGGAACACTGGGCCCATTCCCCTGCACAAACCGCAAACTGATGATTCTCAACAGTTTTACTTCAACCGCCACCCCAGCTGTATATGGCTACAAGTCAATTAAAAGCATGTCTTTTGGGGTCAAGAGAGGGGTGTCAAACAAAGCCAGAGGGATCTATCATTTGTGCGACCTGGCTATTGGCCATTGGAAATTGCCAATCCATAGTCAACGCCCATTGCCATTGGCCATGGTTTCTGATCACTACATGTATTTCCGTTCGTCATGTTTTTGTAAGAGTAAAGCAAGAAAGGCTCCACCCCAGCAGACAACGACATTCTCTTTAGTGGGTAGGCAATGTCTCAAGCTGCGAGTTCTTCTTTTGTTGTAGCACCTCTGGTACATTTTAGTCAACAAAAACAGTGTACCCTTCGAGATATTTCCACTTTCCTTTTTCAAAGGCCAAGTCCTTTTTTGTAGAGAACCGTAAAGCATTAGACAACTGCAGAAAAGGCAAGGCAGCCATCACTACGACTAGCGGACGACGCCACTGCAACACCGCAGCCGAAATGACTTCTAGGAACAATCTTCCAATCAGAGCTCGGCACTGTGACATCACTGTTTACTTGCTTGCTGTACAGAGTTTGTATTGTTGGGGCACAGCGAGAATGTTAAAAAAGGTCTTACATTTGCAGGAGCTTGAACTGCAATGGTCCAGGTCACCCTGAAAGCAAACGGGCCACAGAAGCCTAAAAGCGGGTCCACAAATACAACGGTTCTTTAAGAACTGCGAAAAGATTGATTGTCAGATGCGCTTAGAACGCGAGGTAGCAATACGCTGACATTGACCGAATGACCAACAAAGACTGTGCATCTCGCAAAAAAAAAAAAAAGAATAAAGTGTTCATTTGCTTTTGAAAAGGATGCCAATGGCACAGATCTCTGAGTAGGTAGAGCCGGACGGAATGTCGGCTTTGTTCCCACGTTTTGGCCCGAGAAACCTGGATCCCTTGGCTGGGGCTCAGTTTTTACTTTCCCGCTTTTGCAGAAAGAAACCATGGGTGAAGGAGCTCATTGGCACCCTTCCCACTTGACGAAAGAGGACCGCACCTCCAGACAGCACAAGTCAGGACACATCTCTCACAAGACGTGCAACCACTCCCTCTTGTTTCAAAATTACGAAACTGTTTTCCTCTTTCGAAAGAAGCAACGCGAGAACGGGAGGACACTTGGGATGTGCACTTTTCCAGATGGTAACGGGGGTGGCTGATTTTGATGAGGTCGGCTGGCATCCGCTCTTTGTGCATACTTTGCTACACTGTTAGCACGACGAAACAATCATCGGATTGTTCTTAAAACTTTTCTCCTAAAATTGAAAGGCTGTTGTCATAGCTATACTCTGTTTCACCTTGTGTTGTACCGCAGGAAAGGCTACAAGCGCGAGTTCCTTGCTCTACGGCACATCTCGGCGGCACAAGCTCTCGTGCACCAAGGGCAGCTGCCAATGCTATGAGCTCGCGCTTCTAGCCTTCGCTGCGGTACAACAGAAGGTGAAACGGAGTATAGTACCACAGATATCTCAATGTTAGTATGGATACCCCACTACATAAACAACCTCTACGGGGACATACTGGGTAAAAAATTAACACCTTTTTCTCTCATTATTATGAACAACGTTTTGAGGAACGGGGGTGTCCGTTTTTAAGGAAAAAAGTTTGGTTCCTGACAATACTCCTTTAAAGTATAATGCGAAAAAGCACCCAAGTTGTGTTTCCGCCAACAGTGTCGTAATGTGCATAATCACTCATCAAATGACACATTCATGTTTCAGGAAATAAAAGCATGAATTTTAGTGAATTATGTTTATATCTGGTATAAGATTTCTTTTATGCATTTGAAAGGAAGGAATATTTAACTATAAGTGGTAGTTTATTTACTTGCTGACTAAATGACGTCCACCACTGTGTCTAAAACTGTACTTGCAAATTTGAAATCGACCACTAAGCCTCAGATAACCTAAGGCCACTAAGAAAAAAAAAAAAAGGTAAGAGGCTGAGGACAAACGATAAGCAAAAACAGATCTGGCAGGCTCCACGATTGGAGACAGCGGAAGTTGCAATCATCTTCAGCTTTCCTACGTCTGCACCTTTCCACCATTAGCAACTTCAACCGTCTGCGAGTTTTTGTTGTCTGCAACTTTTTCGCTGTCTGTAACTTTCCGTCGTCCGCAAGTTTCCATCATCCAGTAAAGTTGTTGCGAGCGTGGCAACCCCTTGCCCTCAGATATAGATCGTTTCAGATAAGTGACCCTTTGCCAGAAAACCTAAAATAAGACACCCTCCTAGCCAGAACGAACAAGTAGACCTGTTTTAGAACACGAAGCCGCGAAAAACAAAACAAAAAAGAGAAAGGCGAAACCCCAATAATAAAAAAAGTGCTCTCGTATTTTCTGCTCTACTTCACAACCATGCGGGGGCTCACGAACTTAAGGAGCATCCATTTAAACTTTGTAAAAAATTAATAAAAAAAAAAGTACCTCACGATTTTAATTTTAATAACGGGACCCGAGTGTCACGACAAGCAAAACGGGGAAAACTTTTTTTTTTTGCGGACTTTCGTTTTTTTGTTTGTTTATTTTAGTTTGAGAGAGTGCGCCGCGCCGTGTATTTTATTTTTAAATCTCCGCGCCGGCCGCTCTCCACGTAACTTTACGCCGAACGACACTACAAAAAAAGGCCGTCGTTCCTTCCTTCAGTCACAAACACAGGGACAGATCAAATGCAGCCAAACCGTCTTCAAAAAAGGGAGCTAAACCATTTGAGCCGCATTCTCGTCATCGCAAGGATTCGCTACAATCGGGGACAATTTTTTCTGCCATTTCAGAAGTGATGACCGCGCACAAGCACAGCTTTGATCAGCGTTGAAGGTACGCCAGCGCACGGGCAACTAATTTCTTTGCCAAAAAAAAAAAAGAAAAAAGAAAAGGTTGTTTGTAAGTTACAGAAAGGTAAGGCATGAATAGTGCACCATAGCTAGCTGGACGTTTAGGAGTCGAAGTGAGACCGCACAGTTCGCAAGCGAGACTAATAGCTTCGGCTACATTCGAAGCGAACGGTGGAGAGCGTGAGGGTTTGGTGTCTTGCCCAATTTCACCGCCGGGGTTAAATATACATGAACGGCACCCGCCGCTACTTGGATCAAAACCAAAGCCGAAAGAAAGAAAGGGGAAAAAAAAAAAAAAAAAAGGGAAGTCAAGCCAGTCAAGTAGTCGCCTCCTCAGCGCGGTTTGAGCACGCACAAGTTCTTCGTCTACGGCTCTTTTTCGCAAACGCAAGTAGGAGAGCGGCGGGGTTTCAAGAAGGCACACAGAAATATGAACAGGAATAAATAGACACGACATTAACATCACTTATAATTAGCTCGGCAATCGGATACGAGCAGAGGAGAGACGCCCCGCCAACCTGTCCATCCGGCCACCGTTAGACACGGATCGCCAAGTTTAGCGAAAAGAAAGCGGAACAGAAGCTGCAAGAGGAGTTTCGCGATTTAATCTGGCTGCCCGTTGATATATGTTCTGTATTTTTTTAACGAAAAAGTTTGAGGCAGATCACGCGAAAATTGACTACCGTTTGAAACAAGAAAGCTCAAACGCTGGAGGTCCGACGGAGAGACGAAAGATCTTCCTACCTTATGGATCAAAGCCGCCGAGCTCGCTGGATCAGCCCTTGGGTAGTCTGGACATCCCTTCGGCTCCGTCTACGTCGCCCGAGAAAGCCGCACAAATTTTTGCACAGCCCCGAAAACTTCACCTTTGTAGCGTCCGAGAGCGGACGGGAGGGCGATCTGCCATAACGAAATGCACCGGAAGTGCATCATAGCACGATGATGCTGATGACGACGAAAATTAAAACAAAATAAACAAGTACCTTTAAAAGTTCATTGTTGACTCCTTTCCTCGGTTTTTTACTATTTTGTGCGTCCCTTTGCGCGTTATTATGTAATATTACCACTCTTTACAAAGTGCCTCACTTTCTGGCACCTCGCGGGCGCTGAGAGAACCACCAGCACCGCTGCAAGAGGTAGCTCATCGCTCTTTTTGACCGCGAGTCTGACCAACAAACTATCTGGTCCAATCCAATGCCGCCAAAGCTATCACATGACTACTATTTTTTAACCAAAAATGTGTGTCAAGGTACACACGTGACAGGCTAGGAGCATATGATTGGATCGAACAGGGTGTGTGCTGAATCTCCGGTCGGAGGGAAGATTGAACGGACCTTCGGGCTATCGGAACGGAGCAGCGGAGAAAATGGCGAACAGCTGTTCGCCAATGGAGTGCTTGCTCTCGCTGATGATACTCCATCACTCCGTTCCGTTGAGTGTTTCGCTAGGTGAGCGATTTCACCCTGATCATTTCGCTCTTTCAAAGCGTGCGTGGGGATCGCGCGCGTCATATGTGGGCTTCAGTTTCTGGCGCGTGTTTGATAGCATAGCTCTGGGTAATCCGCGCGCAGCTTTTTTAATTTTTATTTTATTGTTGTTCTTGGAAGACAGCCGTGTCTGGTTTCGGGATATAAGCCACGACGTGAACACGCGGTTTTCTGAAAGCACATGAACCGAACCCAGTTATCGAAAGTACTGTGCTACTGCTGCTTGCTACTCTCTCTGCTTCTGTTGTCTTGGATATCTCTCCCCCGCCTTTTTATTATATTTTTATTTTTTTGTCTGTGTTTGTGTAGGGATGTGATAATCACGGATCATGGCTGTAAGTTGTTTTGTTTGTCAACATATCCTTTCCGTTTTTTTGTTTTTTTTCTCTTTCAATTTATGCTTTATCAACAATTAATTTGATAAGCATTAAAACACGAAGAACTGCAGATTTGGACCGAAGCGATTCAACAAACCTTTCAAGAGCGACTGTTGGCAGCGATCGAGGTTGCATACCAATCACTAAAAAACTTTCTACTGTTAAAAAAAAAAATGAAATGAAAACTGGCCATATTTTATAAATTGCATGTTTATTAGAATAGAATGACAGGTGACGAAAGTTTATCTGATGTATAACTATGATTTTGCGGAGACAGAATATGGGGTAATTATATATCCATCTGTTGTCAACACACACGGATACATGTGCTTATGTGTGGCTTCCGGCGAATGTCAGTTATAGTTCATCCCTTATCATGCAGGCAATGATGGTAGAGGTCTATGAATTTTCGTTACGTATAATTATGATGAAAACCGTACTGCCATTTGTAGACCGTGGCACTTGACTGGAGTGAAATTTGAAGAACGCCAGCATGTAAAACTTCCCGATTCTCCAAGTGTTTTCGGCGAGTCATCGGCACACATCATAACAGCTAGCCTTTCCCTTTTACAGTCTACACGCCGTCGGATGCCTACCAGGAGAGCATTCTGAGGCCCTTCAGGTCCTTCAGCGATGTGGCCATCTTTCACTTCACCGTCCCCGCCCAGACGTCACGAGCCGCCTGGCAGTTTGTGGCCTTCATGGATGACAAAAACTGCCCGGCAGAACCGGTCCAGATGTTAGTGTCATTTCTTTCTCCCGATGATAAGCATTACATGTAGTGCGCTGGCAGGATGAGAACGATGGAGTGTCTTCTTTAGATGCCCAGCCCCCAGCACGTACTTACACTGTCCTCCGCCTGGCTGCGTGTGCACGCTCGAAACTCACGAGACGCTGCAGTGTTCTCATGGTAAGGGCTCTCGCTGGGTGCGGGACTACCAAAAAATTGCCCTGCCATTTCAATCCTGTCAGTGACAGCAGCGGTATTAATTCTTAACACGCTACTATAGCTCTCGTAAGAAGCATTTGGTCAGTTAAGTCAAGCCTTTGAAGGCAGGACCGGAAGCTTCATATAGAACTATATGCAAGAGCAGAACGTTCTGTTTAGTGTTGATTGTGGGAGCGGCAAGGTAGCAGAATAGAGAAACAGACCTTTTATATACTTTGGTGTTGCTGTGCGAAGATGGTCATCAAACCCTTCTGCAATACCATACTGCAGCCACAAATAAAGGGGAAAAAAAAGAGTGTTTGAGTAATGAACACTGGCCTGGAAAATTGTAGAGGAAAGTATGGTTTGAGGTAAAGTCCAAATCTGGATTGACGCCATCGTCCCTCATGCTGCCTGGTTTCGATGGCTTGTGGATCAGCGAACAGATGACCGAATTTCAGCTCGGTTACGTGTGCCAAGTGTGGCAACGACGAAAGATGGCATGCTTTGACGTTACGTCGCAGATACTTGCGGCACGGCAGCTACCCCGTCATCGCCCTGGACAACAGCTCCTTCCCGTCGCACGTCCATCTTCCGGATCCCTCGGTGTATCGCCTCCGCACGGAGTCGAGGTTCCAGCCGACCGAGATGCCAGAGTTCCACGTCATGAACCCGCTCCCAGGAAGCTGGTTCGTCGTTGCGTTCCTCCGCGACAGCAGCCGGAAGATAAAGCAGCAGGTGAGGGGTGCGCTTTTGCACTCGTCGAGTGTTTAGACGCTTTTGCATACATTAACGCCGGCTAGGTGTCCCAACATGGTTAAAAATTGCGCACAAAGAGACGAGGACAAACGAGGAAGGAACACAGAACACAGACAGGCGCGCCTTCCTCGTTTCTCCTCGTCTCTTTGTGCGCGATTTTTAACCATGTTCAACGTTTACCAACTCGCCCAGCTTACTACTCTTCTATAGGTGTCCCAAGCTGCTACCCAATTTCGAGGGTTTGGAATTCGTCCATCCATCCATCCATGTTTTGCGTGTCTTTAAGAACGGTTACAAGCAAGTAATTCTTGGCATTCGTGAAGTGTCGTATTTGACGGGGCTGGGCGAAATTGTATCTTCGATACCGATGCCCAGTATATCTCCTCGAAAACTGTGTCTTGGATACAGATATAAGATACATGATGTCAAATGAATTTCCTGTACCGATACCCCAATGTTGTATCTTATAGATGCTTTGATACATCGCTGCAATCATCACAAATATTTCAGAAAAAAAAAAAAAATGGTTTCATGATTGTCTAGGGAGGTATTAGAGTATTATACCGAAAATTAAAATGCTGAATTATTGAAAAGCAGAAGACCACAATGCAAAAATTAAAATGCTAAAAATTCAGAATGCTGAAGAAAAAAAAACATAGGTTGAATGATTCGACAATATGTATATTTTCAATATTGACCAGCACAGGTCTCAAAGCTGAAAGGTGCTAAGTTCCTTATGTTTAGCACATAAGCAGCCTATTTTAATTTCAGTAGAACACCTAACTGTAGCAAAGTTTGTTTTAGAAAAACTTTGCTTGTACCATTACCTTAATGTACTGAGCTTGCGCCTGCATCCCAATAGGCGCCGATCCTCCACTCTTGGAACATTTGAAATATAGGCAAAGGACATATCAAGCATCCACCCCAGCAATCTTTTGGGCCCACCAAGCTACTACTGTAAAACACCTGGCAAGCGCCCACTCAAAATTTGGAGATAATCGGGAAAAAATGGGGGATGGGCGCTTGTCCGGTCATGAATATTACACATAAATGTACTCTTCATATCTTCTCAGATCTTCCAAATTTAGAAATGGGCGCTTAGTGTGGAATGGGTGGATGTGCGGTATTCTATGGTAACCAGGGCAAAGCGGGGAAGCTCTGCGCGCATGCGCCGGTGCGAAGTGGGAAAGCTTGACACTGTAGCATTAGAGAAGCAGACTTGACGGGAGCGGCGCGACTGCTTTAAAAATGAAGGGTTCCATTGGATAAAATGAGGGCCTATCTCACAATGCGCCTCATTCTGCTTTTCTGTTCTCGGACCTAACTATGCGCCCCGTTTATTTTTGTGATTATCTTCAACTTCCGTGTGGGCGATTGCTTATTTTAACGGTATACATTAGGCTTCAACCTGGAGCCACTAAATAAGCTACGCTTCAGAGTAACGACACCTACCCATCTTGGGGCCTAAAATCATGGTGGCCAGCTGTCTTAAGCTGTATCTGAAATAACAGAAAATGCTTTTCCATCTTCCAGAAATGTTAAAACAGTTCCCGGACAGAGCGAAACAATATCACCTGAGCTTCCTAACACCGCACCTAAAGCTGAGGAAGTCCCATTTTTGAATTGTGACGATTGACAGTTGCGTCTGCTCTGCACTAAGCACCAAGATGGCGGCGCCCACCAGGACGTCGGGAATGGAGTGCCAATACTCTAAGCGCAGCTCATTTAGTGGCTCTACTGCAACCTTGTTTCATGTATCAGTCTTTACTATAAAGAGAGTCTTTATTGTCAGCTCATAAGCTATATTTGTGGTATTGACGTGCATATAAAATAAATGCAGTTGTTGCCATTTATTTTTTTTTCTTCTTCTTGGCTCTGTATCTTATCTGTACCATAATTAAGACCGGCTACACGTTGTGCATGTGTGTGTGTCAATTGTATATAATTGCTGAGCACAAACGTCTATTTTTACAATCGTCCATTGGTCTTTTCAACAGGGCATCCACCGGGCCTGTCAATACAGTCTAGGCAGCATGGCAGCATGGACGCACAAACCCGACGTGGTCCTGTTGACAGCTGGTTCGTTCGTCAATGTCACAACGCCCTCGCAGCTGTCTACGTTCAAGTGAGGAAGCTACAATGATTTGTGGTCCCAAAGCCAGGCACTTGCCCAGCCCAAGATTGCATTAATATCAATTAAAATATGGGCTTACTTTATGTAGGTGCCTCTACCTAGTTGGTATCTTCGTAAATTCTGAGGATATGGGGAAGCTGCAGAATGCAAGTGTGCATGCATATGAGTGAATCTCTCAGTATTTTGTGATATGAATTCACGTGATTATGTCAAACCTTGATATAATCTGGCACAGTGCAACCTCCATTGCTGCTGTGCAGATGCATGAAAATCTCTATTGTGACATCTTTAATTTAAAGAATCATTTCAATGTAAAGGGTAGTTTATAGTTTTAGTTCTTATTTCCCTTGGGAACTCAGATTTATCTTTTTAGACTGCAATTGAAGAGCGATGAAATTCGATGAGAAACAAACGGGGATGTGGCGCGAATAGTGAATTTTTAGTTCATAGCTAATTTGAAGCGAGTGCTAGTAGTTTTGGCCGAATATTTTTGAATGGAATATTGAATGGTTCCTTCAAGCCTTTTACTATTGTTGCATCGTGCCTTAAAGAAAACTTACCTCAACTCGTGACAATTGTTTCCAGGCTTATACTTGTCCATTTCTAAGCTAATTTTGTTCTAACTATAATTATGGACTGTGGCCTCAGAAAGTTTAATACCTGCATTAGGATCGCAAGTAAACAACGCATTTGGCAATACCCAGCTGTACTTGATCGAGGGGATTTATAAATCTTGCTATATGCAAATATGCTTTCTTCAATCCGAATGAATGCAGGTTGTCGGGGCATCCCTACCTAAAATATACTCTCGCATAATGGGCACAGTTTAATATTGAACATTTTACTGCAATGTGGATATCAACATTCAGAAAGATTTTGTTTCTTTTTCAAGACACCGGACACATGCTTGCACCATCCTGCTTTGGATGTGTGCTTTTTTCCTAACCATGCGACTGCAATATTTACCTCTCAAACGGTTGACTGTGGCAGGTTAGCCCCTTTGGGCACGCTTCTTACCGAGCCCCGGTGCTCGGCGGAGAAGCATTACGGCACCTGAGAAAGCTTCGCGGGTGTCGCTTCTCCGCAGTGCACCGGTGCTCGGAAAGAAGCTCGCTCCTCAGGGCTAACCCGCCACCATCAACAATTAAAAAAATATGAGTATCGCAGCTTTTGTTTCGAAGTGAATATCAAATAGCACATTATTCGAAACTACTATTAGAAAATTCTAATATTTGCACTATCATAGAAACAAAGATTCAAGACCAGCTCTGTTTTTTGCTCTTGGTGCACATTAGGACTACCAATGTTTTCGGGCCATTCATGCAAAAGCAGGAATCCCAAATGTGCAACTCAGTCGGGTGCCCGTACTGCGTACGGTTTGCAAGCCGCAAAACAAGTGCAACAAAAGAAAAGAGAAAGCACCGGTTTCATTCCTTGTCGTTGCAGGGTCTATGTCCCAGATGGCACCTGGCAAATCGAGGTCAAGGTTGTGTCATGCGTCGCACTGTCTCCAAACTCGACGTCGCCGGTGGCCGCCCCTTCGGTCCAGCCGTGCGTCCGGAAGTTTGGGCTCCGTCCCAGCGCGCTTCCCTTCTTCGAAGACACAAACCTTACAAGCGCCGAGTTCTCCAAGATCGTGCCTCAGCCTGAGATGGAGGTGTACTACTACCTCACGGTGGCATCCGACTCTCACGTCGGTTACTCCCTCGTCGTAGACGTGAGAGGTACGAAAAGTCAAGAAAAAAATGTCGGATTTGAGAATTTAATTAAAGGGCTGACATGGGCGAGTTGGTTCGTGACTGACAGTAGCAAAATGGCACAGAAATACACGAAGACAAGCGAAAGGAGTACTCAGGATGAGCTCTGACCGTTAAGTGAAAATTTACGCGGACAGCAAGTTGTCTGCTTCTTGCGCAGGGGTTGCACCAGTGAAGTCAGATTGACACCGAGCTCTGACTGTTTTTGATCGAAAGGATAGTGGGTAGACCTCCATGCTAGATGCGTCGAGGTCTACCCACTATGTCTTTAAGTCAGCCAATAAGAGCTCGGCGTTTTGACATCATCGCAACCCCTGTGCAAGAGGCAGACGAACTTGCGCTCCGCATTGAAAAACGAAGCCCAGCAACAACGACCACCGCAAAAGAACGCACAGAAATAGAAGTAAAAGCAACAAACAAAAGAGACTGCAGACCACGTGAATTTTGATTCAACGAGACATCTGTATATATCTACACAAAAATGCGATGGAGCCTCTTAGTACTTGTTGAATCAGGATTCGTGTGGTCTGTGGTCTCTTTTATTTTTGTTGCTTTTTGCCCTTTTGTGTGTGTGCGCTTTTTCTCAATGCTTTTTGCTGCTGGGCTTAGTTCTCCCATAAACTTCACTTGTAAGTCAGAATTCATATTTTGTACTCCTTTTGGTTGTCTTCATGTTTTTGTGCATTATTTTGTTATGGTCAGCTTTGAGAGACTGGCTTGTCTGATATCTAAATATATACCTGATTACCTTTCTGTCATATGCTGGAAAAGAGAACAGTGTTTTTTCACCGCAGAAATACCTAAACTCTCCGTCGCCGAAAGCTCAGTGTGTGCCCATATGTAGCGCTGCGGTTGGGACCAGGTACCAAAGTTCCAGAACTTACCTTTACCTGATTCAAAAAATGTTAGCTGTTTTCAAAAATTGTTAATGAGATCTCATTCTTGCTACAGTATAGACCGCATATAACGTATGTCGCGGGAGTCGCGAAAATCCGCACTATAAGCGCTACCGCGCTATAACCAAAACATAAATTTTTCAGGCCAAAATACATGCCATCAGACAACTTACCTTCGTAAAAGAATTTATTTTATATTAGATGAAAAATAAAGCTTAGTTTGAGGAAAGTCTTTATTTCACTAGACTAGTACACTTATCTCTCAAGTGCGTCACACATTTTGAAAGAAATGAGCGACTTTTGCCTGGCGCAAACGGCGTCGCGGGTTGCGAACGGACGTTGCGAGCGTTCAGGATTGCTAACCCTAATCACTTTTCTTCGGTGATGAAAACGCGTGAAAATTCGCATCCTTTATGCGGTACGCGCCAGTAATACCTTCAACTTGAGCACAGGCATCAAATGCTCCAAATAAGAAATCCGGGCGATGTTCGAAAACACAAATGCTTAGAAAGCACCACTGTAGTCGAAGTAAACAAACACGACGACACGGGCGTTTCTGCCGTCTTGAGAGTGCCGCCACAACATCGCCGCACGAATAGGTGGATCTTCCCTTCTAGTACGTGCTGGGTTATCATAGCGACACACAACGAAAATTCACAGTCAAGGATAGCGCTTTTACGCGGAACGATGAGCTTCCACCACGCCGTCTACGTCGACGATCACAACCGACGCCATGTTTGTGGATAGAAGCAGCCGGCCCCTGACCGGCATGCAACGCGCGCGAACACTTCTCCTTAACCTGCGATTGGTCTGTCGTTGCAGTTGTTTCCAACGCAGCGGAGGGACGCACGCACGTGAACAACACGTGCGTGCGTCCCTCCGTCGCTATGGCAACTGAAGCCTCTCTCTTCGCTTCTCCCTGCTTCTTCGAGCAACCTCCTTGCCCAGTGAGTGCCGCTTGCGGCTCGCGCTGTTATCTGGTGTAGCACAGGGAAGCGTGCTCGCTGCGCTGGTCAGTCGGCGCGGTCGGCGGGCTGTTTCAAAAACCGCTCTATAAGCGGTATTTCCCTTCGCGCGCCTGCATTTTAAGCGGTATGTAATTACATGGAGTTCTATGGGAGGCGAACCGGTGGTTTAAAAAAGCCGCGTTATACTTGGTCCTGCACTATAAGCAGTTACGTTGTAAGTGGTTTATACTGTAGAACATGCCATTCTTTTCCATGTATTCGCCGGTTCGATTGGTGGCCATTGTTTCCACACAAAATTTCCAGCTTATCACTTTTGGATTGGTTAACGGCTAAGTTATAAAACTTTAACGTGTGGTCCCAACCACTAATGCTACATTTCAGCAAAAACTGAGCATTAATTGGATCATTATGAATGTAGTCCTGTTAGCATTTCTGATATTTTAATGATGGGTGGCACTAGTTGGTCGAACAACAATTTAACAAGCACCGACTTTTTTTCGAAAGACACTTTAGCGAATGATTTACGGGTGAGCCAGGTTCATACTATATAAGCGTGGTCCGTACCATATAAGCGAATGATATTTTAACAAACGGCGGTCATTTGAACGAATCAACATTTTAGCGAATGACAGGGACAGGTTAACGCTGCGTTCGCGGAGGCAGTCTGTGGCGGCTCATTATGAAAATTATTTTTTTTAATCAGCCGCCGGAGACTGCTGCCACGAAGCGGTGGGAACAGAGTGGGGGGGGGGGGTTAACGCGCACCCCCGTCATTCACTAAGATGTCGATTCACTCAAATGACTGCTCGTCGCTAAAACGTCATTTGCTCATATGATATGGACCCTTTAACAAGATGCAACAATTAACTTGTGGCATAATCAAATTGGATGAGTCTCTCATAATTCGGGTTCCACTGAAGATATAATTACGTAATATCTAACTGCACACCTAGAAACTGCATGAAACGTGACATCTCGGTCTACGGTATAGTAAATATGCTTTAATAAATAGGAATGAAATGTCCCAAGGACCCTTGCCTAACCGTAAATACCGACGCAATACAATATTACGCATCGAGAATCATTTCCTGAAATCTTTCGGAAACCGTGTGCGCAGACTGCCCAACGCTGTGGCACCTTCCGACGCGCAAATCGCCGAGGCGCCCTCGTCACCTCGATGTCGGTCCTGGCTTCAACGAGTCGGACACCACAAACGAAACGTTGGCCAACCAGACCGCCAACACGCTCTCGGCAGTCAGCCAACTGCACGAGGTCCACGAGCAGACGACGGGGACGGGGGGCTCTATTGGCTCGGTCTCGCCATCCTCCGAGTTCCAGACGCACACGGCGCACTTCGTCAAGGAGATTCTCGGAGAGGAGAGCATCCTCGCTGCAATGCAGGGCTGCCTGCCGATGATCCCGCTCACGCGCATCAAGCACGCCCAGGATTTTCTCGACTCCTTTCTTGTCCAGGTAGGAAAATGTGTGTGACGCATTGTCCTGCGTATGGTCCCGAGAAAATCGTGCAAAAAAAAAATGTATGCCCAAAGTACCAGGACGAAGCTTTGAGGACGAGTTTATTCGTGTAGGCAAACAGACTTCTCTGCAATGCAGCTCTGCACGCTAAGAAAGCATGCCTTCAGAGCTTTGGCTCGGTCTCGGGAACATGCTGGCATTCATTGGACATGACTCAGTACTGCTGTCTCGCTGATTATTGTGCAATCTCTCGATTAGTACAGTTTGTTCTGCTAAATGAAGAATACTGTGACAAGAAGGAAAAAGAAAAGAAGCTTCTTTTTGTTTTCTTGCTTATAAATGCAACTACAGTTTTCATTTGAGCATTGCAGACACCGACATCAAAAACGGTCTATCATCTTTGGTTCTACTTGGAGTATGTAAAAGGTTTGTAGGGGCTTCTTGAGCACCCCTTAGTAAAACATGTTTTTCATTGAGGCATGAATTATGGACACCTAAACTAGGTGCTGATGTGTGCCTCCCTCAAAGTCCCACCTTTTTCTCTAGCATGTGTACACTATTGGACACATGCAAAAGAAAAAAAACTTTTTTTTTTAAACAGGCTAGACGGAAAAAGAATATTATAAAACTAATTTACGATGAAGAAAGAAAACATTTGGAGCAATATTTACGGTGCAAAATGAATTTGTAGTTGGCGCCCGCGGGAGCCGCCGCTGGTCACGTGGTAGGCCTGTGCGCTGCCGTGCTGCGTCACCGCCGCCGCAAAGTCACGCCGCCGCCGCCGCACGCAGAGCGTTTTGCGACACCGCTTCAATGCGTCTCTCCACACCGCCTCCGCCGCACAAGTTCGTCTGCTTCGGGGCGCCGCCACCGTCGTCTGACCGGCGCACAGGTCTATCACATCTGCTTGCGCTTTTTCAGGAGTTTCCTTTGGGCTCTAAAAGTTACTTATTAATCTTAGTTTTTTTGTTATACTTCAAACAAAGATGAATAAGTTACTTTCTGAGGCCAAAGGAAGCTTCCGAAAGAGCGCAACCACCACGTGACAAATATGTACCAGTCACGTGATAAATAAGGGCCACTTTTCCGCGGCGCCCGCGGGCGGCAACTACAAATTCGTATAGCGCCGTAGATATCGCTCTTAAAATTTTTTTTCTTTGTTGTAAAATCGTTTTATGACATCCCTTTTTATCTAAGCTGTTTAAAAAAAATGTTTCCTTCCTTTGCATGTGTCCTTTGACAAAGCTTGCAAACCTATGAACTGTTTTGTTGCATAGATGTTGAGATATTTTGATTAGATTGATTAATTAATATATTTATTCATTTGTTCATTGAATAAGCGAATCAATCGATCAGTCATATAAAAAATTCTCAGAAACGTCAGAGCGAAGCATCGTTACCAAAGACAGCACAAATATTTCAGGGACCAGAGTGGTTTTCGTCCTGGCTGGGTCTGACTGACGTTTTCCCAGTCATGGTGCGGCTAAACTTGGAGCCTTTTGTGGACATCGGAGGGACATTGCAGACCAAAATTCATCTAGACAGCATGGTCAAGGTAAGGCTGACAAAGCATTTTTTGCTTGCCCGAAAAAGTTGTTTGTTTATCGCTGCTGTCAGTCCTGCAAAGGTTAACAGATGCGAGTCGACAATTCACAGAAGTACCCTTTGAGACACCCTTCTGAATGTTAATGTGGAAAAGGACTTTCGTCTGTGATGAAGGGATGACTGGAGATCTAGAGGTCATGATCGCGTCGGCAAGAAAACGTGAAAACCCAAGCTTGACAGGTGGAAGTGGAAATGAGTATTGACTCCATTGGTCAAGCGCAGAATCCAGAGTTTCTGCCGTTCTGCTATGCATCGATACAATAAGGAAAGGCACAAAAACTTACGCCCATAAATTCGATACCTCAATAATCTTACTTTAAAAGAGTAGCCCATTTAGTAATGTCTCTATACAGTCTAAGCTCGTTATAAAAGACCTTGATTTTGACCAAGATTTCAGTCTGTTGTAAAAGGAGTATGTTGTATGCAGATATGAAGTTGAGGCAATGGTATGTAGACGAAAACCAACCGAACTTCACAAATCGGTTTGTTATATCCAAATGTCTATTGTAATGAGCTTAGGCTGTACTAAATTTCACTTTAGGTGCGACCGTAGAAGCTGCAAGAGCACATATCCGGGCTTAACGCGCAACTGCCGAGCCCACACGCTCATGCAGTGCAACATGCTCGTGCTTTCAGCTTCGCTCGTACATAAAGTGAAACAAGCTATAGTGCAGCCCTTCCTTGTTATAGACATTTTTTAGTCAAAAGATTCGTTTCGCATCTTGCAGAACCTGACCGCCCAAGTCGTGGTGGTGAGCATATGCGTCCACCACCGGAGGCCGCCGCCGTACCTTTCCGGAACCATCCGCTGCCCGCCGGACCTCTCACTCACCATTGCGACCAACGACAGCTGGGTGGCCACCAAGTACTTCCCGTTTCCCGAGCCCGGCTCCTGGTTCCTGTCTTTCACCGTGGCCTGCTTCAATGCGTCGGGGTGGGTTGTCTTGCCATATCCACATTTTGGCTTCAGCGTTGATGCATGCGCACATGTCCTTGCAATTCTTTTTCGGCACAGATCTCAACCTGTGCCACTAGTCAGAGGTATGAGAGGTGCCATTCTTGTTACAGTGCAATAGTAGTTGCTGACAGCTAAAAGAACGAGTCGAGAGCATCCCATCATTGCTCCCAGTCAATAAGATTCCTGCCAATAAGAAGGCCAAAGAATTAATCATAAAGCAAAAAGCGTGCATGCCCGTATTTTTTAGGCTGCGGCTACAGTGGGGGCAAGATTTGTGTTGCCTCGCCTCTGAAACCCCCTCTTTGTGTGTGGCAGGCAAAAGGGTGCATGTGTCGCGGGTGGATAGGCTGTTGGCGCCTTTGGCAGCCTTCCATTCTGCTTTCGAGAATGCCAATACACGCCTGTAATATTTTCAGTCGTGGTTGGTGCTGGTAGCATATACTTTATACACTCAGCCACTACTGCTGCAGAACAGTGTTCTTATGCCCAACATGCATTCACATTAGATTCATGTCTTTGTGCATCACATCCTTAACAAAAACAATGAAGCATTAATTATGAACTAGCAACGTTCGTTGCGAAAACTCGACTAGCGGATGCATACACCCTCCTGTGCCTGTGGCGCCATTGCTGAAAAGATCGGCACAACTTCGGGGCCTGTGTCCTTTTTGGCACAACACAAGTGCCTGTTCCCGTCTTTTCAGGTCGGTGTCACCAGTGAGATGCGAGCTGGAGCAGACGATAGTGGACCTCCGCATCCGCCTGCAGCCCTGTGTCTTTGAGGGGTCTCCCTGTGGCCAGCATGGGTTCTGCCAAGAGAGCCACTTCAGGCAGTTCTACTTCAGCTCATGCCACTGTGTCGGAGGTAAACATCCCCTTCGTAGCTTCGGCGGATTGAAGGCCAACGCGCAGTCTATGCCTTTGCTCGCTCCTTCCAGTCCCTTTTCTCCTACCTTTGCTATGTACCCTCTTGAGAGAGGAGGAAAGTGCAAGAATGTTCTGCCTTGCAGAAGGTTAACATTTTATATTGGCCTTTGAGGTTCTTGCACACCTTCTGGTCTGTGGAGATGTGGAATGTCCAATCAACAGGAATTAGAAAGAAAGCTAGCCTATCAGTTAAATTTTTAGTTAAATTTTTTGTTATATGAACCAGTGTATTTTGTTACGACTGGAGACAGGTCAGCGAGTTAATGTGTTCTCCGAGTTGAATCAGTGGGACAAACTTATGTAAACAGTCTCCAAAGTGTTACAAATTCTGCTTGCTATAACTGTAGTTTGTAATGAGTGAATCATACCCAACGCTCAGGATTTGACGATTTCCCCTCTTTTTAATAACAACTGAGCACGTATGCACTGCACAACACGACATTGGCACTTTTTTGTGATTTATTTGCAAACAAAAGGTGTTTGGGGGGCATCAAATCTTATTGCTTAGGTCACTGCTTTAAATGACTAGGTACTTCCCACCCCACTAGTAGTTTTGATGACAGCCCATTGATTTCGAGAGAAAGGCAGAAAAAGCCGGCGATTGCTCGTTCATGCCGACAGCGTCGTGGGGTGTACTTATATTCGTTATTGAGCCATGCAAGTAAACTAGATGTGAATAACAGCACATAGCCACATCTAGGCACTAGTCTCGTATTGGGTCAACAGCCAACAATGTCGGAACCTTGGATGACTGAAAGTTCTGCTAACCACACCTCCCGTTTTGTGTGACCGCACTCAAAGGTTGGAGGGGCTGGGGCTGCACGGACAACTCAATGGCCACCCCAGCACCCCTGCTGCTGATGAAGACGCTGCTGCTCACGCTAAGCAACCTCTTCTTCCTGCCGGCCATTGTCCTCGCCACGAGGCGGCAGTTCTACACGGAGGCGGTCGTATACGGAGTCACCATGTTCTTCTCAATGGTAGGAGCGCCACCAAAAAAAACAAAGCAATAGATTTGACATTTGTGTTTGTACAGTGCATGGTCGGTACACCGTTCAGGTGTGGCAGTGCTGGTTGACGCCTTGAACGAGAAATTTAGCTAGTGCAGTGCGACCGCTAGGCGGGGGTCTACGACGTGCACCATGCAGTAGTGATGCACGCCGGCACGATGCTCATCCAGATCGAAACAGGCGAAGGTGGGGATTGAGCCCAGGACCCCCCTGTGTTCTGCAGCGCGAGCTTTCGCTCCACGTGCCCCGAGCTGCACGCATCGTGCTAACACATTTAGCCACCGATCCCCCTCAAAGTGCCACATCTTCTGTCTCACGGGCTTGGTTGCTCATTCACATGGTACACATCTGCAATTTGGCGACGAGGGGGTTTGATGCCGAAATAAGTCGACGGATGAAACTTTAAAGGATTGACAAGGTATTTATACTTGCCAATTTTTTCTTTTTTTTTACTCAAACTTAATTTGTAAGGGCCCAACTGCCCTAGAAAAAATATTTGTGGCTCGAAAACTGCCGCTCGAACACCAGCTGTTCGATCTGCGCTCTCGCACTTTTGCATGGCAAGGTCGGAATGAAGGAAATATTTTCGAAGCAGTAGGCCGTCTAAAGCACATGTTCATTACTAAAAGTAATATAATCCATGACACATAGTTTTTACGACTGTTTCACCACGACTCCCATACACCCTATGATTGTGGTTCTCAAATGGGGGTTCACAGACCCTCGGGGTCCCCGAAGGCCTTCTTTGGGTCCCTGAAACCCTCAACCAAGCAATAAAATATATATATATATATATATTTTAAATCGATGCTGATCGCTTTACTCGTGCACCTAGTGAATGGGGTTGATTAATCTAAGTTTCGAAGCTTCAGTGTTGGCATGCGTGCATTTAGTTTTCATTACCCTTTTGTCATCATAATCGTCTAGGACTCAAGATTATTCCCCTCCTCCCCGGTGGCTGGAGTCCCCCATCACTTTTACATGCCATACTGTCACATCAGTGCTTGCATCTACAGCTTGTTATTTAGAACTTTGTTTTGCACACACTGGCTTCTCCTAGGGGAAAACTGCACTTAAAATTTTCTTTTGCATATTGTTTGTTCTAAAGGTTTTGCATGACTGTGTATGTGTATATTTGTAAATGTTAGGGTGCATACAATGTGATTCACTATGGAGGCATTTAGCAGCTAGGATGATGGTGCGACCGCCATGGTTCATGATGTCGTGTGTCGGATGCCTCTCAGTATTGGCGTGCTCTATTTCACACAACGACGTGATTAATAAAATGTGCATATGCGGAACGAGCGTAGCATTCTCCAAACTAGAGCCACTACTAGGCTTCAGAGCAGGGATGGGCAAAATGCACGCAAATATGTATCGAAATACAAATACAAAATACTTCGTCAAAAATGTATTTAATTACAAATCTAATTACATTTACAAAAAAGCATTTAAGTACAAGATACAAATACAACCAAATGTATTTGGTCTCCTCCAAATACTTTTCCAGATACATTCCTCAAAATTTGCGTCAGCGACTTCATGGCACCTGCAACGGGTTTCTGGCTATCTCATTTAAATTTTGCATTGCACACTCGGGAGTTAGTGTGCGAGGCTCTAGTAATGTAATAGAAATAAAATAATAAAAAATGTAATCAGCTTGGACGTAATAGGTGAAAAAAGTACAGAGCTTCAAGCAGCTTTTTTTGTCGATTACATTTTGGTATAGACCAACAAAGAACTGAGACGACTAAGACGCGCAGCACTAGCTAGAGAATTTTTTTTATTGTTGCAGCTCACACCAGTTACGAAAGTCTGGACGACCCGTGCATTTAGAATGTGCCAGGCAAAAATATGGATGGAAATCAGGCTGGAAAGCATCACAAGTTGTCACAGGCACTTATTTAGCCAGTCTGCCTGTGAACGTCGATTTCGTCCTCTTGCCCTGGACTAGAACCGTAATCACAAAGTCACTAAACGCTTGTGCTTGATTGTGAGACACTACATTCGGTGCAGAACGTAGTTTTCTTCCTGCTCTGGACAGTGACAATAAGTTTGAGGGATGTATCTTTGCCCACAAAATTGTATTTAATTACAATTGTATTTGAAATACCCACATTTTAGTATTTAAAAACAGATGTCAAATACAATACCCAATTTGTAATTAAAAACAAATGCAAAATACACAAAGTATTTTAAATACGTATTTCAAATACTTTTATTTGAAATACTGCCCATCCCTGCTTCAGAGTAATGGCACTCAACCCCAGCCATCTTGTTGCTTAGAACCATGGCTGCCGGTTATCTGAAGCTTTATTTGGAATTTCAGGAACCTCTTTTTCGTCCTCTGGAAGTATTAAAATGGCCCGCAACAGAGCAGAACGATGTGACCGGAGCTCCTCGACGTCTTTTCTGAAGCTCGAGACGTGGCATTCTTGAGTCGGCACAACAATCTCAGATTGTGCTCGCTTTACACCAGGCAACAGAATGGCGGCACCCACGAGACTTTCGGAGAATAGAGTGTCGACGCTCAGAGCGTGGCTTGTTTAGCGGCTCTAGTTGTAAAAAATGCTACGGTGCCTGAAGTGCCGACGACCAATGGCCACACTAGCAACGGGGCTGGGGACATCGTCATACCAAGGTGGTGGGGGCGGGCTGGAGCGAATCTCCGACTGGCGTGTTCATCGCATCCTCAAAAGTGGTATCTCGATTTCCACCCCACAACGTCGTAGGTGTCACGCTGTTGCCTGCCAAGGCCCTGGTAGTGACGCAGTGGCGGAGATGGTTGCGGCAAATGCCCAGTCTGCCGCGGGTTGCCGTCCAGCTCGACAGTCTGCGGAAGCTTCGTCAGCCAGGAGTTGGAGCGCCATGACGACGGCGACACTCGCGTTCGCTCGTGCTTTTTGCTGGTACTTCTAGCACCAACCGCGGGGATCACGACATGGACTGCATGACGCAGAGCCTAGATTCTAGCATGACGCTTCAGCTCTTGCGACGTCATTTGTTGCCGCTTTAGTACCACTTTGGATGCATGAGCGGAATGCGGAGCGCAAGTTTGTCTGCTTCTTTTGGAGGGGTTGTGGTGATGTCAGAATGCCGATCTCTGATTGGCTCTGACTGGAGGATAGTGGGTAGACCTCAAAGCAAGCTGCCTCGAGGTCTGCCCACTATCCTTCAATCAGAGCCATTCGGAGCTCGGCATTCCGTCACCACAACCCCCGTAAAAAGAAGCAGACGAACTTGCCCTCCGCATAGGACGCCATACACATTAGTCAAAGACCGGGCATCGTAGCGAGAGGCGCAGTCCTGAATCTGCTGTTCTCGTAGTGTCGAACCCTTGTTCAAGTTCGTCCCGTCCTTGTGCCCCACCTCGCAGTTCTACCACGCGTGCGACGTGGACATGTTTGGCTTCTGCCTGCTGCGCTACGAGGTGCTGCAGTTCTGCGACTTCTTCTCGGCCGTGCTGTCCTTCTGGGTGACCCTGGTGGCCATGGCGCACGTGCCGCAGAGCCTCGCCTCCATCGCCCACGTCCTGGGGGCGCTGGGGGTGGCTCTCGGGGTGCAGTGTCAGCGCACCAGCCTGTGGGTCTTCGTCGCGCCCGCGGTCCTAGGCAGCATCCTCCTAGCCGCCTCCTGGGTGAGTTCCCCGCCACTTTTTTACCGAGGAAACATTCTACGTTAAATCCCATCTGTATAGGAGCGTTTGCTTACGTTCGCTACGAGTGGGATTGCGTGTTCTTGGTAAATACGGATAAATTGCGAAAATGAACCCCCAAGCTGGTTTTGTAAGAATAAAAAAAAAAAAAAAAACCTAGCTTCCCGAGAAGAAAAAAACAGAGAACCTTTATCTACAGTTTTGTTTTGTTTTGAAAGGGAACACGGCTCACACTGAACTGTCCGTGGGGCAGCTGCTTTCTTCGGAACCACTGCCGTTTTCTCATGTCCTCTTATCAATACCAGGACGTCTTCTAAGTATTTGGGCCACGCGTGTGTTTCCTGGAGGTTCACGGATTCCATGCCTGTGTCCTACCTTCTTGAACACGAGTCCCTATGAACGCGGATTTTTGGCCTGACATTAACAATTGCCACTGAAAAACACCGAATCCGTGGGAAAAAATCAACCCCCGAAAAAGCAGCCCCGAATTTGAAAGAAAATAAACCCCAAAAATATGGAGTCCTAGATATAAGCCACCAAAACATCTGCGACTTGAATGTCAAGTGCAAGGATACTCCTTGAACTGGTTGCCACACTTCGCATGAAGCATGGACGTTCCGGCGACTCTCGACGTAAGCAGAGGTATGCTCCTGCAACCTAACGCAACGTAAGAGAATGGTGCAGTGTGAAACAACCTTAAGGAACTGTGTTGTGCATATGTTTAGACGACGTGAAGTTATTCGGCCCCATGGGCGTCTGGTGTCTGCGCTGTAGAAAAGAAATCGAGCCAGTGCAGTACCACCACTTTCCTGTTTTTTTTTTATTGTGCATCACGGATTAGTAATACGCGACTGCGCACGGATAGGGACTGGACGCAATACGACAAGCAAGTTTGTCTACTCCTTGTGCTGCGGGTAAACGGTGATGTCAAAGCACCAAGCGGCAATTTGAGGATCCGGTTAGTATACAAATGCAGCGGCGTCCGCTAGTTGTGGCAATGGCTGCCTCACCTTTTCTGCAGCTGTCGGATACCACTCGTTTCTTACGAACGAGGATTCTACCTCTTCTGCAAGCGTAAAAACTCCCACAAACGTTTACTGTTCGACAAATTCCTTGCAAACTCAAGTCAAATGGAGAGTTAAATGTTTAAAAGAATATGAAAATGAAGCGTACAGTAGACTCTCATTAATTCAAACTCCAGGAAGTCACAGATTTTAGTTTGAATTATTAGAAATTCATCTAAATATAATACTAGACAACATTATGATTTGTTACATGGATAGCTACATACACAAAGCAGATTTTTGCCAGTTTCCTCTACATAGGCATAATTATAAGCAAGTACAGGCATAACACATTTGTGAAACAACTGAACTTTGTCTTTGTGGACGTCCAGAACACCAGGTGTGGACTACAGTCCGTAAAACGCATTTAGTGTACGTCGGGCATTGCGAGGATACGGGAATAAAGTAGACTCATTAATTCGAACTCCAAGAAGCCACGAATTTCGTTTAAATAATCGCAAGTTGGAATTATCAGAAATTTATCTAAATATGATGCAAGATAAAATTATGATATCTCATATGAATGACTACACACACAAAGCAGATATTTAGTGATTTCCTCCCATAGGCCTACTGATCATAAGCAGGTATGCCATACATAAAACGTTGGTGAAGTGTATGACATAAGTTTATAATTATCCCTTAAAAATGTTGTTTCTCGTGGACTGTTTAGACAGCAGATCACAACTCAAAACAAAATTAACTTTGTTCAACAGTCCGAGAGGTTGTCTAACGTGGACTATTAAGCAGGGAACACATAAGCAATGAAAACTGGCACCGCGCGGCAGTTTTCATAGCAATTCGCGCGGACGCTGTGACGTGGACCTATGCCACGCCGAAACGTCACAGCGTCCGCGCAAGTCACTTTGAAAATGTTTGCGTGGTGCCTATTTTCGGAGCTCATGTGTGCCCGCTTGAGCCCCGTTGAGTGCGCTTCTCACTGAGCACCGGTGCACCGCGGAGAAGCGACACCCGCGGAAGCACGCTACTCGGGTGTTGCTTCTCTGCAGCGCACCGGTGCTGGGAAAGAAGCGCACTCAACGGGGCCGCGAGAACAAAAAGTATGAATTAAGCGAAAACGCCGTTCGAATTAAGCGGCTTATAAATACGTTAAAAACATAGCGGGACAACCACAATTTTCAAATCTGTTTGAATTAACCGGAAGTACGAAATACCCGAGTTTGAATTATTGCGAGCCTACTGTAACTGAAATGGAGGATACTCAAAACCAAATTATATGCAAAATGAGCCCGCATCATCCATGTGGGGTTTCAAGCGTTGGTAACAATGGAAAAAAACCCAGCAAACTGCATCAGAAAACGAAGGACAAGGTGAAGTACACATGCGAATTGTTTTAGCGGGGAAATTGACGTCACGCGATACGATTTCGTGACGTCACGGCTTCGTGACGTTGCATGATGTCACAAAGTCGTGTCACGTGACGTCAATTTCTCCGTCACACGTGTCTAGTTTCCTCCGGCTCCTCGGGGCAGCGATAGTCCTCGACACGCGTTTGCATACTGATCGTCACGATGACCACCGATCAAGACAATGAATGTGTCCGTACCTTTGATCAAAATTCTGTCACGTCTGTGTCGCGTGCTTAACAGCTTCGCTGGTCCACCTTCACAAAGTGGAATGGCTCATCATTATTTTTTTTTAAATGTAATTTGTTTACAATATATTGGCCTATTGGTCGTTTTTTATTGAATTTCTGAAGTGTACTGACACCCCCGCTCACAATCCAAAGAAATGGCCGAGGAGCCCAAATTCCCGTCGATTTCGTTGCACAAAGTGGGCAGTTAAACCTGCTGCAACAGACCCTTTTGCCCGTGCATCATTCCATTGTACTTCGGCGACAGCACTACAGAGCAGAGCAATCGCGTTCGACACACGACGACGAGGTGCAAGTTTTGTCCACCGACGCACCATTGATGACGATCGTCGTCACGCTCCCGCAGGGTTATCGGTGCCACCACTCTCGATCGTGCCACCCGAAAGCTCACGACTGGCTGACCAGCCTACTCCCTGGGGTCGTCCTGGCCACGATTGGCCTGGCCCTGTTTGCCTTCGTCGAGACGGAGGACAACTACAAGTACATGCACAGTGCGTGGCACATTGCGATCTCCCTCTCGATCAGCTTCCTCTTGCCCAAGCACAACGCCGGCAAAGCGGTACAGTGCACCAACGGCCACCCGGCAACCGGCGTGGGAACGACCCAGCCGGTGTACGGCCAGGTACAGCCGGTGTTGAACAACGACTCCGAACTGGTGGACATCGCCGACTACCGGCTCGACTCCGACCTGACGTCGCTCATCCGGGGCCTGCGGACCTGATCGGCTGAGCAAGCGGGCTAGGTCGTTCCCCTCCGCCGTCCGACGCACCCCGGCTCCGATTGGTCGTCAAGACCCAATCTCTGAAGCGAGGCTTTGAAGCGCTTCACGGTCCCTCGGGCATTCCTAACGATTCTCGTTGCAGTTGGTTCGGGGCACACGCGGGAGCATTTGTCGTCGGAGCAGTTTTTTTGGGTACCTTTGTGCAGTGAAGCGCGGAGATGATGGCAGGGCTCGACGATCGTGGGGGTACACCGAAAGCACTGTAGATACTTTTCTTTTTTATTCTTTAGTTTTGTTTGAAATGCATCGTGGCATTTGAAAGAATCGTAAGGGCGCTCCAGCAAGAAGGTATTGCAGTCCGAGAAAACGAAAGACTGCCATAAATACTTAAGTGCAGGTGAGCTGGTTGGTGTATACTGAGCACGATGGTAAACCTTAAGACTAGGAAGCAAAAAAGAAAAAAGTACAAGGAAAAAAAAGGGGGGGGGGGGGGACTGGAAAAGGGGGGGGGGGGGGCATCTCAAACTTAGCTACTACGAGGTGTATTTCGCTCTTGCCTTATGTAGCTTCTTTTAAATTTGTTCATTGCCAGAGGGAAAGGTAGACCTTCCTCTTTATAACTAAAACAAAACAACAACACTCATCAGTATAAAAAAAACAATGCAGATACATAAAAAAAGGTACACTATTGTCTCACCTCCTCGTATCTCTACACTTTTCAGAACCGAGGCAGAGCCTCAAGGCTTACCGTCATGTTTAAAAACACAAAGTTGTTCTAGCACGCAAACAATATTGTAGCGAGTTGCTTTTTTTTTTTTTTTTTTTTTTTTTTTTTTTTTTTTTTTCTTTTTTTCTGAAGCTGATTTTGGAGTTTGAAAAGATACCCTACCGAGGTTTTATGTCGGGCATTTCCCGAGAAAGTATTCAGAAACTGTTCAGAGTCCCTCTAAGTTGAACGAACCAGCGGTATCAAAGCGGGCCGTCTTTAAAGCATTTGACATCGAACAATGCAAGGTGTGTCGTTCGTGCATATTTAGGGTGACCAGACGTCCCGTTTTGGCCGGGACAGTCCCGTTTTTGAGGTCCGTTTTGGCCGTCCCGTCTTTTTGTCCCAATAAGGAATCATGTCCCGTTTTCGCAGGAGTGCATAATTTCGAAATTGGCACAAAGCGAGTTGAAGCAAGCGGAAACTATGCCAACATGTTACAAGTATATTTTACAAAAAAAAAAAAAAAAAAATGTGGGTACTTTAAAATATTTACCCAGTAAAATTGAGAGAACTGTTCTTGCCCACAAACACGTTTTTTTGTCAAGACTCGTGAATAGAAATATTTTTTTAGTTAACGTTCTACATGTGTTGTTACGTACGTACATACGTACGTTAACACTTTGAAATAGCAGTTCTTGCATTAAATTTTTTCTCCCAATCTCAATCTCTAGTATGCACCCCCTCCCCTCCCCTCCCCTCCCCTCCCCTCCCCTCCCCTCCCCTCCCCTCCCCCTCCCCCCCCCCCCCCCCTCTCTCCGGGCTGGGATGTCCCGTTTTCTCCCTTGAGGAATATGGTCACCCTATGCATATTGACCATAGAATGCGGTATAGCGGGAAAACATTTCCAACTTATTTATATCTCAATTTTAATTTGTTCTTGCCGACACACTGCTCATGTTCAGTGTCTAGCATTTATACAGCTAAGAGCATTTATTTTTCCCGGCACAGCCAGGATTTGCACTATTTGTTTGACGTAGCAGCTAGTCTGTGAATACTCAGTTGCAGTGAAAGTATGGGCAAGCTCTCTGTTCAGTATTTACCGTGTGTTGAGGCCAACGTAGCCGCGAGCCAACGTCTCTCAAATGTATGCTTTAATCCGATCAGGTTGTATTTTTTGGTCGCAAAGCAAATGACGGGTATCTTCAGTGTACATTGTGCATCGTGGTGGAAAAAGAATGGCTACGCGGCACCTGCAATTCCATTGCCCCAATGGAGCGAAGCGACACCAGCAATCGGATTTCTGTGGTGCACAGTTCTTCGTACAAAAGTGTTTGTATGTTGTTGAAGAGTACCAAATGGTCGGCGAGGTTGTTTGCGCACTTATTACGTGCATGCGTTGCACTGTTTGTTCGCTAATGTGCAGTGTACCTTTTACACCAATGCGCACGAATGTTGTTGAAATTGTGTGTGTGTGTGTCCGAGCGTACGTATAGACGACTGGTTCGAAGCTTTTGCTACAAGCTAGTCACACGGTACAAATGGCTTTGTGGATCGGTTTGATTGTTGTACAAGTCACTAGTGAGTGTCTCGGAGACATCACCAGCTTTACGCATACTGCTAGTCTTTTTGAAGCATGTGTCCCTTATACGTAGGCATGTGCTGCATTTCTGAACTAAGTGCAGTTTGGATAGCGCATATGTATTCGTGCAGCAGCTACTAGTCAGCTTCTTAGCATTGCTTGTAAATCTCATCTTCAATGTTGTCCATCATCTTATTTTCATAGTAATTCTTTTTGTTTTTACTATTTACAGGTGCTCTTAATTTTTTTCTTATTTGTTAAGGCAGCTTATGGTCGCATTTGGCCAGCATCTAGAAGTTGTGTGCAATGTACACCATGATTAATTTAAAGGTATGTTCGATCGAGTGGACTGTAAAATTTGAATCCTTGCCACCGCATTATACTGTAATTTGAGGTGCAGACTTTTGGTCACAGGTTCGATTTGCGAAATTTTAATGTCCTCCCGTCACCTAATTTAGCCTAATCACTCCATAGAGCAAAAGATAATGCAAATCACCCTGCGTCTACTTAGTGTTTTTGATCCTCGCCATGGCTCCATCTGTAAAGATGCAATGGTGCCCAACAACGGTTTAAGAATGTGCAGTGCACGTTTGTGGTCAATCGAAAGTCTTGTCCCATTCTCTACCAATAATGTTTTCAAAGGAGTGTGCAAGTTTCTGTTCACCACATGCCTGCCACTACCAAGTATTATCACGCATTGCCCGCTTTCGCAGCCTCATCACGGGAACCACTTCAGCCGAGACTTAATTTGTACAATTAGATCAAACGGGCAAGTTTTGTTGTGGCTCTTGGTTACAATTTTCGTACCGAGTCAATCAAAATGCTTGCCTTTGATGTCAGGCGCATTGTATAATTGCTTCAGCAGCTTCAGTTCGTTTAGGAAAAAGGTGCCCGAAGACCAGCTTTTACATTCACTCACATTTCTAGTGATTGTTTAAAACGTGCGGGGAACTGACGATGTGACATAACAAGACGGTTAAAATACTAATGTGCTTAGCAAAGTGGTTCTGCTGCTGCACTTGAAAGATAAACCTCATATCAGCAATACAAACGGAGGGCCTTGCCAGAAAGGATTTCTGGACCAAAGTTTTTTCATACTGTCACGTAGTAATCCTGCAACTTGTTTGCACGTTAGTCCTTAATGTTGAGAAGCCGTGTAGAGTGTCGTAAATCCTTCGTCATTCATTGTTTTATTTACAAGGAACAAAACATGTAGCCGAGGCATCGACCGATATCTCGCTCTCGGTTCCAAAACGTTTGCGCTGACCAATTTTTGTTGGCCATTATACAGGCGTGCTGTTTATTTATACAACATTAAAACTTGTTTTCTTCCGTGTACAATGTCCGTTACTTATAACCCAGTGAAAACATTCAGTGTATGCATTTGTGGAACTGAATGTGTAAAATGCGACCCCTTCAATTAAGTGGTCACGACACACCACCACAGTGCCTGCCTAACGCGGGAAACTTCAATACTCTAATGGACCACAGAATCAGATTACGCATCAATACCCTTTAAGAGCTCATGCCAAGACCTGCCTTGCCGATTCTCGCTAGCTAAATTGCATTTTAGCACACCTGCGACGTGGGCGCGATCAACCAAGACATTGGTGAGCCTCTACCTACTACCCGGTATTGCGTGGTACGACAAAGGCCGGTTTGCACATTATTCGTGGTGCTGAGATGACGGAAAGTCGGCGCTGCATCAGCACTACTCTCAGTGCCGATTCATTGCTCAGCTAGCGCCGCATTGTGCGTGCAGGAAAGGGCAGGGTCGCACGCAGCAGAGCACTGAGCAGGCCTTCAGTCGCACACGTATGTTTTTCTTCCGGGAACAGAAGACCACAATTCTGATAAGCGTGCAACTTTCGGATTGACCGTTCCGAGTTCACTCGGATTGTGGATTTAGGAAAAGGTAAGAATGTATTTACAGGTTATACATACAATTATGCAATCATGCTGACTATCTGATCTTCATGAGAATGTAGATGACAAAGAAAACAAAGAAAGAAAAGAGAATGAGATAAAAGATGTAGCGGTTGTGACCCGCCCGGGACATTCGGACGAGCCTTCCCATCGTGGACTTGAGGATGCCTTCGCCAGAGTCGAAGTCTGTGTTCATCTCGTTGAGCATCTTGTTCTGGTACTTGACTTCGTGCCCAATGTCTATGGAAATCTGTTGAGAAAGACGCTGGCATATTTATTCGGAATCCAAAGCACATATCATAAGCTGTGAGCAAACAGTGCTATGTATTCGAGAGAGGAATTCTGCTGTACAAACTAAAGTGGTACAAGCAAGTTGATTACTTGCTGCCTGGAAATTACAAGAAAGTGCACAACTGGTTATTGGGGAGGAGACCTAACCGTCGTGCCCTTAGCGGCTAAGTTGAGAACTAAATCGATGAGAACAACGACAACATAATTATTTTTTTGTGTTTCTGATGCAGCGGCCTGCTTACATAGCTGAACACTGTGTCAGCGTTGGGCTGGAGTTTGTGTCCAGCCTGTGAAGCACTAATTGATCAGAGTCGCAGCTGGATGCTGACGCAGCAGTTGCACTGAGCTCTGCGAAAAAAAAAGCTGGACAAAGCATTCACTGCAGTTCGATCTCCTCACCATTAGTGAGTAGGCCCTCGTCAGCAGAGGCCGGGTGCTGACGTTTCGTTAATTAGTAATGCAACGTTGGATTGTGAAGAAAATTTAATGTTTATTTAACTGGGTTAACTTCCAATTACATGAATAGGCTTTCATGTCCATTACGTGGCATGCACCCGGTTGTTCTGTCGACGAGACCATCCGAATCTGAATCGTGAATGTGCACTTTCCCACGGACCGTGAAGGGGGGTTGAAGTCTAAAATATTTATATATAGATATTTTTTCCTAGCATGCATAAAATGGCCTCTCATCTAGTCAAATTCACCCTAGACGTCTATGGTTTAGGTGCAGGGCACACTGTGTCTGATAAATCCAAACGCACATTAATTTTTTTTTTTTTTTTTTTTTTTTTTTTTAGAATTTGACAGGGTGTTAGCTTGGCGGCCACTCAGTATGCGCCAAGATCCATAAAAACTAACAGCCATACAGGTTTGCGGACAAATATCCAAACCACTTCGGCCAACAGGAGAGAAGATCGTTTGAACCTGAGGAGACGCTGACTTGTAAAGTCTAAAACCCGTGCCATCAGGTAAGCGACACCGCTCGCCAAAAAGAGGAAAACAGAAACGGGGGTCAGGAGAAGGAAGGCGCCCACGTACCGTCTTTAAAGACGAGATCTTAGATTTGAGGCCATCTATTAACTGCGTGTTTTCCTCCTCGACGACGTCCTTATAGCTGGATCCATCTGGAACGCAACCAATTAAAAATTTGTGAGCTAACTCTAACAGCTGACAAATGTTACGATCGTTCGATGACACCTCGTCCTCTCAGACTAGAATGAACTACACGGAGGTGTTCTTCGACAAAAAGAGACCACGAATTCAACGACACTCAAAGTGAATGTGCCTGCCGAAATCAAATGATTCCGAGACGCTTACGGCGAAAACCGATCGGACGTGAGATGCAATACTACGTGTCGTTTCCACGTGTCATACAGCGTGTCAGGATCGTTAAGTACGCTCCGTATTTAAACACTCACTTGCGTAAGGCTGTGCTCGTCGCATCTTCGAACATCCACGGCCGCTTTAGAGTGTCAGCAGTGTCAGCTTGGCAAGATCGGGAGATCGCGGACTTCACCCCTACGCTTGAAACGACAGCTTTGCTACTGCGAGAGCGAATCGAGCGAGCGCAAAAGCATCGTGCTCGGTTGCCCGAATATTGCTTACAACACGTGCAGTAGCCGGAGGTAATGGAAATTTTAAACGTGGCTTTCGTACTGCTCTGACGTCATAGATATCCAAACGTACGTTAAGCTACGGCTTTTTTTATCGTGAAAATCAAGCGTCCACGCCTTGAAGCGCTTCAGCGCCTCTTTCGGAAACGTGAAACGTAAATAGAGTTGTCATGACTTTTATACGCGGCAATAATTCGTATAAAAGGTTCAATTATATATAAAAGAAAATGACAATAAAATTATATACATTAAAACTTTAAATAATTGGAAGTAAACTTTGTAATGTTGTTGGCGGTTGATTTGATAACTGGTCTTGCCAGGTCTTGCAGTTCCGTTGACGTTTCTCGCCTGCGACCTTCGCGTTTCGCCTGCTTCAATGTTTCATTTCATTTCATTTATTTGGCTTAGGAGTCGGGAGAAGAGCAGAAAAGCCAGAGGCCCATACTAGTTGGTCTGCAAACAGATATTTGATAGCCGACTAACATCCGATAAACGTAGCAGCTTGGGCGAGTTGGTTGCACATGATAACACACACCACAGCGCACTATCGCAAATAACACTCACACCTTACACACGAAAAATAAAGCAAAATTCAAACAAACCGCGCTGACTGACAACTCTTTTTATATAACTTTGTCTTCTTCAACCTCTAGCACCACCGAATTTCCCAATTCACGCGCACCGATCTCCTAGATGCCTAAAAATGTTTTCTCTTTTTCTGTCAGGTGTAAAGATGGTGTACTTATACAGTTGTTGTAGTTCCTGGCGATATGTTCTGCTTCGATAATTTCTCGAGTTAATTGGTTTCTGTTCCTGCCTAAAATTGTACAGGATGGCAAGTGAACGTCGCACCCACAATCCCGGCAGTGTATGCCTAGGTGCCCTGAGTTGGCTCTGGAGCTGTTGTTGTTGTGTTCCCGGAGCCTATCGTTAAGGCATCGTCCGGTCTGACCAATGTACACTTTCCCGCACGAAAGGGGAAATGAGTACACCACTTCATCGGCACACTCAACGAACCTGTTTTGATGGTTTTTGGTGCAGCATACTGTTCGGTGGAAATCAGGTGAGTTGACTTGTTTACACAAGTTGCCAAGCTTATTGGGAGCAGTAAAGACGACAGTGATGTTGAACTTGTTTGCAATTTTCTTGATCCATGGGAGAACCTGTGGAAGTATGGAAGCACGACAGGTCTCGTAGATCTTTCTCTGGCTCTTGGTGTGATATATGATGTATTTTTTGTTTTCAAGATGCTCTCAGCAATCGATGTTAATAATGACGTGGGATATCCGGCGGATGTTAATCTGGAAATTTGGGCATCGAAGCTTATTGAAATAGAATGCTCGCAAGATTTTTGAAGAGAGTTACTTAGACATAATTTGACGATTCCTCTTTTTACTAGCTTAGAATGTGCCGAATTGTACGGAAGAATTGGTTTTTTATTCCTTGGCTCATATTTCCAGCATATATGAGTGTGTTGTAAATTGAGCCTGAGATCGAGGAATCGGATTGATCTTTCTTCCGGAAGCTCGTAAGTAATTTCCAGTGGTTTCAGGCAGTTTTTAAAAGTAGATAGAACACCGGCAATAGTGGTTGGAACATTACTGTTCTCGGCGTCAAGAATGATCAAATAATCATCGACGTACCGAAATATTCTAGCAACTCTGGTGTAGAGCACTATATAGCTCCTTCGGAGCAGAGTAGCGCAATCTAGAACGCCGCCTCTCGGCGACTAGCGGCGAACGCCCGGAGGTTCCAACTGTGGTCAGAAATGCATGGAGAACGTGAGAAAAACGTTGTTTCTTCAGTATTGTGGGTTTGTACAGAATGGCAATTGTTTTTGACATAATAATGGAACATTTTAGAATAATTTGCGCTAAGTTTTGTGCCCCGCAAGGACGTGACTTTTTTTTTAAAATTGCCTGAGCGGCATCATGCAGCAGACGACACGGCGACGTCACACCATTCACGTGACCCGCTCCGGCCAACCCGAAAGGCCCATCTCCGCTGCGAGCAAAAATCGTCTGCTTCAAACGCCATTGCCTTGGAAATTGCCTTGTCAAAATTTGCACATGCATCCGATATTATTAAAACTTTGACAAAGTGTTTAGTGCTTTACTAACTTCACGACAGACTAGTTTTGAAAAGTGTGAACTCGCCGTTCATTTTTTAATCAGCCGTGTTGTGTCGATCTCCATGTATTCTCCCATAGGGCAGGCCGCCTCCTGGAACCCTGAGTACCACGTGACTCGCGCCGAGCCGCTCTGTCGGCCATGTTGTCGGCAAAACACGGGGTTCAAAGGATTGCGCTACTCTGCTCCGTAGGAGCTATATAGTGCTCTACTCTGGTGGAGTCAAGCCAATTGTTCAAGAGTCTGTCTTGGTGGGCGAGACAGAGATCACTTAGCACTGGGGCAATGCACGACCCAATGCAAACACCTTTCTTCTGTAGATACGTTTTTTCTTTCCAGGTAATAAAGGTGGAGTGTAGATAAACCGAGAGTAGATGTAGAAAATTGTCTTCGGAAATACCCGCAGAATTTTGGAACGCTATGCCACCAAAGGAATCAATACTCTCTTCTACACATCGCAAAAGACCGTCCTGGGGCAGTTCGTAGTACAGGTCTTTTATGTCGATGGAAAAAGCTTCTAGGTGATCATAACTCTGCTGTGACAGGAATTGGATGACCTCGTTGGAACTCTTAATTAAGAAAGGGTCGTCAATTGTAAGAAGGTTTAGCTTTTCTTTGAGAAAAAGGGCGAGTGATTTTTGCCAAGTTCCCTTTTCGGATACAATGACTCTGAAGGGATAACCGGGTTTATGGGTTTTGGCACTGAAAAATACACTGAGGCTTAGCAACTTGTTGCGATCGATGTGGGTGCAAAGACTTTTCAGTTCATACGACTGGCACAATTGTCTAGCATATTTTTTGGCCTTACTCAGGGAGACATCTTCTTGACATTGAAAAACTGACTCAATCGCTGAGATGGCTTTTGTCCCATACATATCTTGGTGCATGACAGCGAAGCCTCCTTCCTTGTCGACAGGCAAAAGAAATAAGGAATTCTCTTGTAGATATTGAACCACCCTCCTGGTAGAAACAGAAGAGGCCTGCGGTACTTTTCGGAGTAGCAGGTCAACTCCTTCAGATGTTACCCGGTCGACTTCCAACTCAGGAACACGGCGCGAGACCTGGCGGACAAACGATAGCATTTCATGCCGTGACCTTTTTGGTTCCACAGCAAATTTTGGACCAAGACTGAGAACCTTTTGCACAGCGTGGGGGAGATGAATGTCACCTATGACATGCACAGGATTGCTGGGACCTTTCACCTTTTTGGGTGTGAGATTGCGGAGATGTCTCAAAGTAAGTCGCCATAAATATTCTGTTAGGCGATCGGCGTGCAGAGAGTGTTCACGCCACATGCTCCTCCCAAACGGAAGATTGCATAGGCTCACGTAAAGAGAAGTCCGGTAAAAGCGGGTCTGTCTATGCCATTCCGATTGCAGTATCTTGCACATTCGAGTGCCATGGCCGAGTGATGGGGCGAAGATTCCAAAAAGGGCTTTTACCTCAGGTGGTATCAACTTGTTGCGGATGCAATATCCGAAGGATCTTGCCTGACAAACGCTAATGGCAATCCAGATGACAAGGAAACTTGGGGTCCAGGAGAGATGCGGAGAAAAGCCCGATGTACTAGAAATGTATCTTGTTAACGTAGCAGCTTGGGCGAGTTGGTTGCACATGATAACACACACCACAGCGCACTATCGCAAATAACACTCACACCTTACACACGAAAAATAAAGCAAAATTCAAACAAACCGCGCTGACTGACAACTCTTTTTATATAACTTTGTCTTCTTCAACCTCTAGCACCACCGAATTTCCCAATTCACGCGCACCGATCTCCTAGATGCCTAAAAATGTTTTCTCTTTTTCTGTCAGGTGTAAAGATGGTGTACTTATACAGTTGTTGTAGTTCCTGGCGATATGTTCTGCTTCGATAATTTCTCGAGTTAATTGGTTTCTGTTCCTGCCTAAAATTGTACAGGATGGCAAGTGAACGTCGCACCCACAATCCCGGCAGTGTATGCCTAGGTGCCCTGAGTTGGCTCTGGAGCTGTTGTTGTTGTGTTCCCGGAGCCTATCGTTAAGGCATCGTCCGGTCTGACCAATGTACACTTTCCCGCACGAAAGGGGAAATGAGTACACCACTTCATCGGCACACTCAACGAACCTGTTTTGATGGTTTTTGGTGCAGCATACTGTTCGGTGGAAATCAGGTGAGTTGACTTGTTTACACAAGTTGCCAAGCTTATTGGGAGCAGTAAAGACGACAGTGATGTTGAACTTGTTTGCAATTTTCTTGATTCCATGGGAGAACCTGTGGAAGTATGGAAGCACGACAGGTCTCGTAGATCTTTCTCTGGCTCTTGGTGTGATATATGATGTATTTTTTGTTTTCAAGATGCTCTCAGCAATCGATGTTAATAATGACGTGGGATATCCGGCGGATGTTAATCTGGAAATTTGGGCATCGAAGCTTATTGAAATAGAATGCTCGCAAGATTTTTGAAGAGAGTTACTTAGACATAATTTGACGATTCCTCTTTTTACTAGCTTAGAATGTGCCGAATTGTACGGAAGAATTGGTTTTTTATTCCTTGGCTCATATTTCCAGCATATATGAGTGTGTTGTAAATTGAGCCTGAGATCGAGGAATCGGATTGATCTTTCTTCCGGAAGCTCGTAAGTAATTTCCAGTGGTTTCAGGCAGTTTTTAAAAGTAGATAGAACACCGGCAATAGTGGTTGGAACATTACTGTTCTCGGCGTCAAGAATGATCAAATAATCATCGACGTACCGAAATATTCTAGCAACTCTGGTGGAGTCAAGCCAATTGTTCAAGAGTCTGTCTTGGTGGGCGAGATAGAGATCACTTAGCACTGGGGCAATGCACGACCCAATGCAAACACCTTTCTTCTGTAGATACGTTTTTT